TTTACATTATCTGAATATTATGTTTGCGCTAGTTTGCTGTAACTGCACCAAAACTCCAGTATTTTTCCTTCATATGCTATATATACAAAAGTATGTGGACACACCTTCAAATTAGTGGATTCGGCTATTTCAGCCACACCCATTGCTGACAGGTGTATAAAATCGAGCACACAGCCATGCAATCTCCAAAGACAAACATTGGTAGTAGAATGGCCTGTACTGAAGAGCTCAGTGACTTTCAACGTGGCACCGTCATAGGATGCCACCTTTCCAACAATTCAGTTCATCACATTTCTGCCCTGCTAGAGCTGCCCCGGTCAACTGTAAGTGCTGTTTTTGTGAAGTGGAAACATCTAGGAGAAACAACGACTCACCCACAAAGTGGTAGGCCACACAAGCTCACAGAGCGGGGCCGCCGAGTGCTGAAGCGCGTAGCTCATAAAAATCGTCTGTCCTCGGTGGCAACACTTACTACCAAGTTCCAAACTGCCTCTGGAAGCAACGTCAGCACAAGAACTGTTAGTTGGGCGCTTCATGAAATGGGTTTCCATGGCCGACCAGCCGCACACAAGCTTAAGATCACCATGCACCGAATGCATAGTGCCAACTGTAAAGTTTGGTGGAGGAGGAATAATGGTCTGGGGCTGTTTTTCATGGTTCGGGCTAGGCCCCTTAGTTCCAGTGAAGGGAAATCTTAATGCTACAGCATACAATAACATTCTAGACAATTGTGGTAACAGTTTGCGGAAGGCCCTTTCCTGTTTCAGCATGACAACGCCCCCATGTGCAAAGCGAGGTCCATACAGAAATTGTTTGTTGAGATCGGTGTGGAAGAACTTGACTGGCCTGCACAGAGCCCTGACCAAAACCCCATCAACACCTTTGAGATGAATTGGAACACCGACTGCGAGCCAGGCCTAATCGCCCAACATCAGTGCCCTACCTCACTAATGCTCTTGTGGCTGAATGGAAGAAAGTCCCCGTAGCAATGTTCCAACATCTAGTGGAAAGCATTCCCAGAAGAGTGGAGGCTGTTATAGCAGCAAAGGGGGGACCAACTCCATATTAATGCCCATGACTTTGGAATGAGATGTTCGACGAGCAGGTGTCCACATACTTTTGGTCATGTAGTGGTTGCTTGTTCTCCATCTTCTTTTTAAATAGGGAGCCAAATAATTTTCAACACTTTTATTTCCATGACTGATCAAAACTCATTTTCTCATGTCTCTCTCTTGTCCCTCTGCAGCAGACATGTGGTGAGCAATATGTTTGGAACATCGAATCGCAATAAAATCACAGTATCGAATCTCAACCCATAAGAATCGTGAGATTCACAATACATATCGTATTGGCACCTAAGTATCGTGACAATATCGTATAGTGAGATCCCTGGCAATTCCCAGCCCTAGTTCGTAGGTACCATCCTAAACTGTCCAAACAGTCATACTTTTATCTCGTCATACACAACATAAACAGTTCGTAAATGACAAAACTAAACAGCTGATGGAGAATTGTATACTTTTGTAATTGAATAACAATGCCGCAGTTGTTAATAACTAGTGTAACTAATGCTTTGTAATAACTAGAGTATAAAACATTGTTATACCTACGGTAGTACAAACTTATGCTTAGCTCCATCTGTGCAAGGATTCCCATTCCCGAGGGACGGTGGAAAGCAGACCCTTATAGGAGATAGGGAGAGTTTGTGGATACGTCTGCTGTAGTCTCAGGTCACCAAGCTCAGATGTACCTGTCTATAAAGCACTGAGATGTAGGGACATATAGTGGGCCTATGTGCATATTTATGAAGTTCAGAAAGTCCTTCCAACCACCCCTTCCAGCTACGGAAATTGATTATGAAGGTGACATATGCAGAAAAAATAGCATATCTTACAATGATGGCTTGTTATCCGTGCGGCTTCTGTCTACCAAGTGAATAAATTAGGTACAAACCCATCATTAGGGTCCTGTCTTCCTCAAATGGTGAGCCTAGAGCTCATGAATGACAAGGGCACTGCACAATGACATTGGTCATGCCCTTTGCTCAGGCTCCATATCTTATGAATAAGGAAAGGGCATGCTCAAATGGCTCTGGTAAAATATGAAACTCTCTGGGCATTCAAGCCAACTCCTCATAGCAACAGTAAGTGATAAGGTTGTGGTGGAGTATCATGTGATATTGAAAGTATAGAGGCTATGATAAAAATTAGATTTTTTTTTTTAGAGCCAATGACTATCAAAGCTGTTTATCAGCAAAGCCTCATCTAGTCAAATTATATAGGGTTTTGTGAACACTGTATAGGCCTGGTTGTTTGTTTTGTTGAAGTTCTTTGTTCACATAATAAGTGTATGAAAACACGCCAATGAAGAGGGTGACACGCTGTGGTGGAAAGTGGCATTTTCAAGGGTGTTTCTTTACTACGGCTCTCTCTCAACCAATGATGATTTCAAATTCATTATAGGCACCAACCCGAAGAAAACAGACTGAACTTGTCCGAAAACAGACTGAACTTGTCCAATAGGAAACACGTTTTCTGTTTTGCTACGTTTTCGGTGTGCACTAGTGAATACAACACTAGCTGCATTACCAGGACAGTTTGACTGAGAGAACAATATCGGCCTCTACACCTCAGGGGTTTGCACAAATCAGTGTGCCTGATTGTTCTTCTAAAATATTCAGTGGAATTCAGTAGAATCTGAACTGTGTAAAAAACATGACTGAGACACTACGAGACACTAGTTATGATGTCTAAAAAATGTGTAGGAAGTTGAAAATAGCCCATCACAATGATCTCAAGAACAGCCAACCAGTTTATAAAAGATATTGAAAAGGATTGAGGTTAATCCCATTTAAATTCAGGCATTTCAGGAATCGTTTCAAATTCAAATTCAAGAATTGTAAAGTTTCACAATTTCAATTGGATATATTTCAATGCCTCAATTAAAACTTCCTGAATGGACCCAAAACATAAAAGGGCTGATATACTGTGTACAAGTATTTAGAATTCTAACAATAATTTAGGCAAAGGTGCTGAACATTGTTATGATAGCCTATTGTATAAAATCTATCTTCACAGACATTTTGAGTTGAAATCCTCGCCTCTCTTGTCAGTCAAGCCATTTCAGATGCAAAATCAGAGGCAAAATATCACCTTCTGCACTGTAGCACTACATGCACAGTACATACTGATAATTTTATACTCTACTGTAGAGTAAATGCATAGACGGCAAGCCCGTGCATGGGTGTCTAAGAAACCCCATCGACAAGACAAAACTCGCAGCGTGAACGTGGCAGCCATTTTACATCCTCAAGAGTGAATGAGTGGAGCCGAACCAGTGCCGGGAGTTGTACACTTTTTCTCTTGTAATTATCAAATTTTCCTTCCGAAATAATCAACACCATACAAGTTGGTGATACATCGGCAGGTATGATGAATACTACTAACTGGTCACGTGATCATAGTACAATTTATAGCTAAAGTATTTGAGCTTGTGGTCTTTCAAACAATGTGGAAACGGGTGGTTGGGACGGGTTCTCCAGACCGGCTTTTTGAAAATGGACTCTCCCTATGTGGCGGCACGTTGACAAACCACGAAGCTAGCTAGTTAACATACTACAAGGCCTCTCTCTGTTCTACATATGGAAATGTAGAGCCAAATTAAGTCAACCATCAAGCGATATATGAGCTTTCGCGGTTTTAATGGTGTCGCTAGCTAACTCAGCCAAGTGGGCTAATTATGCTAGATCAGGAATGACATGCTAATTGTCACTAGCTAACGTTACCTATTTAGCTAACCCAGCCAACCAGGGAGCTAACCTCAGCGCGTGAGCGTGCAAACTTCGAGATAATTGCATTTGCCAGATAGTTTTGATTCAACTCGCGAGCTAATGTTAGTTATTTTTTAGCTAACCAATTTGGCTAGCAAAACATTTGGTCATCAGTCCGCTAACGTTACCTAGCTAGTATGGTTAGCTAGCTAGGTTTGTTATTATGACTTGACAGGGTTGGAGGACCATGATTAGTTAGCAGGCTATTATTTAGCTGGCTGCTAGCTAGTAACTTATGTAGCGAACGTTATGGATAACGCAGCTAGATGACGTTGGCTAACAGTGTCTGAACACTTGTGTGGTTATAGCTAGCTACCTAGCTAAATGATTAAGTTAGATATGAAAATTAAGTGTAGCGATGTTGCTTATCAAGTTTTGCTAGAGAATTGTGGATAGTTCATCGCAAACGTTAGTTGACTGCAAATACTTTGCATGAGCACAAACTGAAATGGCTTCGATAGACTGCTCCCTTTACCCTAACTAGCTAGGTTTGCTATCATTCTATCAAGTGCCTTGCGACAAGTTATCAAACATTTAGCTAGCTATGTTAGCAATAACCACTGTTGCTAGATGTAGTCTATCACGTCATTTGCTCCTGTACAAATGCTTGCTGACTGTCTTGTTAGCTACCGGAAACGGGTGGTTTAGAAACTCTGTCGCCGTGCTCTGCCGAAGGAACACGTGTATCAGCTATCTAGCTAGTTAGTGCTGAAGTCAACAATCAGTAGGCTAATTTATAATTTAACAATCAGGCCATGCCCTTCTATGCAGGGGGAGATGAACGTAATGTTAGCAGCTATAGCTGTGTTGTGCAAAGTTGTTATTCCAACACGGTCAAAGGCTGGAAATATATAATTACGTGTACACATTTTACCATGTAGCCTAGCTAACTCTCCTCATACATTGCAGATTTAAACGCAAGGAAGTATAAGGTATGCAGTTATAATAAATACCAATGAATGGTTTTTAGTAGGTGTCAGCATTTTCTAAATTGATACAGACATGCAAATTCAAATATTCTAATTTAAATGTGACCTGATTCCACTCTTAAGGGACCACATGAACCCACATGTGTGCCTGTTGCACATGACACCCCCCAAAAGCTCTCAACAGTCTTGCACTTGACCCAGGATTAATTTGGCTCATTGCATTTGCACAGATTTCTGGAGACATGGCCACAGAACATATTAATGGAAATGGTCCAGAAGAACCAATGGACACCACTGCTGCAGTTACCCATTCTGAACACTTCCAGACTTTATTAGAAGCTGGTTTACCACAGAAAGTTGCTGAAAAACTAGATGAAATTTACATAGCAGGTAAGGCACATTGAATATCCAGCATATTCGTACACACAAATTATACTTTTGCATGTGCTGTCATATTTTACATTAGCTTTGAATGTGGGAATTGGGATCCTCAAGCAACTTTTTGTGGTTTCGTACCAAAATGGGTACTGCAGTGTAATGAAAAAAAGAGAATTCATACACTACCAATATCAGTGTGAAATAAATGTTTTGGGTACATGTCCATTGTCTTAAAGGTATATCTGGGCAGAGCACTGGTGTCACGGACCCTTTGTGTTCTCAAGAATTGAAGTGTAGCAGCACAGATGAGCAAAGAGTTAGGCCACAGTTCAGCGGAGGTCTCTCTGGACAGTCTCGGGCAGAGTGCAGCCAGATGGGCACATGCAGCAACAATGGCAGCAGCTGTCGGTGGCTGGGACAGGTGATGGGCCCTCCAAGAGCATAATGTGCACAAGCTCATTAGGGGCGCACAGTGCAGAGGACCGCCATATCAAGTTAAAACATCACATCTGTTGTGATTTGTTCTGCAAAGGTTGAAGAAAGTGCTATTACTCAAGGCCATTTTAAAAATATTGGTCTCCTGAGATGGTTCCTTTTCTCAGATAATGTTATCCAAAGTATGAATGTAGTATTCCAATTTCAGAAATACCTAAAGAAGTCATAGCCACAGAAATAAGTTAACTTTGATATCCCCAAACATGCGTTGTGGCTAGATCCGTTTTGAAAAGATGTCATCCAGTAGTTCTGTTCCTACTAGTAACTGATGTTTTTTGGTGTCCCTCAGGTTTGGTATCACACAGTGACCTAGATGATAGAGCGATTGAGGCTCTGAAAGAGTTCAACGAAGAAGGTGCTCTGCAAGTTCTGTTGCAGTTCAAGGACAGCGACCTCTCACATGTTCAGGTATGTATGGCGGGGGCGGTGTCATGATTGGATCGCATTGTGTGATCACGTCTTCAAATCAAATGCTACCATTTCACCCTCTAACGTGTACATATTTTTCTTTACTCAACAGAACAAAAGTGCCTTTCTTTGTGGAGTTATGAAGACATACAGACAGAGGGAGAAACAGGGGACCAAAGTCTCAGACTCCAACAAAGGACCAGATGAGGCCAAAATCAAAGTATGGTTTTAACAAACATTCTTGATATAAGTGATAATTGAGACATGGCATCATGCTTTTTATATTGTGGAGTTGTTCTCTGGAAGGTGTTTGACCTCAATCATGTTATTTCAATAAACAGGCCCTGCTGGAGAGAACTGGCTACACGCTCGATGTGACAACAGGTCAGCGGAAGTATGGAGGCCCCCCTCCGGATTCGGCTCACTCAGGGGCACAGCCCACAATTGGTACAGAGGTATGTCTCTCTACAATAGTTCAATGGTGTATTTGATTAGTGTGTTATAGTTTACTTCAGTGTGTATGATGGGGTTTCTGCATTCTGTGTCCAAATAATGAAAATATGTACTTTTTCCTGGAGTAACTCTGGTTGCGCTGATGATTTACCGCTAAGATCTGACTGGACACCCATTCATTCAGTATTTTAGAGATGTATTTTGTAACAATGACCAATGTTCCTTTCACACCAAGTTAACCTAATTTTGCTTTCATCTCAGATTTTTGTTGGCAAGATCCCTAGAGATCTATTTGAGGATGAGCTGGTCCCTCTGTTTGAGAAAGCCGGGCCCATTTGGGACCTGCGTCTGATGATGGACCCCCTCAGTGGCCTGAACAGAGGTTACGCCTTTGTCACTTTCTGCACTAAAGAGGCTGCGCAGGAAGCTGTCAAGCTGGTATTTACCACTTGTTGGAGTCCTCTCTCCTGACAGAATGATAGGAATGGAGAATTTAGCCCGCCCAATCATGACATGTCATGCACTCTCTCCAACCCACTCCCCTCTTTCCACAGTGTAACAACAATGAAATTCGACCCGGCAAACACATTGGTGTGTGCATCTCCGTGGCCAATAATAGACTATTCGTTGGCTCCATCCCCAAGAGTAAAACAAAAGAGCAGATTGTGGAAGAATTTGCTAAAGTCACAGGTAAGCAGCATCTATTTTTGTTGAATGATCTTCTGGGACAAATTGACATTTTGCTGGGCCAGTCATATTCTGTCTTGACAAAGATTTATATTCACAGTGACTTTGACAACATAAACATTGCCTTACTGTTACTGAATGCAGCAATCATGATCAACCACTAGTGTTAGATTGCATTTAGTCTGAGTTTGGGTTTATGTACGGTATGCTATGTAAAGCTGGGCTATACATTTACATTTTAGTCATTTAGCAGACGCTCTTATCCAGAGCGACTTACAGGAGCAATTAGGGTTAAGTGCCTTGCTCAAGGGCACATTAACGTCATTTAGCAGACGCTCTTAGCCAGAGCGACTCACAAATTGGTGCGTTCACCCTATAGCCAGTGGGATAACCACTTTACAATTTGGGGGGGGGGGGGGGGGGGGGGGGGGGGTTAGAAGGAACACTTTATCCTATCCCAGGTATTCCTTAAAGAGGTGGGGTTTCAAATGTCTCCGGAAGGTGGTGAGTGACTCCGCTGTCCTGGCGTCGTGAGGGAGCTTGTTCCACCATTGGGGTGCCAGAGCAGCGAACACTTTTGACTGGGCTGAGCGGGAGCTATGCTTCCGCAGAGGAAGGGGAGCCAGCAGGCCAGAGGTGGATGAACGCAATGCCCTCGTTTGGGTGTAGGGACTGATCAGAGCCTGAAGGTACAGAGGTGCCGTTCCCCTCACTGCTCCATAGGCAAGCACCATGGTCTTGTAGCGGATGCGAGCTTCAACTGGAAGCCAGTGGAGTGTGCGGAGGAGGGGGGTGACGTGAGAGAACTTGGGAAGGTTGAACACCAGACGGGCTGCGGCATTCTGGATGAGTTGTAGGGGTTTAATGGCACAGGCAGGGAGGCCAGCCAACAGCGAGTTGCAGTAGTCCAGACGGGAGATGACAAGTGCCTGGATTAGGACCTGTGCCGCTTCCTGTGTAAGGCAGGGTCGTACTCTCCGAATGTTGTAGAGCATGAACCTGCAGGAGCGGGTCACCGCCTTGATGTTGGCGGAGAACGACAGGGTGTTGTCCAGGGTCACGCCTAGGCTCTTCGCACTCTGGGAGGAGGACACAGCGGAGTTGTCAACCGTGATGGCGAGATCATGGAACGGGCAGTCCTTCCCCGGGAGGAAGAGCAGCTCCGTCTTGCCAGGGTTTGGACATCAGTCTTGAGACCGTTGATTTGTGCCCAGTTAAGTGCAAAGTGTCCAGTCAGATCTTAGCAGTAAACTATCAGTGTAATCAGTTACTCCAGGATAGAATATATGCATTTCATCATTTGGACACTGAACCCTGACATTGGAAATTAGCAATTAAACGTCTTACTCCTTGGTAAACAGCCTCGAACACAAATCAATGTTATTCTGCAAAGTTTTAATGGAAGGACAATACAAAGACAATTGCTCAGACGTTTAATTGCTAATTTCCAATGTCAGGGTTCAGTGTCCAAATGATGAAATGCATATATTCTATCCTGGAGTAACTGATTACACTGATAGTTTACTGCTAAGATCTGACTGGACACTTTGCACTTAACTGGGCACAAATCAACGGTCTCAAGACTGATGTCCAAAGAGAACAGCTGTGTCAAAGAAAGGGGACACTAAATGTTCTGAGTAAACCGAAGGAAACATTCCTTGATTGCATAGTCTTGAATGTGTAATATTTTGTTCTGGTGCCAACTATGTTTCGGTAAGGCACTCTCTAGAGTAACTCAGTTCCATTCAATTTTGCTTTGCATTGTGTATGGAGATAGCGCGAGCTGTCTGGTGCACTGGTCACTGTTCAGCTAGGATACCCTTTATGCCTTTCCCGTTCTGCCTCTCTTTCAACAGAGGGTCTTAACGATGTCATACTGTACCATCAGCCAGAAGACAAGAAAAAGAACCGAGGCTTTTGCTTCTTGGAATATGAAGACCACAAAACTGCCGCTCAGGCCCGCCGCCGGCTGATGAGTGGCAAGGTCAAGGTGTGGGGGAACGTGGTGACTGTGGAGTGGGCCGACCCCATAGAAGACCCTGATCCTGAGGTCATGGCCAAGGTAAGGGGAGCAAAATTAACAGGACTCATTTCGCCTGTGATAAATTGTCTTTGTATTGTCCGTCCATTAAAACTTTGCAGAATAACATTGATTTGTGTTCGAGGCTGTTTACCAAGGAGTAAGATTTGAGGTAACCACCGGTGTCCGAGAGAGCCAGAGACATTGATTTTTCAAGTGTAATTGATAAGCCAGTACCATTTTCCTCCCAGGTGAAAGTGCTGTTTGTCCGGAACCTTGCGAGTACTGTAACGGAGGAAATACTTGAAAAGGCCTTCAGTCAGTTTGGCAAGTTGGAGCGGGTGAAGAAGCTGAAAGACTACGCCTTCATCCACTTTGAAGAGAGAGACGGCGCAGTCAAGGTACATGCTGGAGTCTTTATATTACTAACCAAAGTATCACAAAACTGGTAACAATGGCTGTTTTTTGTGTAGTTGTTCAACTTGCCTCTTTTGACAGGCCTTGGCCGACCTGAATGGGAAAGACCTGGAGGGAGAGCACATTGAAATAGTCTTCGCAAAGCCACCTGACCAGAAGAGGAAAGAACGCAAAGCCCAAAGACAAGCGGCTAAGACACAAATGTAAGCAAAGACAATTGATTTGCATTTACTTGAGACCTGCAAATACGGGCCAAAATTATAGTTGCATTGTTGGGTGGCCTTTCACCATTGATTTCTTTTGAATGATTGAATAGAAAAGTTAAAAACGTGATATAACAAGTGCAAATGCGTCCTGTATGGTTACTAAACAAGTGCATATCCTCTGTCCCCAGGTATGACGATTACTATTACTACGGCCCACCCCACATGCCACCTCCCACAAGAGGCAGAGGACGAGGCGGCTGCCGAGGAGGCTACTCTTACCCCCATGACTACTACGGCTATGAAGATTACTACGATTACTATGGCTACGACTACCACAACTACCGGGGCGGCTATGAAGACCCCTACTACGGCTATGAGGACTTCCAAGCTCCCGGCCGAGGACGAGGAGGGGCCCGAGGCGGAGCCCGTGGTGGTGGTGCCACCCTATCCTCCCGGGGCCGTGGAGCTGCCACACCCAGGGGCAGAGTGGGTGGCTTTTCCCAGCGAGGTGGAAGTGGCCCTGGATCGAGCAGAGGTGTGCAGGGGACCAAAGGGGCACTGGGTAAATAGGGACTAGCTGTGTTGGCAATGGTCAATAGCAAATGTTAGCTATCGGCTACACAAAAATGCAAACATACTATTTGGAGAGGACTCACCCCCCCCCCCCCACACTTGAATAACCTTAAACGAATATATGTTTTCAACCTGCATTAATTTCTTCCTTATTTGGCATAAATTGACCGAAGTTCGGCATTTATATTCTGTATAAAATATAGGCCTAGAAAGTAAGGAATCATACAGATGCAGACCTGCCAACCGGCACGTGTTTTGCGTACCATGCACACAATTTCATATCAAAGTACGCTGGTATGGAAAATTATCCAAAAATATATAAGCTACTTGTTGGCACATTGTGGTTTTTGACAACTGAACAAATCCATTTCTTCCATTGATACCACTGATGTGTGAGGAAAAAAGGTAGGGAAAATGGAGAACGAACTGTTTGCCGACTACATTTTCCAAAATTGTATGTGTTAGTTAGTTCAAGCGTTTAGCGAGAATACTTTCTTGGCCGCACAGGCTTTGATCTCCGCAAAAGTTAGATGAGTAAAGAAGCGGTGAAGTGTTGCGGTAGTTCAGTGCACGTCGCTGCGTGGATGGAAACAGACATGGCAGAGAGAGCTGTTCTGCTAATGCTGTCCTTCACAGAAAGTTATGTTAAAGGTTAGTAGGCCTATGTTAATTAATCAGTTCTTGGTCTGTCCTCTTGATATAGCTGGATGTCAACAGTAGGCTGCTAATGATGTGATTAATAGTCAGTTCACCAATGACGAGGCATGTTGAATGAATGGTAGCCTAGTAGTCAAACCTAATTTGATGGATTATGTCAGGGATGGAGATCTGAAACAAGCTCAAAGGCCTAGTTCAGTTGTTTCATATTCCAAATAGCCTACAGTAAACCACCCTACTTACATTGAGTAATTGAATTATTCAGAATTTTCTTCCCAAACTAAATTTAAGACAGTTTTACATTTTCACTAGACTATCCACATAAAGACACCTATTAATTAGAATAATCATTACCCCTAAATTTGACCTAGAAAATTGTAAGTGTCATTGAGACCACCTCAATTTCATTTAGGATCAAACAAGACTTCTGTTGGCTACATTGTTTGATATACTTTAAGACTCTAGGTTTCGGGAAATGGCAGTTAAAGGTTTTTCAAAAATGATAAATGCTCCAACTTCCTCTGGACCTCCCCTACCCAACCGTAGGCCTACATCAGCACCACCTTGTCAGAAAATCCTATGGAGAGCCCTGATTTTGTACATTTAAACATATTTATAGTTAGCTACTGAAGAGCAGCCAGTTACTAAGTACCCATAACAGTTTACCATTCCTACTGAGGCAGTCTTCTGCCAACATAATTATTAGGCAGAAAAAGGTGCATTTGCCTATGATTTGAGCAGTGTGGGTGTCACGCGTGCTGTTGTTGGGGCCGGGAGTAGTGCTGCCACTGAAGTGGTACTCATAAAAATTATTCAAGGTTGGCAGGTCTGCAGATGTCACCATTTTATTCCATCTCTTTTGAAAGCTGAGCCTCATACATTCCATTGGTAATTTTCAATGTACAGATATGTGTTTAGCTTTCAGTGTCCAAATGATAAAATGTGTATATTCTATCCTGGAGTAACTCCGGTTACGCTGATAGTTTACCGCTAAGATCTGACTCGACATGTTGAACATTTTAATTTCTGTCCATGTCTTTGGAAGACTTCCTCAAATTAGTGATGGGAAAGTATGCTTATTCTCAACATTTGAAAACACACCTGCCTTTTGGCCTCAGGTCTAAACCTTGACAGGTGTCACCTTTCAGAGCACCAACTCTGAAAAGTCTGCTCCTCTGCAGATTTAGATCATCATATATTATTATATTTGGATCACCCTAATGAAGTCATGTTTATATTCTGTGTTGTGATTGTTTTTTATTATTATTTTGAATTCCATTCCAATTCTGTCTCTGTTGCTTGGTCAGCAGGGAAAAGGGGTCGAGGCCGGTCCTGACCTGTCACTATGAAGACTGACTTACTGTGTTGGGTTACACCAGAAGCTGCAATGGATACGAATGGAAAAGTCAGCGAAATGGTCCAATATTCCAGCCTTACAGAAGCATCTCCCCCAAACTGCCACCTAAACAATCACCGGATTATTTAGAAAAACTTGCCTCCCCCTGTATGCCCCAACACCCCCCAAAAAATGCCATTTTAAATAATTATTGAAGAATTTGCACTTTTTAAGTTTCTTAGTTTGAAGTGGCTCAAAGGAGCTTGATGCTATTGTATATTTTTGTGCTAATCGCAATTTTTATTGTCGGAATATCCCTGTTAATCTTAATCGTTTGATTTGGATGTTTGAAGAGAACATTTGCAGGTTTTAGGTGTAACCACCTGGCATGGATAAGTCAGGCATTCCAGGAAAGTGGTTCTTTTCAGAACTTGTCTTTTTAAAGGGTTGGTTAACTACCTCAGTACAGAGGATTAAACTACCCGGCCTGTACTGTAAATAGGGAAACTATATTGATGAAAGCAGGGCTTGTTTCCTACAAAATATGCACAAGAGCAGCAGCACAACCGAAAGGACTTAACGTAATAGTCAATTTGCTGCAGCTCTGACACGGCAAACAGTCAAACTGGGCATGCAAAAATAATCTCATATGATGAGCCTGAACAAGCCCTGCTTTTATCCTATTTTGAACTGAATAAGCCACCTTGCTTCTTCAGATTATTGTAGTTACTGGTTGTATAGTTTGGGAAAATGTTACTTTTGTAAAGGCTTGAACATCAACAAAGGCATCAACTACCTTTGAAAAAGCCCTGCAGTGTCCCTTTGCCACTCCAATGGATTTTTTGGTTTTTAGAATAGATCAGAATTATGTTCAGTAACACCCCCTTTAGTGTAAAATAAATATCCCAATCATGCGACATCTTGAATGGTCCCTCTAACTCTGAGCCAGCTACAATTTAATCAAGTCTCTTGATTAAAAATGAATTGCCATACTGCCCAGCCAGCGAGCATGTGTGCCTGTAGCTGTTTCGAAGGGGATCGTGATCATACAGTGGTAAAAGGGATACTGCAGCTATTATTTGTATTCCATGTGTATAGCAAAAAGGAGACTGAACTATTCATCCGGTTTTGTACACTGTTAACTCCCTCTCAATAAAATAATTACAACCACCTTTTGAAAAAAAAAAGTTAGCAGTTTTAAACTATTGTTGGTGGCCAACAACGTTTTTTGCATTCCTGCAAATAAATTGTTTTATACTGTAAAATGGAGGTGAGTAACTTATTTTTGTAATAAAGTTTTTGATTTCTATCTGTGTCCTACTCTCTGTATGACATCCTGTTAAACCATCTCACACATTTGATGCACTGATTATAGCTTTCTGATTCACACCACAGTCACTGTGCACTACTTTCTCATTTCCAGGGAGTCTTCAACCAGAGGTGCATGTGTGCTATCCTGTGATTTCAATTGAATCATTACATTCCGTTATAATAAGCACTTCGTTGACAGTTAGTACTGCTGCCACGCATCGTCGTCGTTTGCTGCTAGCTTGCCACAACACGAAATTAGTACTGCATTTGATATGATTAAATTTTGGAATACTGTATATTCACGGTTATGTTAGCAGGGGCAGGGCAGGTGATATGGGCTATAAAAAAATAACAGCCAAGAATGTTGCATGATTCCATAATGAACCGGATGTGACATCAGCCTGACGACGACTGACCGTCCCGTTATTTCAACGACGAAAGCACGTAGGCATGATGAAGCTGGGTGGACATTGATAATAATGATATTCAGAAATATATAGACGGTGAATGCATGGGAAGTCATTATTGACTCGCCTGGTTTACACAGGTTTACAGCAGACTGGCGCGTGCCCTGCAAACGTCAAAGACCGTGCGCATGTCAATGAGCGTGCTGCGTGCAGTATCAAGAGGGGATGTTGACGTTTGGCTAACAATGATGATAGGTAGCGTTTCACACATCAACTAGTTAGCTTGACTAATCCTGCATATTTGTGAGTATAGACGACAAATTATCAAATTTCACCGTTATCCTGCATAGGCTATTTATATGACGTTTCTAACATCGCACTTATTTGTCGCAGTGTTTATCATGGAACGTCCTCCATTGCTCTCCAGTTAAAGTGCAACATAAACGACGTGATTATATTTACTTGTGTGCATTGTCCATCCTGACAATGGGATGCATCAGGGTCTACCTGCAGAAGATGAGGCACAGGATGAAGCTGGACCTATTGAGAGAACTGGGCCGCCAGTATCCAGTCTTCTGCTTCCTTCTACTTGTCTTGCTCTTATCCACTGTTTTGTTGAACAGGTAGGTACAAATAGGCCTACTGTATGCTTACAATGTTTCACACGTTTACAAATTGTAGGCCTGCCTACAATAAAACAGACTATTGCATGAAGCTCAGAATCACAAATAGGCAGTATTTGTGTCAGTTGTGTTAGCATATCGATTTAGGAATGACTGAGGTAGACTAATAAGTCATAATACATTCCCAATGTAAGCATATGTGTATTTTTTTTATTGAATTCACAGATATCTGCACATTATTATGGTTTTCTGGTCGTTCCTGGCTGGAGTTGTCACATTCTACTGCTCTCTTGGCCCAGAGACTCTGTTGCCTAATATCTTACTGTCTATAAAGCCAAAGACCAAGGTAGGTTTACCTTAAGTACAGAAAATATACACCTGTAACTATATATTTACTTATAGTCCAGGTTGATAGAGGGTGGTTTTGTATCTGTCAGCAGGACCAACAAGAGTTGTTTCCCTTGGGTCACAGCTGTGCAGTCTGCGGGAAAATAAAGTGTAAAAGGCACAGGTGAGATCACTGCTCCAAAAATGCTGTATGTGAATGAATGTTTATTAGGATGTTGGCTTTATTGTATTGATGTGGGATTGAGAGTGAAGAATACTGCATTATGTTCCTACTGTTTGGTCTCTGAGTTTACTGTTAATCTCTTTCTCTCTCGCTCTATTAATTTGACAAATAGCGCAGGAATTCCACAACTTACTATTTTGATGTTCACATTCATTCAGACTTTAGTTGTTGATTTTGTCTTATCACCAGTATGTTAGATGGTGTTTTACAGCACCCCCAGTGGCCAGCTAGTATACTGGAGCACATCATGGAATTGAAAGTGTCCCGCGTGAGCACTTTTAGTAATTTGGCTATATGAGACAACAGAGTGAACTAATGGTTTTATCAACATTTCACAGACTAATTGAAAACAGAAAGTAGAGTTAATTGCCATTATGTATGTAAATAATGTTCTATTGACAGACCAACATTACTATTGGAGAACTATCAACCATGGCTGGACTTGAAAGTTCCCTCCAAAGTGGATGCCTCTCTATCAGAGGTATGGGACACTGAAAAAAACGCCTTTATTTTGTGCATTCTGAAAAGTGTGTCTGTCATTCTAAGATGTGATATGTTTTTGCTTTGTTTCAAGGTTCTGGAACTGGTTCTTGAAAACTTTGTGTATCCCTGGTATAGGTTTGTTACTGTATATTACTCACATGTGCTGCATGTTGCATTAAATAAATGCACTGGCATGATATGTGTAGACATATGACCTGGTTGTTTTCTCCTGTGAAGGGATATCACAGATGATGAAGCGTTTGTGGATGAACTGAGAGTGACTCTGCGTTTCTTTGCCGCTGTGCTCGTACGTCGAACTCAAAAGGTAAAACAAACAGGATTTAGACTGTTCTAGATATCAGGTTTTTAAACCTTTTATACTATTTATGTCCTTTCTCAGGTTGATATCCCAGGTCTTATCACGGCCAAACTGCTGAAAGTTTCCATGAAGCACATTGAAATAATCACCAAAGCAAGGCAAAAAGGTAATCCATCTAAGTTTCAAATATATTTTACCGCCAGAGTTCTTTCCAAAGAGTGGAACTGTGACCAGTGGGCTCTTCACTCTGTTTCTACCCCCTAGTGAAGAACGCTGAGTATCTGCAGCAAGCAGCACTGGAGGAGTACGGCCCTGACCTGCACGTGGCACTACGCAGTCGCAGAGACGAGCTCCTCTACCTCAGGAAGTTGACTGAGATGCTCTTCCCCTATATTCTGCCCCCCAAAGCCTCTGACTGCAGGTAACATGGCACCATCATTCTTGAGGCAATATAGGTAATTGTTTCCTGGGTTATGTTCATTAGGGTACACTGTTATAACAGAATACAAAATTGAGTGTTTTTTTATTAGACGTTCAGAAATGTTCAGATATTGCCTTCTTGTTTCACTCTGTTTCGGTGCATTTGGGGCATTTCTGTTTCATGCTAACTGTATACGAACCTGGTCTCTGTTATCCCATTTCTCTCTTTCATACCTGTCTCTCCACTATCCTCAGATCGCTTACTCTTCTAATAAGAGAGGTGTTGGCTGGCTCTGTTTTCCTCCCTGCCTTGGACTACCTGGCTGATCCTGTGAGTGCTTTGTAGACATGAAACATGTTTAATTTAGAAACCATATGTAACATGTTTCATTGACATATCAGAGGTAATTTCCGTTCTGATTCATTTAGAAAGGTTGTTTTCAGGCTTGATGTGATTTGCTGTCTTTCCCAGGACATGAACAAGCCAGAATGGACATAGATTGTCTGTTGTAAATCAATGCTCATTCCCATTTTAGGACACCGTGAACCATTTGCTTCTCATATTCATCGACAACTCTCCTCCCGAGGCCGCCATGGAGCCCAGCTCAACCTTGGTTCCCTTCCTGCACAAGTACTCTGATGTTCGCAACAAGAAGCCCTCTGTAAGTAGCCTAGTAACCCCTCCTTTCCCCCTCTTCTCCCAATATACTGCCCTTCCATACCACTGATCTCCCCCCTCTCTCTTCTCCCCTCTTTCTCAGGTGCTGAAGCTGGAGCTGAAGGAGATCAGGGAGCAGCAGGACCTGCTCTTCCGCTTCATGAACTTCCTCAAGCAGGAGGGGGCCGTGCACGTGCTCCAGTTCTGCCTCACTGTGGGTAAGCAGGCTTTGACCATTCACCATTATCCCAGATATAGATACAATACAGACTAACAACTATGTCCTGGCCAAGGATGTCAGGGACAAGATTGTAGACCTACACAAGGCTGGAATGGGCTACAAGACCATCACCAAGCAGCTTGGTGAGAAGGTGACAACAGTTGGTGCGATTATTCGCAAATGGAAGAAATACAAAATAACTGTCAATCTCCCTCGGCCTGGGGCTCCATGCAAGATCTCACCTTGTGGAGTTGCAATGATCATGAGAACGGTGAGGAATCAGCCCAGAACTACACGGGAGGATCTTGTCAATGATCTCAAGGCAGCTGGGACCATAGTCACCAAGAAAACAATTGGTAACACACTACGCCATGAAGGACTGAAATCCTGCAGCGCCCGCAAGGTCCCCCTGCTGAAGAAAGCACATATACAGGCCCGTCTGAAGTTTGCCAATGAACATCTGAATGATTCAGAGGAGAACTGGGTGAAAGTGTTGTGGTCAGATGAGACAAAAATTGAGCTCTTTGGCATCAACTCAACTCGCCGTGTTTGGAGGAGGAGGAATGCTGCCTATGACCCCAAGAACACCATCCCCACCATCAAACATGGAGGTGGAAATATTATGCTTTGGGGGTATTATGCTTTAGTTTTTCTGCTAAGGGGACAGGACAACTTCACCGCATCAAAGGGACGATGGACGGGGCCATGTACCGTCAAATCTTGGGTGAGAACCTCCTTCCCTCAGCTAGGGCATTGAAAATGGGTTGTGGATGGGTATTCCAGCATGACAATGACCCAAAACACACGGCCAAGGCAACAAAGGAGTGGCTCAAGAAGAAGCACATTAAGGTCCTGGACCTAGCCAGTCTCCAGACCTTAATCCCATAGAAAATCTGTGGAGGGAGCTGAAGGTTCGAGTTTCCAAATGTCAGCCTCGAAACCTTAATGACTTGGAGAAGATCTGCAAAGAGGAGTGGAACAAAATCCCTCCTGAGATGTGTGCAAACCTGGTGGCCAACTACAAGAAACGTCTGACCTCTGTGATTGCCAACAAGGGTTTTGCCACCAAGTACTAAATCATGTTTTGCAGAGGGGTCAAATACTTATTTCCCTCATTAAAATGCAAATCAATTCATAACATTTTTGACATGCGTTTTTCTGGATTTTTTTGTTGTTATTCTGTCTCTCACTGTTTTAAATAAATCTACCATTAAAATTATAGATTGATCATGTCTTTGTCAGTGGGCAAACGTACAAAATCAGCAGGGGATCAAATACTTTTTCCCCTCACTGTAAGTGTAGGGTGTCCAATCAAAAACGTATCTTTTGGGTAAAATATGTTAATTGTGTAGATACTTCTCTAAGAAAACCAATGGTCCAAACCTCATGTCTGAATCATGATCTGTTCAAAAGTTATTGGAGTTTTTACTTTTGCCAGAATTAGGGCCAGAGGTAAAACATTTTGTCAAAAATCTGGAAAATTACATTACTGGCTACCTGACAGGCTCACTTTCCCATTGAACTCGTGATCTTTCTTCTCAAATCCGCAGGACATAAAACAATATAGAGGTCAGATGGATATCGATTTTGAGACATGACAATTAGTACACCCTAATAAGTATAAGTAATACACTATGAAAGTGACGCGTTATTTACCAGGAAGTAGTTTTGTAAATTTTGTTGGCATTTTGAATGGTCTTCAGCGCAAAAACGCCATAAAAGCCATGTGGCAGAAGTAGATTCATCCACTAACACAAATATAGTAAGGGGCTAGAGCAAGATGGTGGCATAGGAGTTTTGCTCATGCTTGTGAAAAGTTTTTAAATGCTATTTCCAGCGTTCTTTTGACCATCTGAACTAATCACAAACAAGAATGAGGAATGAAATGCCTGCCAAGAGAAATATTGACATGTTGGAGCCGGCTACTCCGTCTTTGTCTACAAGTCAAGAAGATAAGAAATCGAGGTTGTCGCTTGCAGACAGCATCCCTCATGAAACGCCCTCTGTACTGGGTCTACAAGGGACGCAGCTCCCCGTCAAAGAGGAGTCGGTTCTATCTCACTTGCTCCTTATGTCGGGAAGGCTTGCTGAACTAAAAGAGTTGATATCCGAAATGTGCACTGATGTGAAAACTACTAAAGTCACAGTGATCGCCATCCTCGCAGACATTGACTCATTCGAGACGAAATTCACTCAATTTGAGATTGGTTTACCTTCGCGATTTCAGTCTGTCGCAACACAATCAACCCGCACAGACACAATACAAGCGGAACAGCGTAAACGCCGTGATAATATCAACATCAATGCGGAGAACATCCAGGGCATGACTGATTGTATAGCCGAGATGGAGGATTATTAATGCTGCTCATCCCTACGCCTGGTCTCCCTTTCTGAGACCCAGGAGGGTGCCGACACCATATCCTTCCTGCAGAAGCAGCTACCTGTGTGGCTCTTCAGCCTGTCATCCCGCGGGGCGATTGAGATGGAACGCGAACACCGCATCTACACTACATTGTGGTAATATTATTTTCCCTAAAACATGCCTTTTCGTCTTTATGGGCTGCCATTTCTGTTTCTTTTTCTTTTGCTCGTAGTCTTTAATTTTGAGGTCTGAACATGAGAAAGTATTGTAGAGTATTTTAAAGTCTTTGTTCTATTTATTATAATAAAATTGCATACCCTTATGTGAATTTCCTTCCATTTTTGCTGCTTCACTGCATCTTTTTCCTTGGAGTCTTGAGGCTGGGTTATATTATGACTGTAGTAGTTTCACTCTGCAGTGGATTTTGTTTATTTCTAATATAGAAGAACATTAGAGGTTTATATTTTTTTGTATATGGTTTGCATGGTGTACCCATATTGTCAGCATATGGTGGTATCTGGTGCCCACAGGGGTATGACTCAGCATCTGCATATCACCGATGCATGGGGAAAGGGGAAGAGTGGGTAATCTTAATGGATTGGTGTGTGACCTACACTGAGTGTACATAACATTAAGAACACCTTTCTAATATTGAGTTTCACCTTCCCCTTTTGCCTTCAGAACAGCCTCAATTCATTGGGGCATGGACTCTACAAGGTGTCAAGCGTTCCACAGGGATGCTGGCTCATTTTGACTCCAATGCTTCCCAGAGTTGTGTCAAGTTGTCTGGATGTCCTTTGGGTGGTGGACCATTCTTGATACACACAGGAAACTGTTGAGCGTGAAAAACCTAATAGCGTTGCAGTTTTTAACACACTCAAACCGGTGCGCCTGGCACCTACTACCATACCCCGTTCAAAGGCACTTCAATCTTTTGTCTTGCCCATTCACCTTCTGAATGGCACACGTACAGTGGGGGGAAAAAGTATTTAGTCAGCCACCAATTGTGCAAGTTCTCCCACTTAAAAAGATGAGAGAGGCCTGTACTTTTCATCATAGGTACACGTCAACTATGACAGACAAATTGAGAAGAAAAAAATCCAAAAAATCACATTGTAGGATTTTTAATGAATTTATTTGCAAATTATGGTGGAAAATAAGTATTTGGTAACCTACAAACAAGCAAGATTTCTGGCTCTCACAGACCTGTAACTTCTTCTTTAAGAGGCTCCTCTGTCCTCCACTCGTTACCTGTATTAATGGCACCTGTTTGAACTTGTTATCAGTATAAAAGACACCTGTCCACAACCTCAAACAGTCACACTCCAAACTCCACTATGGCCAAGACCAAAGAGCTGTCAAATGACACCAGAAACAAAATTGTAGACCTGCACCAGGCTGGGAAGACTGAATCTGCAATAGGTAAGCAGCTTGGTTTGAAGAAATCAACTGTGGGAGCAATTATTAGGAAATGGAAGACATACAAGACCACTGATAATCTCCCTCGATCTGGGGCAAGATCTCACCCCGTGGGGTCAAAATGATCACAAGAACGGTGAGCAAAAATCCCAGAACCACACCGGGGGACCTAGTGAATGACCTGCAGAGAGCTGGGACCAAAGTAACAAAGCCTACCATCAGTAACACACTACTCCGCCAGGGACTCAAATCCTGCAGTGCAAGCCGTGTCCCCCTGCTTAATCCAGTACATGTCCAGGCCAGTACATGTCCAGGCTAGAGTGCATTTGGATGATCCAGAAGAGGATTGGGAGAATGTCATATGGTCAGATGAAACCAAAATATAACTTTTTGGTAAAAACTGTTTGGAGGACAAAGAATGCTGAGTTGCATCCAAAGAACACCATACCTACTGTGAAGCATGGGGGTGGAAACATCATGCTTTGGGGCTGTTTTTCTGCAAAGGGACCAGGACGACTGATCCGTGTAAAGGAAAGAATGAATGGGGGCCATGTATCGTGAGATTTTGAGTGAAAAACCTCCTTCCATCAGCAAGGGCATTGAAGATGAAACGTGGCTGGGTCTTTCAGCATGACAATGATCCCAAACACACTGCCCGGGCAACGAAGGAGTGTCTTCGTAAGAAGCATTTCAAGGTCCTGGAGTGGCCTATCCAGTCTCCAGATCTCAACCCCATAGAAAATCTTTGGAGGGAGTTGAAAGTCCATGTTGCCCAGCGACAGCCCCAAAACATCACTGCTCTAGAGGAGATCTGCATGGAGGAATGGGCCAAAATACCAGCAACAGTGTGTGAAAACCTTGTGAAGACTTACAGAAAACGTTTGACCTGTGTCATTGCCAACAAAGAGTATATAACAAACTATTGAGAAACTTTTGTTATTGACCAAATACTTATTTTCCACCATAATTTGCAAATAAATTCATAAAAAATCCTACAATGTGATTTTCTGGATTTTCTTTTCTCATTTTGTCTGCCATAGTTGACGTGTACCTATGATGAAAATTACAGGCCTCTCTCATCTTTTTAAGTGGGAGAACTTGCACAATTGGTGGCTGACTAAATACTTTTTCCCCCCACTGTACACAATCCATGTCTCAATTGTGTCAAGGCTTAAAAATCCTATTTTAACCCGTCTCCTCCCCTTCATCTACACTGATTGAAGTGGATTCAACAAGTGACATCATCATTAAGGGATCATAGCTTTCACCTGGTCAGTCTTTGTCATGGAAAGAGCTCTTAATGTTCTTAATGTTTTGTACACTCAGTATAAATATACAGTTGAAGTCGGAAGTTTACATACACCTTAGCCAAATACATTTAAACTCTGTTTTTCACAATTCCTGACATTTAATCCTAGTAAAAAATTCACAGTCTTAGGTCAGTTAGGATCACCACTTTATTTTAAGAATGTGAAATGTCAGAATAATAGTAGAGAGAATTATTTATTTCAGCTTTTATTTATTTCATCACATTCCCAATGGGTCAGAAGTTTACATACACTCAATTAGTATTTGGTAGCATTGCCTTTATATTGTTTAACTTGGGTCAAACGTTTCGGGAGCCTTCCACAAGCTTCCCACAATAAGTTGGGTGAATTTTGGCCCATTCCTCCTGACAGAGCTGGTGTAACTGAGTCAGGTTTGTAGGCCTCCTTGCTCGCACACGCTTTTTCAGTTCTGCCCACATATTTTCTATAGGATTGAGGTCAGGGCTTTGTGATGGCCACTCCAATACCTTGACTTTGTTGTCCTTAAGCCATTTTGCCACAACTTTGGAAGTATGCTTGGGGTCATTGTCCATTTGGAAGACCCATTTGCGACCAAGCTTTAACTTCCTGACTGATGTCTTGAGATGTTGCTTCAATATATCCACATAATTTTACTTCCTCACAATGCGATCTATTTTGTGAAGTGCACCAGTCCCTCCTGCTGGAAAGCACCCCCACAGCATGATGCTGCCACCCCCGTGCTTCACGGTTGGGATGGTGTTCTTCAGCTTGCAAGCAACCCCCCTTTTCCTCCAAACATAACAATGGTCATTATGGCCAAACAGTTCTAAAATGAATTTAATAAAATAACCTGGGCCAGATGGAATCCCTGTGGATATGTATTTGTTTTTCTGGAAAGAATTGTGCCTACTTCGATTCAAAAGGGTTCATTCAGGAAATCCTTAAACACAGCTCTTATTTCACTGTTATTGAAAAAGGCCCAAAATCCTGTGTTGTGTTCTAGTTATTGTCGTTTATTAATTCAGATGATTTAAATAGTTAATGGCGATCAAACAGGATTTGTTAAGGGTCGCCTCGCCTCTAACAATCTAAGAAGACTATTACATATGATTCACTCTGCTCCAGGTTCAAATGGTTCTTCTTATCATTAGATGCTGAAAAGGCCTTTGATAGGCTAGAGTGGGAGTACATATGGATGGTACTGGACCATTTAGACCAGGGTGATACATTTAGAAACCTGATTTAAAGTTGTTTATGCTAATTCAGGTGCAATTGTGATGACTGGCACTAATTGCTCACTCTTCTTTCCTTTCTCTAGATAGGCTAGACAGGGTGATCATCTTTCCAGTTTACTCTTCATTCAGCAATCCAATGTTATTGAACCAATTACATCAATGATTCTCCTCATTTTATTTCGCTATATGCAGATGATGTCCTCTTGTTTTTGGACAACATCTCACAAACTCTACTATCTGTACTTGATTTATTTGCTAAATTTAGTAGCTTCTCCGGTTATAAAATTAACTGGCAAAAGTCTGCTTTGTTGCCCCTTAACAATTCCAATGACTCTGTGATAGCTTGTATATCCTGTGTTGAATACTTAAGATATCTTGGCATTGATATTGACAAGAAACTGGAAACAATTGTGACAAAGAATTACACTTTTTTTTCTTAAATAAGGTGGGGGGTGACTTAAATAGATGGACTCATTCCCCAGTATCCTTCCAGTCTCGCATATCTGTAATAAAAATGAATGTGTTACCCGTATCATTCCTCTGTGCCAAGTGGCAAGATATTGGGATAGGCTTCATAGGGCAAGTTTCACTTTTATTTGGAATAGCTAAAGACCAATAATAAAATGATCGACCTTACAAAGACCCCAGTCTGCTGTTGGATGGGATGGATGGGATGGGATGGATGGGATGGGATGGGATGGGATGGGGGGGGGTTCTGAATTTGATCACTGGGCTTTTGTACTAAGAGCAATTCCTATATGGATAGACTCCATTAGTGACACATTTAGGGTTTATTTTCTAATTTGTTTTTATTTTATTTTAGTGGAATCGATTAGCAATAGTATCTATTGTTGCTTGGTAGGCTGTGCGTGTACTAATAGTTTGCTTCCGATTGTTGCCTAATCAACAGAACCCTGGGTTAACTCTAGTTTGACCTTTCCCTTCATCCCCACCAGAGGAATTCAACGACAAGATCCTGTGTCCGGAGCTGTCTGACTCTGAGATGCTGATGCTCCACGAGGAGGTGAAGAAGATCTACGAGACCTACTGCCTGGATGAGAGCATCGACAAGATCCGCTTTGACCCCTTCATTGTAGAGGAGATCAAAAATAGTGAGTCGTAGGGATCAAGTTTGTCATTTCCCATTAAGACACGATCTTTGTATTCATCATAGCTTTTGTCATAACTCAGTCATAGGTTTTTGTTATTTTCTCTTTGAGAACTTATAGTAACGTATCCTCTCCTTCAGATGTGCAGTTTAATATTGTATGTTCACCCTTATCAACAGAATGTCTATAAACACTGTTTATAAATAGCCATATGTACAGTTCATTATTACAAATGGCCGCTTAGTTAGGTGATGCTCATGTGATAGGTTTCCCTCCCCAGTTGCTGAGGGCCCATATGCCGGGGTAGTGAAGCTGCAGACCATGCGCTGCCTGTTCGAGGCCTACGAGCACGTCCTGTCCCTGCTGGAGAACGTCTTCACCCCCATGTTCTGCCACAGCGACGAGGTCAGGACTAGGGTTGCAAAGGGAGGGTATATTACTGGAAACTTTCAAAGTTTACCAATAAACTACCAGAATATTGGTATCTCTCAAGGATTTTATGTAATCTATCACAAGACATCTAGTACTTCAGATTACCACAGGTGTCTGTAATTGTCTCTGGCCCTCTTGTGTGGCCTTATCCCTTGTACTCTGAACAAAAATATAAACGCAACATGTAAAGTGTTGGTCCCATGTTTCATGAGCTGAAATAAAAGATCCCAGAAATGTTCCATACACACAAAAAGCTTATTTATCTCAAATTTTGTGCACAAATTTGTTTACATCCCTGTTAGTGAGGATTTCTCCTTTACGACGATAATCCATCCACCTGACAGGCGTGTCATATCAAGAAGCTGATTAAACGGCATGATCATTACACAGGTGCACCTTGTGCTGGGGACAATAAAAGGCCACTCTAAAATGTGCAGTTTTGTTACACAACACAATGCCACAGATGTTTTGACGGAGGGTGCAATTGGCATGCTGACTGCAGGAATGTCCATCAGACCTGTTGCTAGAGAATGGAATGTTCATTTCTCTACCATAAGCCGCCTCCAATGTCGTTTTAGAGAAATGGTAGTATGTCCAACCGGCCTCACAACCTCAGACCACGTGTATGGCTTTGTGTGGGCAGGCGGTTTGCTGATGTCAACGTTGTGAACAGAGTGCCCCATGGTGGCGGTGGGGTTATGGTATGGGCAGGCATAAGCTACAGACAACGAACACAATTGCATTTTATCGATGGCAATTTGAATGCACAGAGATACCGTGAAGAGATCCTGAGGCCCATTGTCGTGCCATTCATCCGCCGCCATCACCTCATGTTTCAGAAGGATAATGCACGTCCCCATGTCGTAAGGATCTGTACACAATTCCTGGAAGCTGAAAATGTCTCAGTTCTTCCATGGCCTGCGTACTCACCAGACATGTCACCTATTGAGCATGTTTGGGATGCTCTGGATCGACGTGTACGACAGCATGTTCCAGTTCCCGGCAATATCCAGCCATTTGAAGAGAAGTGGGAAAACATTCCACAGGCCACAATCAACTGGCTCATCAACTCTATGCCAAGGAGATGTGTCGCGCTGCATGAGGCAAATTATTGTCACTAGATACTGACTGGTTTTCTGATCCCAACCCTACTTTTCTTTTTTTAAGGTATCTGTGACCAACAGAAGCATATCTGTATTCCCAGTCATGTGAAATCCATAGATTAGGGCCTAATGAATTTAATTAAATTGACTGATTTCCTTTATATGAACTGTAACTCTGTAAAATCTTTGAAATTGTTGCATGTTGCGTTTTATTTTTGTTCAGCATAAAATGTACAAATTAATTAAATACAATTTTTTAAATAAAAAAGTCAAACTTTATCCTAAATATAAACCAACTTAGTGAATACCATTGGTGTTTAATAAGAGGGTTTCACCATAAAATATAATTTTTATATTTGTTATACACACCGGGGAGAAAAAAATATGTCCATATGTATTTGTTGTCAATGTTTTTGCGTCACACTGGTGGCAGTTGGTAAATTACAGGTAGCTTTGCAACCCTGGTCTCACACACACAAACACACACACACACACGTGAGATCATGTCATCAATACTGGACACGCGACTGACCAATGAGCTTGTGCAGCAAGTCATCATACATTACACTACACAGATTCTCTCATTGCATTATCATACTGAAACATGAGGTGAAATAGTGTTGTCTTTTACCGATCCCTGAATACATAGAGTATCTGGAAAGTAGTTATTCGTAAGAGTCCTTAGATATCATGGTTAGGGCCTGGTGTTTTTCCTGTCCATGTCACATGATCAGGAAAAACTCTGGGCCCCAATCACGGTACTTTGTTCAGTGTTGAATAGAAAGTCAGGGAGGGGAGGAGGTCCTAATATGTGTGACTGGTTTCCTCCCTGCTCCTTTTCCCCAGTATTTCAGGCAACTGTTGAGGGGGGCCGAATCCCCTGCCAGGAACTCTAAACTGAGCAGGTGGGTGCTGTATTTCCATAGCCATAGAGCCGTGGTTGTATATATTGTGTCTGTCTATGTTCTGTATCTATTCTACCTTGGCTTGTCTTTACTGTGCACCCGTGGTGTCAGTAGACTAGTTAACCTCGATGGAAGGCACAGTTTAGATTTTTGGATCCTTTTTGTACTCACAAGTACACAAATTCTCCAATCAGGTAGTTGAATTTAGTTTTGGACCAAAGGGATATCCGAAGCTCCTCTGTGCGATATTAACTCATTCACCAGGGTGTCTATCACAGGAGGTTGGTGGCACCTTAATTGGGGAAGACTGGCTCGTGGTAATGACTGGAGCGGAAGAGTGGAATGGTATGAAATTCATCAAACACATGGTTTCCTTGTGTTTGATGCCATTCCATTCGCGCCGTTCCAGCCATTATTATGAGCCGTCCAGGTGTGTACAGATAACATTGGACTTATACTACTCAAGCTATAGACACTGTTATCTGTACACACCTGTATCACAGTGGCAAAGTTCAGTCAGTGTCTGTCGTCTGGTGGTGTGTTTTCATGGGGTGTTTGTGAGTGGCCTGTCATCCTTAACTCCTTGTGCCTGCTATTATTCCAGAAATAGCCTGAGTTTGGATGACATCCGGTGAGTATGCCCCTTCAGTATGGTGCTCAGCAACGGCTCTCCATTGCCTAGTTAACACTGCACGCAAGATATGTAACTATACTTGCCTGAATGCAGTCTGAGGAAAAGAATGCTGCCTTTGTAACAAACTCGACAAACCCTTGTGGAGTTTAGTCAACTGTGCTATGTGTAAGCAATCGCCTCCTTTATAACGCACATTGTTAAAGAAAAGTTATAAAAATGTATTTTTTGCACAGATCTGTGCTCCCTTGCAGCAAAAAGGAAGGGAGGGTGGGGAATGGTTCTTGTTCTCTCGTAGGAACAGTCTTTGTTATAAAGGCAGTGGTCAAGGCAGCATGGACTGGCTGTCAGAAAGGAGGAGGTGAACGAGGAGAATTTAAAGTAGAGAATGGCACTTTCTGCTTCGGCACCCCCATGCGTGAACACCGGCCCTGTCGCTAACCCCCTCCCCTTGTCTGTCTCTCTCTCACCAACTGCTCGCCTATATCCACCATCTTGGACTGTGCTTGTTTTTTTTGTCCATCCATCCCTCTGGATGTTCCATGCCTTACACACTGATGGCTCCCCGCTCTAAAGCTCCTGGGAGTGGGACTATGCCCAGAGCCCTGAGTCCCCGTCCAGCACCCCTGGTTCCTCCTCACCTGCATCTGTTAACCACCACCTTCATGTCCAGTCCATTGTTGCCCTCCCATCCGGCTCTTATGGCTGTCTAACCTCACGCCCTGGCTCGCTGAAGTAAGTCAGGGTCCATTGCGAGGCCTGTGTGTATCCTACATCCCACCCAACCCCACCGCTATACATCGCACTCGCCTCCCATCTCCTATGCATGGGTACTTGTCTTGTGGTGCTAATGTTTCTTGATTTGTTTGTCCATGTGTTCTGGATGAGTTCCCCTACTAGCATGGCCTCCTGGTTTGTGACCGTTATGGGTCTTTGTTTGAACGTGTCAATTTTGTGTTCATTTTTGATTCGGTTGACAACACAGTGTGTGATTTCATCAGTCATTCACAAAGTGTCAGTGTTGTTGTAATTTTACTATTTTTTTTGGCTAAAGCAAAATTAGTTTGTTTTCAAATGAGTGTGATTTGAGTGTATACCCCAAGCCACTCTCATCCTATAATCTCATCAATGATTTTTCATCCATTCAATTCACTTCCATTTCATTAATCCATTCAATTTACTGTTATCTGTGGTGTGCATTTTTCTGTGAGATGTCAATGAATTGTGACTGTGGTCTGATGTGGCTACCCTGGCTTCTACCTCCCCCACCTCAACCCCGAACGATATACAGTATCCCCTCCGTCTTCCAGTCTGCACCCACACTGCATGCGCTGTTCTGAAGCCATGCACAACTCCTGCATTGTCACAAAAATAAACAGTCTCTTCTTTGGCCTGCAGGAACACCTCGAAGCGGGGCGAGTCGTTCGGAATCAGCCGCATCGGCAGCAAGATCAAGGGGGTGTTCAAGAGCACCACAATGGAGGGAGCCATGCTGCCCTCTTACGGGTTGGTGGAGGGAGAGGATGATGTGGTGAGTACAGTGTGCGGCCACTGGGCTACAGTGTGGAGCCATGATTAGTTAGGATCGCACACTCCGGAAATGAAGGATTCATGGTAGAAGTGAATCTATGGAAGTCTTGGCAGATATGGTTTCTGTTGAATCCATATGGTATATGATGATGTTATTCTGCAGAGTGTACCTTGAATATGGAAGATGGGCTTGGGACTTTACTTCTTTGAATTTTGAAATTAATTCACCAGATTAGTAAGAGGAGGAGACTTTATGAAGCAATAAGGATAAGAAATATTTATTTGCCAAGAACAGTCATTTTTAAAGGTTGTGAGATTTCACTAACCTTTTCATTGGAAACCTGGTTAATAGATTACAGTTGCACGGTCAGGTAGATAAATAAACTGGAATGGGGGCCTGTTGACCCAATTTCTGTGGAATTTCAGTATCAGAGGTACTTTCTTTGTTCCTTGTCCTCCTCCCCAGTGCCCAACAACAACAATGTATGTTGATGTACTGGTCTGTATGTTTGCTTATTCAATACCATGATGTGTTTCTTTCTTTGTGCTAAGCATACAACAATTAGTTTTTTTCACTTTTTTGGTATATCATTTCTACTTGAAATGGCAACACCCTGCAACAAATTCACTAAAGGGGTCATCTTTAGGGTTTCTGCTAAGAAAATATGTGACGTTGAACTCAACAAAAAATGGTTTATGATCATGTTTGATTCACTGACAGAGACCACTGCCCTGCCCCCTCTGACTATGTATCATTATCATCATTCCCACAGCGTTGCACAGCCGACCTCAGTATGTTGTTCTTCTTCTTCTCCTCCCAGAGCCTTCCGTAGCTCACCCACTAGATTAGTTCACATTCTAGCTATATTTTACCCCCACTAGAGCTGCTGTCAGTGAATACATCTCCCATTTTACATCCTGTACTACTTAGATGTCCTTTGTTTATTGTAGTAAGTCTTGTATATGTCACTCAATATCAGTGGACCTTTGCAGTGCGTTTCTCTTTTTACCTTGTTGTGGTTCTGTGCAGCTCCACACAAGCTTTACCATGTATGGGACCTCAGACCTGGGCACGTATTCACAAAGAGTTTCAGAGTAGGAGTGCTGATATACACAGTTTATTAGGTACACCCGTCTAGTACCGGTTCGCACCCCCCTTTGCCTCCAGAACAGCCTGAATTCTTATGTATAAGATATGCCATTTAGCTGACGATTTATCCAAAGTGACTTAGTCATGTGTGCATACATTTTACATATGGGTGGACCTGGAAATCGAACCCACTATCCTGGCATTGCAAGCGCCAAAGCCATGCTCTACCAACTGAGCTACAGAGGACCAATTCTTTGGGGCATGGATTCTACAAGGTGTTGGAAACATTCCACAGGGATGTTGGTCCATGCTGACGTGATGGCATCACGCAGTTGCTGCAGATTGGACGGCAGTACATTCATGCTGCGAACAGCCCATTCCATCTCATCCCAAAGATGCTCTATTGGGTTTGGTCAGCAGCAATGTTCAGATACACTGTGGCGTTCAATTGTTATTCAATTGCTATCAAGGGACCTAATGTGTGCCAGGAAAACATTATCTACACCACTGCCACCAGCCTGTACCATTGACACCAGGCAGGATGGGTCCATGGACTCATGCTGCTTAACCAAATACTGACTCTGCCATCAGCATGACGCAACAAAACTGAGATTTGTCGCACCAGGTAATGTTTTTCCACTCCTCAATTGTCCAGTGTTGGTGATCGCGTGCCCATTGGAGCCGCTTCTTGTTTTTAGCTGATAGGAGTGGAACCCGGTGTGGTCGTCTGCTGCAATAGCCTACTCTGAGACCCTTTGTGAATAGAGGTCCAGATTCCATACAAACGTTTTGGCTGTCATGCATTGTCTTGACCTTTTACCCTCCCTGATCTCTGACCCCCCCCCCCCCCCCCTCTCTCTGTGGCTGGGCTCTGTCAGGTGGAAGAGGCCATGATGGTTCTGGAGGATGACTCTCCCATGGAGGCCGTCAGTACCCCCAGCACCCCTCGCAATCTCTCAGCCTGGACCATCACCATCCCCTACATAGACTTCTACGATGATGACATCAAGAGGGAGAGGATCCCCGTGTTCTGTATTGACGTGGAGCGCAACGACAGGAAGGCAGGTGAGACTCACAGGCTGCTCTGGGATCAGTGTGGCCTACAGGTGAAACTAGGCCCAGGGGCTTAAGTATTACCTACAGGCTGGTCTGGGATCAGTGTGGTCTACAGGTGAAACCAATGCTACTGATAATGTATATGGGTCTAAAGTGCTTTTTTGACTAGGTTCAAATCTACAATGGCTAAACAAGGCTGTTCTACACACCATTAGCACAGGATGAAATTCGGCTTCATGATCTAATATCATGCTGCCTGTCGCTGACATAATGTAAGTCACTCATCAGAGAACTTCCTCTGTGTTCTGTCAGTCATTGACAGATTTACAGTTTTTCTTTCCATCAAATGTTTCAAATACCTTAAGCTTCCCACTAATTGCAAAACAGATACACAAGGGATGATTTTGCAGAGATATTTACAATATGTAGGCCTACTGTACAGTTTCTTCAGAAAGTATTCACACCCCTTGACTTTTTCCACATTTTGTTGATGTAGCCAGAATTTAAAAAGGATTAAATATATATATATTTTTGTGTCTCTGGCCTATACACAATACCCCATAATGTCAAAGTGGAGTTATGTTTTTAAGTTATTTAAAAATAATATAAAAATGAAAAGCTGAAATGTCTTAAGTCAATAAGCATTCAACCCCTTTGCTATGGCAAGCATAAATTTAAGTTCAGCAGTAAAGAATTTGCTTAACAAGTCACATGTAAGTTGCATGGACTCACTCTGTGTGCAATGATAGTGTTTAATATTATTTTTGTACCCCACACATAAAATGATCTGCAAGGTCCCTCAGTCGAGCAGTGAATTTCAAAGACAGATTCAACCACAAAGACCAGGGAGGTTTTCCAATGCCTCGCAAAGAAGGGCACCTATTGGTAGATGGGTAAAAAAAAAAGCAGACATTGAATATCCCTTTGAGCATGGTGAAGTTATTAATTACACTTTGGATGGTGTATCAATACACCAAGTCACTACAAAGATACAGGTGTCCTTCCTAACTCAGTTGACGGAGAGGAAGGGATTTCACCATGAGGCCAATGGTGATTTTAAAACAGTTAGAGTTTAATGGCCACAATACTAACCTAAATGACAGAGTGAAAAGAAGGAAGCCTGTACAGAATAAAAAATATTCCAAAAAGAAATGTGGCAAAGAAATTAACTTTGTCCTGAATACAAAGCTTTATGTTTGGATCAAATCCAACGCAACACATCACTGAGTACCACTCATCATATTTTCAAGCATGGTGGTGGCTGCATCATGTTGTGGGTATGCTTGTCATCGGCAAGGACTAGGGAGTTTTTTTATGATAAAAAGAAACAAAGAGCTAAGCTCAGGCAAAATCCTAGAGGAAAACCTGGTTCAGTCTGCTTTCCAACAAACACTGGGAGACACATTTACCTTTCAGCAGGACAATACACAAGGCCTAAAACACAAGGCCAAATATACACTGTAGTTACTTACCAAGATGACATTGAATGTTCCTGAGTGGCCTACTTACAGTTTTGACTTAAATCGACTTAAAAATCTATGGCAAGACTTGAAAATGGCTGTCTAGCAATGATCAACAACCAACTTGACAGAGCTTGAAGAATTTTTAGAAGAATAATGTGCAAATATTGTGCAATCCAGGTGTGCAAAGCTCTTAGAGACTTACTCAGAAAAACTCACAGCTGTAATCGCTGCCAAAGGTGATTCTAACATGTCGGGGGTTGCATAATTATCTAATCAAGATAGTATATTAGTGTTTTTTATTTGTAATTTAGTTTTCCAAATGTTAGATTTTTTTTCTTCCACTTTGACATTAGAGTATTTTGTGTAGATGTTGTGCAATTAAATCCATTCAATCCCACTTTGTTACACAACAAAATGTGGAAAAAGTCAAGGGGTACTTTCTGAAGACACTGTCCACTCTTAATATTGATGTATTTTCCCCCTTTGTATTTCACAGTGGGTCATGAGACCGAGCACTGGTCTGTATACAGAAGATATCTGGAATTTTATGTCCTCGAATCAAAACTCACTGAGTTTCATGGTAAGTACATGTTTTAGATGATTTCTTCAGGTTTCTGGTCCTGTAACCACTCATCATCCATTGTAAATGAACAGCCAGAACATATGAATCTCGAACATCGGCCAAATGTTTCTTCTCACACTGAATAATTCCACCCATTTCTAGGAATAGTTATAACAATATTTTCACATTGTTTGATTGTCTTCAAGCCTTCACATCCAGGAAATGTTTTTTGTTTGCTCCTTTGTCACAACAGGCTCATTCCCAGACGCCCAGCTGCCTTCCAAAAGAATCATCGGCCCCAAGAACTATGAGTTCCTGACCTCCAAGCGGGAGGAGTTCCAGGAGTACCTTCAGGTAGGTAGTCATTATGGACTGAACAAGCTCCGGGGTGAAGTTCCCCCTAGGTACAGATGTAGGATCAGCTTGCCCTCCCCGACTACTAATCTTAAACATTAATAAGGAAAATACAAAATTGACCCAAGATCAGCGTCTAGGGGAAACTTCACCTTGCACCAGTAAACAACAGAGAGACCATGCTTCGGAAATAGCTGGTCTGTCTCCCAATGGATATATGTCAGCTTATGTAGTGGCTGCAGTTAGAGTAGAGGCTAGAGAGGCGTATTAGTAACCAGAGGGTTTATGGTTCAAATCCCAGGGCTGCTGGGGTCAGAATCTACCACTAAACCCCAAATATAGGGTTACTGTGGTTGACCCTGAACTGGTTCCAGCCTCTCAAGTGTGTATGCTGACTCATGGGGTGGGGAGCCTAGGACACATTTCCATTGTTCCAAATGAATAACAAAGTGCTACTCTATGTCAGCCCTCTATGAATCTGTCAACAAAGTGAAGATTGTTGGATCTTTCTGTTTATTTTCCAGAAACTGCTCCAACACCCTGAGCTGAGCAACAGTCAACTGCTAGCAGACTTCCTCTCCCCTCACAGTATGGACTCTCAGTTTGTGGACAAGATGCTCCCTGATGTCAATCTAGGTATGCAACGCTGGCCAAGTAGCCTAGTCTCAGATCTGTTTGTGCCGTCTTGCCAACTCCTATGGTCATTGTAACGTGGCCAAGAGTTCAATGTTAATAACATCTCTCACAACCTGCTCTCCTGTTGAACTCCTTGTTGAACTCATTTGAGTTTAACATTGTTTATTTTGCCACAGGGAAGATCATCAAATCAGTGCCCAGCAAACTGATAAAAGAAGTAAGTCATGCATTTTCGACTTGGATTGGGAAAGAACGTTGTGGCAGCATCCTTGTAAAATAATTCCTGAGATAGTAATTTAGGAATGTAAGCCAAACATGCCTTTGGAATCCACCTATAAGTAATGTCAGCTATGTTATTATAGTATACCAGTTGAAATAAATGGGAACAGCAGGGATCCAGTGACTCAAATGTCACATAACACATTTTAACTGTTTAAGAGTGCTTTCACAGTAACCTATAAGGAATCTCCCCTGTGTTTCTTCCATCTCAGAAAGGGCAGCATTTGGAGCCATTCCTCAATTCCTTCTTTGACTCCTGTGAATCGCCCAAGCCCAAACCCAGCCGGCCAGAGCTGACCATCCTCAGTCCCACGTCAGAGAATGACAAGAAGGTGGGCTCACACTACACCTGGGTCTAAATAGTATTTATTTCCTTTCAAATATTTTAGGTGCGCTTGATTTGGCTTACCTAGCCTGCTGGGTTGGGGTGGGGGAAGGTTTGACCTTGCACTATTTCATTGGTTCCATTAGACTGGGGAAGCTAAATCAAATACACATTAAATATTTGGAAGAGAAGCAAATACTTTTATCGACCCGTGTCTGGCATGCACAGACTCCCATACTCACACACACTTACTTCAGTTGACAAGTGTTTGTAGTTAGGAGAGCTGCTTGATCGTTCAGCCAAATTGGAACAGATCCTTGAAATATAACTCCACTGCTGGATGTGTTTTTACATGTTGTTATTTTGTTATTCCCCTCCATTTTAAAGTGTTGTTGACCTTTGTTTGAACTCCCTAGCTCTTCAATGAACTATTCAAGAACAACGCCAACCGATCAGAGAGCACAGAGAAGAAACATAACCAGAACTACTTCATGGAGATGATCACTGTGGAAGGGGTGTATGACTACTTGATGTTTGTGGGTAAGTCGGCTCCACCCATAGCATTTGTCCATCCAGCGACAAAGTAGTGCAGGAATATAACGCTCAATACTAAATTGGTCTCTACTAGGTACTAGTGGAGATATGAGAGAATTAAGTAGGTGTAAACAACATGGCGGAAATTTTATCTAGCCAATCAGAGGATAAATCTGTGTTATTACCACCTTTGTTCCTATACCTATTTAGGAAATCGATAAGGGATTGGGTGGAACCTAGCATCTCATCATCACTCTCCCACTGCGTACTGTCATTGGCAGGTCGAGTGGTCTTCCGCATCCCTGATTGGCTGCACCACCTGCTGATGGGCGGGAGGATCCTGTTAAAGAACACCCTGGAGGCGTACACGGACCACTACCTGCAGCATAAACTAGACAAGGTGTTCCAGGAGCACCGCCTGGTTTCCCTCATCACCCTGCTCAGAGGTCGCTAGCTTACCGCCGACCTTCTACTGTTTTTTTCTTCCAATTATACTATTTTCTATTATTATCCTTCTATTTTGTAAAAGAAAATTCTAAACAAAAGCAATGAGTGATATGACTCCTATTTTGATGTGTGTGTATTCGTGTGATGTACTAGATGCTGTGTTCTGTGAAAACAGTGAGCCACGGTCCTTGGCAGATAAGCAGAAAAGGGCCAAGAAGACCTTTGAGGAGATGAGGAAATACATTCCAGGTCCTTAGTAGATCTCTTAAGGCCTATTATAAAACATATTGCCATGAATTGTCTCTAGTTCTGGCAGTGTATTCTGACAAGTATTTGAAATGTGAAATAAATAATATTCAGTGAATGGAGTTTAGATGGTTTCGTGAAGTTAAAGTGGGAATCTTGGCTAGGACTATTAGGTCTTCTTTTGGGTTTTATGTAGTTGAAAACCTGTTTTTAATTGCTATTAAGTCAACAACAAAAACATTATTAATTGAAAACAGTCAGAAGTCAATTGATTTGACCCTCTAAGATGACATGAGTGTTTTCTCTTCAGAATTCCTGGGCAAGTGTATTGGAGAAGAGGCCAGGTACGAGGGGGTGCGCTTGCTCTTCGATGGACTACAACAGCCAGTTCTTAACAAACAGGTACTACAACGCAGCGAGGCATCTAAAGTTACAACTAGCATCACACAAAGTACAGGAGAATGCAGGGTTGAAAAGAATGCTATCATACAGTGCCTTGCAAAACTATTCATCCCCCTTGGCATTTTTCCTATATTGTTGCATTACAACCTGTAATTTAAATTGATTTTTATTTGGATTTCATGTAATACATACACAAAATAGTCCAAATTGGTGAAGTGAAATGAAAAAAATTACTTGTTTCAAAAAATTCTAAAAAATAAATAGCGGAGAAGTGGTGCGTGCATATGTATTCACCCCCTTTGCTATGAAGCCCCTAAATAAGATCTGGTGCAACCAATTACCTTCAGAAGTCACAAAATTAGTTAAATAAAGTCCACCTGTGTGCAATCTAAGTGTCACATGATCTCAGTATATATACACCTGTTCTGAAAGGTCCCAGAGTCTGCAACACCACTAAGCAAGGGGCACCACCAAGCAAGCGGCACCATGAAGACCAAGGAGCTCTCCAAACAGGTCAGGGACAAAGTTGTGGAGAAGTACATATCAGGGCTATAAAAAAATATCCGAAACTTAGAACATCCCACGGAGCACCATTAAATCCATTATTTAAAAATGGAAAGAGTATGGCACCACAACAAACCTGCCAAGAGAGGGCCGCACACCAAAACTCACGGACCAGTCAAAGAGGGCATTGATCAGAGAGGCAACAAAGAGACCAAAGATAACCCTGAAGGAGCTGCAAAGCTCCACAGCGGAAATTGGAGTATCTGTCCATAGGACCACTTTAAGCCGTAACGCTCCACAGAGCTGGGCTTTACGGAAGAGTGGCCAGAAAAAAGCCATTGCTTAAAGAAATAAATAAGCAAACACGTTTGGTGTTCGCCAAAAGGCATGTGGGAGACTCCCCTAACATATGGAAGAAGGTACTCTGGTCAGATGAGACTAAAATTGAGCTTTTTGGCCATCAAGGAAAACACTATGTCTGGCGCAAACCCATCACCCCGAGAACACCATCCCCACAGTGAAGCATGGTGGTGGCAGCATCATGCTGTGGGGATGTTTTTCATCTGCAGGGACTGGGAAACTGGTCAGAATTTAAGGAATGATGGATGGTGCTAAATACAGGGAAATTCTTGAGGGAAACCTGTTTCAGTCTTTCAGAGATTTGAGACTGGGACGGAGGTTCACATTGGAGCAGTTTTGCCTTGAAGAGTGGGCAAACATCCCAGTGGCTAGATGTGCCAAGCTTATAGAGACATACCCCAAGATACTTGCAGCTGTAATTGCTGCAAAAGGTGGCTCTGCAAAGTATTGACTTTGGGGGGGGTGAATAGTTATGCACGCTCAAGTTTTCTGTTTTTTTTGTCTTATTTTTTTATTTGTATCACAAGAAGAAAATAAAATTAATCTTCAAAGTGGTAGGCATGTTGTGTAAATGAAATGATACAAACCCCCCCAAAATCCATTTTAATTCCAGGTTGTAAGGCAACAAAATGGGAAAAATGCCAAGGGGGGGTGAATACTTTTGCAAGCCACTGTATATCATTGTTTCAAATGCACGAAAACTGACTTGGTTGAAGTGTGAAAGCTCATTAGGGTCCTCATGCCTTGTAGGGTCCTTACTAGGGTCCTCAGCCATTGTAGGGTCCTTACTAGGGTCCTCAGGCATTGTAGTAGTTGGAGGCTTGTGAAGGCCAGTTGGTCAGTGACTTGTTATCCTACATGTAAACACCGGAAAGGCAGCCTATTTTTATTGTTATTGTTATTTATCAGACAGACCATGTGTAACATGAGTATGAGGTTGCTATATACCGTAGCTCATTTTCATCTGTGTCCCTGGGCAGCTAACATAATGAGAACGGTGTGTTTAGTACAGTACACTGCACTACATAGTTTACCACAATTTATTGCGTCTTTTAAGGGTTGTTAATCTAGACTGTATGATTTAAACGGCAGTAAACACATTTTAGATCAGTGATGAAAAATCCAATTTAGGAAGTGTCAGGTTTCATTGTATTCATTCTAATAATCCCCCTGCATAATTTTTCCTCAGTTGACTTATGTCTTACTGGACCTGGCTCTTCTAGAACTGTTTCCTGAACTGAACAAGGTAAATATATTATTTCAATTTAACTTCAAAAGGGAGACGGCAGCATGTCTGGTAAGAGGTGCGTTGGAACATGAATTTCGAATTACAAGATGTTTCTGTACACTACTTACTTGAAATGTTTAATTCACTTTATTGAAAGGCCTACATTTTGGTCTACCAACCGACAAGTATAAGTGCATTCAGTGTAAAAAGCCAGAACCGTCATCCTATAATAATTCTAGCAGTAATCATTGTTTATACATTGTATACATACTTTTAACATATGGATTTGATTTATTTTTTCTCCAGCAGCCGGGACAGAAGGAGACTCCTAACATGGCTCCATGGATGTAGCAAGAGGATGGGGACTCGCTTTAGTCTTTGCTTCATCTGTTTCATGTGCAATAGACTGTGTACATACAGCACTAAAACCATTGATACCGCTACACTTGTGATCATTTTTACTGTAAGCTGTGCTTAGCCTGTCATTTTTTACCATTGGCAATTTCCTAAGATACAGATTCGTAAAAGTATAACACTGGAAAAATGTGTTTGAAGATAAGCATGATTATGCTAATAGAATATTTATTGATAAAATAAAAAAACATCCTGATGTTCATTGTTCCAGTTCCTGACTGGCAAGATTCATAACATTAATCCGACTACACTTGTCCAAACTTGGTCACTGATTTTGTAAACCTCCCCACATGGTTTCTGTTTTCCTGTCTGGCCTATATCAATACGTGTTCAGGTCCAGGACAAATTTTTGTCTGCACTCTGCGGTAGTCATTAGCAACATGCAGTCCTCCCTTCTCAGCAAGCCTTCGAAATAGGGACACTTTAATACCATGGGTATTTCAAAAACTGATGTGGGAGGGGATTCTTTAGATTCCTCCATCGGTCTGTCAACACTTGAGGTGAAACACAATGGCTCTCCCAGTCAGATGTACAGGACAGTCAGACTTACTTCATATACTGCATGCAAAGCCATTTGACATGTCAGTTCTTAATCTTTGAAATAATTTAGAGGTCTGAATATCAAAGTTTTAGCCTAAAATATTTCATAGTCCTTTACAAACATGTCAGTCAACATTACTAAATTACAAAAAATCTACAAGAAATATACATGGCTCTAGAAAAGTGACAAAACAACAAATGATTGGCAGTTTGTATCTTACCTGTACGTACAGGTAACTGCCAAAATAAAGGAAACACTTGAGTAAATTAAGAATACAAAGTATATTGAAAGCAGGTGCTTCCACACAGGTGTGGTTCCTGAGTTAATTAAGCCATTAACATCGCATCATGCTTAGGGTCATGTATAAAATGCAGATATAAATACATTATTTATTGATATAGTATACTTTGCTTTCTCGTAAACAGCAGCCTTTTTACAAAAATAGAAATACCGGTATGAGCTACACCACCAAAAAAAGCAGCCATATTGTAATCTTGTGGACAGTGTTTCTCCTAGGCATGTGGACAGGGCCCACAGCAGGCCTAGCAGTAACAGAGTCAGACAGTTGGTTTCTGAACTTATTGCGGCCCTCCACAGTTGGGTACACCAGCTTCATCTCAGTGATATAGTTGGAGAAAACAGAGCAGTCCACATCACCTATAGGCAAGACTTAAGAAAAGCAGAGTTTAATCCTCTTGCTATAGCAGGGTTAGATTGAATAATTTGATTTCAAACACATACCATTGGCTCACTGTGTGGCTTTGGGTCAGGCATCAAGTTTGCCACAGCCAATATTATCTAAAATGATATTTACATTTTAGTCATTTAGCAGACGCTCTTATCCAGAGCGACTTACAGTTAGTGAGTGCATACATTTTCATACTGGCCCCCTGTATTCATTAACAAGATAATTTACACCCGCTGTTAAGATGTTTACTGCATTTTAATGGCATATTTTCTAAGCCTGTGTGGCTTGCCATCTTTTGGTGCATTACGGCGCCATAAGCAAAGTCAACAAGTATTTAAAGCCTGTACTCGTGAAGCAATAATACACTTCTGTCAAGTACTCAAGTGTTCCTACAACTAGGAGGCTTTATTTACAAGTCCCTTCACAGATATTTACTGGAAATCGAATGCCATTTATTTATTATTCTCTGTAATGTCATATATTACAGTCTTACAACAGCAGAGCCTCAGGTGACCAATACATAAGTATTTTTTCATGTGTGAAAAATGTTTAAGGAAAGGTTGAGAAACAACTCTGAAGTGATTGACAGGGCCAGAGTGTTTCAATATGCTTTGCGTTGTAGTCACGACAGACAAAGATATATAGTTAAGCAAACTTTACTAGGCATGTTGTCAACCCGCACATTCATACAGGAAGTCCCAACTGGTTTCCGTTTCCTTTGTAACATCAATATGAGTAACATCAATATTGCTACACGTTCTCTTTTCTTTTTTTCCCCTGCTTTTTTTTTTAAACAACAAAGGTAGACTCCACCTAACTTTGGCTTGTAGTCCATGTCTGCAATAAACTGGAATGTGAACTGAATGTTTGTTTACTGTCTCTGACTGTCCATTCATTCTTATTATTTTTACCTTCCCACAAAGTATTTCAGGTGTATAGGTCTTCGGATGGCCCTACCAGACCTTGTGTGGGGACTACATCAGGAGGTGCTTGACTTGAGATGTTTGGATCTACTTGTTGAGGTGCAGCGTCCACCTCTAGGTTGTGTTCAGCACCCTGCTGGGTGTCAGCTGGTGCTCTGTTTACTGGCTCTGTGCCAGGCTCCTCAACAGTGGGGAAATCCTCCTCTAGTTCTCTGCTCTTCCTCAGGTGTCGCCTGTTCCTCCTGAAGACTTGTCCCTGTTCTGTCTTCACCTTATAGGACCTTTGCTCCACTGATCTGACTACTGTGACCCTCTGCCACCAGTGTTTCTGTCCTGTGAGTGGCTGAACTCTCACCCTGTCATCTCGTTGCAGCTCTGTGAGATCCTTAGCAGAGGTGTCGTAGTTGTCACGCCCTGACATTGAGATCTCTAGTTGAGTTGGTCAGGGTGTGAAATCTAGTTTATATATTTCTATGTTGGCCGGGTGTGGTTCCCAATCAGAGGCAGCTGTCGGTCGTTGTCTCTGATTGGGGATCATACTTAGGCAGCCATGTTGCCTACCTTAGTTGTGGGATCCTGTTTCTGTTTGGCTTGTTTGATGTTTAGCCTCTTGAACTTCACAGTCTGGATTTTGTTATTTTGTCTGTGTTTATTAAAATAAACGACTATGTACGCATACCACGCTGCACCTTGGTCCGATCCTTTATACAACGAACGTGACAGTAGTACTTCGCCTGTTTCTGCTGTCTTTCTTTGAACTTCTCCAGCTGACAGTTTGCCATCCCCGGTCTCAGAAGATTTTCACTCATTATAAGTAGTGTCTTTGTACGTCTTCCCATGAGCACTATTGCAGGGCTGCTGTCTGTTCCTTGTGATGGGGTATTTCTGTGATCCAGCATGGCCAGGTATGGGTCAGCACCTGCTCTCTTTGCTTTTGCCATCAGTCTTTTGGCTGTTTTCACTGCCGATTCCACTTTCCCATTACTTTGCGAAGCTCTTTGCCACATTCTCCTCCCTGCTGAATCCCCCCCCCCCCCCCCTCCCTCTCTGTGGATGACTTCGTCAACCATTTTGAAATAAGGTTGACGACATCCGATCCTCGTTTGTTAAGTCAAATGACACTGCTGGTCCTGCTCACACTGCCCTACCCTATGCTTTGACTTCTTTCTCCCCTCTCTCTCCAGATAAAATCTTGCGACTTGTGACGGCAGGCCGCCCAACAACCTGCTCGCTTGACCCTATCCCCTCCTCTCTTCTCCAGACCATCTCCGGTGACCTCCCTTACCTCACCTCGCTGATCAACTCATCCTTGACCGCTGGCTATGTCCCTTCCGTCTTCAAGAGAGCGAGAGTTGCACCCCTTCTCAAAAAACCAACACTCGATCCCTCTGATGTCAACAACTACAGACCAGTATCCCTTTCTTTTCTCTCCAAAACTATTGAGCGTGCCGTCTTTAGCCAACTCTCTTGCTATCTCTCTCAGAATGATCTTCTTGATCCAAACCAGTCAGGTTTCAAGAATGGTCATTCAACTGAGACTGCTCTTCTCTGTGTCACGGAGGCTCTCCGCACTGCTAAAGCTAACTCTCTCTCCTCTGCTCTTGTCCTTCTAGACCTGTCTGCTGCCTTTGATACTGTGAACCATCAGATCCTCCTCTCCACCCTCTCCGAGCTGGGCATCTCCGGCGGGGCTCACTCTTGGTTGCGTCCTACCTGACCGGTCGCTCCTACCAAGTGGCGTGGCGAGAAGCTGTCTCCGCACCACGTGCTCTCACCACTGGTGTCCCCCAGGGCTCAGTTCTAGGCCCTCTCCTATTCTCCCTATACACCAAGTCACTTGGCTCTGTCATATCCTCACATGGCCTCTCCTATCATTGCTACGCTGACGACACACAACTAATCTTCTCCTTTTCCCCCTTCTGATAACCAGGTGGCGAATCGCATCTCTGCATGTCTGGCAGACATATCAGTATGGATGACGGATCACCACCTCAAGCTGAACCTTGGCAAGACGGAGCTGCTCTTCCTCCCGGGGAAGGACTGCCTGTTCCATGATCTCGCCATCACGGTTGACAACTCCGTTGTGTCCTCCTCCCAGAGTGCGAAGAGCCTTGGCGTGACCCTGGACAACACCCTGTCGTTCTCCGCTAACATCAAGGCGGTGACCCGATCCTGTAGGTTCATGCTCTACAACATTCGGAGAGTACGATCCTGCCTTACACAGGAAGCGGCACAGGTCCTAATCCAGGCACTTGTCATCTCCCGTCTGGATTACTGCAACTCACTGTTGGCTGGGCTCCCTGCCTGTGCCATTAAACCCCTACAACTCATCCAGAATGCCGCAGCCCGTCTGGTGTTCAACCTTCCCAAGTTCTCTCACGTCACCCCGCTCCTCCGCACACTCCACTGGCTTCCAGTTGAAGCTCGCATCTGCTACAAGACCATGGTGCTTGCCTACGGAGCTGTGAGGGGAACGGCACCTCCGTACCTTCAGGCTCTGATCAGTCCCTACACCCAAACGAGGGCATTCCGTTCATCCACCTCTGGCCTGCTGGCTCCCCTACCTCTGCGGAAGCATAGTTCCCGCTCAGCCCAGTCAAAACTGTTCGCTGCTCTGGCACCCCAATGATGGAACAAGCTCCCTCACGACGCCAGGACAGCGGAGTCACTCACCACCTTCCGGAGACATTTGAAACCCCACCTCTTTAAGGAATACCTGGGATAGGATAAAGTAATCCTTCTACCCCCCCCTTACCCCAACCCAAACCCCAACCGCAAAAAAAATAAAAAAAATAAAAACATTGTGAAGTGGTGATCCCACTGGCTATAAGGTGAATGCACCTATTTGTAAGTCGCTCTGGATAAGAGCGTCTGCTAAATGACGTAAATGTAAACGTAAATGTAAGGATGTCAGGTATCCCATAGCGTGCAAAGTGTGTCTTCAGTTTTCGAATGACCGTTTTCGACTGTGTGTTCTCCAAATGGTCCACTTCCCAGAAGTTGGAGAGATAATCAACTGTGACCATGTAGTCTCTGTCGTTGAACTGGAACAGGTCAGTCCCTATTTTTTTCCCAGGGACGCTTTGGTGCTTCGTGGGGCCTCAACGTTTCTTTCTGCTGCTTCATACCCCATGCCGTGTAGGTGCTACATTGTGCCATGTATGTTCTCAGCTGTGCATGCATGCCTGGCCAGTAGACACACTCGCGAGCTCTTCTCAGACATCAAATCAAATTTTATTGGTCACATGCGCCGAATACAACAGGTGCAGACATCACAGTGAAATGCTTACTTACAGCCCTTAACCAACAGTGCATTTATTTTTAACAAAAAAAGTAAAAATGAAACAACAACAAAAAAAGTGTTGAGAAAAAAAAGAGCAGAAGTAAAATAAAATAACAGTAGGGAGGCTATATATACAGGGGGGTACCGTTGCAGAGTCAATGTCCGGGGGCACCGGCTAGTTGAGGTAATATGTACATGTGGGTAGAGTTAAAGTGACTATGCATAAATAATTAACAGAGTAGCAGCAGCGTAAAAAGGATGGGGTGGGGGGGCAGTGCAAATAGTCCGGGTAGCCATGATTAGCTGTTCAGGAGTCTTATGGTTTGGGGGTAGAAGCTGTTGAGAAGTCTTTTGGACCTAGACTTGGCACTCCGGTACCGCTTGCCGTGCGGTAGCAGAGAGAACAGTCTATGACTAGGGTGGCTGGAGTCTTTGACAATTTTGAGGGCCTTCCTCTGACACCGCCTGGTATAGAGGTCCTGGATGGCAGGAAGCTTGGCCCCAGTGATGTACTGGGCCGTACGCACTACCCTCTGTAGTGCCTTGTGGTCGGAGGCCAAGCAGTTGCCATACCAGGCGGTGATGCAACCAGTCAGGATGCTCTCGATGGTGCAGCTGTAGAATTTTTTGAGGATCTGAGTACCCATGCCAAATCTTTTCAGTCTCCTGAGGGGGAATAGGCTTTGTCGTGCCCTCTTCACGACTGTCTTGGTGTGTTTGGACCATGATAGTTCGTTGGTGATGTGGACACCAAGGAACTTGAAGCTCTCAACCTGTTCCACTACAGCCCCGTCGATGAGAATGGGGGCGTGCTCAGTCCTCTTTTTTTTCCTGTAGTCCACAATCATCTCCTTTGTCTTGGTCACGTTGAGGGAGAGGTTGTTGTCCTGGCACCACACGGCCAGGTCTCTGACCTCCTCCCTATAGGCTGTCTCATCGTTGTCGGTGATCAGGCCTACCACTGTTGTGTCGTCGGCAAACTTAATGATGGTGTTGGAGTCGTGCCTGGCCATGCAGTCATGGGTGAACAGAGAGTACAGGAGGGGACTGAGCACGCACCCCCGAGGGGCCCCTGTGTTGAGGATCAGTGTGGCAGATGTGTTGTTACCTACCCTTACCACCTGGGGGCGGCCCGTCAGGAAGTCCAGGATCCAGTTGCAGAGGGAGGTGTTTAGTCCCAGGATCCTTAGCTTAGTGATGAGCTTAGAGGGCACTATGGTGTTGAATGCTGAGCTGTAGTCAATGAATAGCATTCTCACGTAGGTGTTCCTCTTGTCCAGGTGGGAAAGGGCAGTGTGGAGTGCAATAGAGATTGCATCATCTGTGCATCTGTTGGGGCGGTATGCAAATTGGAGTGGGTCTAGGGTTTCTGGGATAATGCTGTTGATGTGAGCCATGACCAGCCTTTCAAAGCACTTCATGGCTACAGACGTCAGTGCTACGGGTCGGTAGTCATTTAGGCAGGTTATCTTAGAGTCCTTGGGCACGGGGACTATGGTGGTCTGCTTGAAACATGTTGGTATTACAGACTCAGTCAGGGACATGTTGAAAATGTCAGTGAAGACACTTGCCAGTTGGTCAGCACATGCTCGGAGTACACGTCCTGGTAATCCGTCTGGCCCTGCGGCCTTGTGAATGTTGACCTGCTTAAAAGTCTTACTCACATCGGATACGGAGAGCGTGATCACATAGTCATCCGGAACAGCTGGTGCTCTCATGCATGCTTCAGTGTTGCTTGCCTCGAAGCGAGCATAGAAGTGGTTTAGCTCGTCTGGTAGGCTTGTGTCACTGGGCAGCTCACGGCTGTGCTTCCCTTTGTAGTCTGTAATAGTTTTCAAGCCCTGCCACATCCGACGAGCGTCAGAGCCAGTGTAGTACGATTCAATCTTAGTCCTGTATTGACTCTTTGCCTGTTTGATGGTTCGTCGGAGGGCATAGCGGGATTTCTTATAAGCGTCCGGGTTAGAGTCCCGTTCCTTGAAAGCGGCAGCTCTACCCTTTAGCTCAGTGCGGATGTTTCCTGTAATCCATGGCTTCTGGTTGGGGTATGTACGTACGGTCACTGTGGGGACGACATCATCGATGCACTTATTGATGAAGCCAGTGACTGATGTGGTGTACTCCTCAATGCTGTCTGAAGAATCCCGGAACATGTTCCAGTCTGTGCTAGCAAAACAGTCCTGTAGCTTAGCATCTGCGTCATCTGACCACTTTTTTATTAACCGAGTCACTGGTGCTTCCTGCTTTAGTTTTTGCTTATAAGCAGGAATCAGGAGGATAGAGTTATGGTCAGATTTGCCAAATGGAGGGCGAGGGAGAGCTTTGTATGCGTCTCTGTGTGTGGAGTAAAGGTGGTCTAGAGTTTTTTTTTCCTCTGGTTGCACATTTAACATGCTGGTAGAAATTAGGTAGAACGGATTTAAGTTTCCCTGCATTAAAGTCCCCTGCCACTAGGAGCGCTGCATCTGGATGAGCGTTTTCCTGTTGATTTATGGCCTTGTACAACTCATTCAGTGCAATCTTAATGCCAGCATTGGTTTGTGGTGGTAAATAGACAGCTATGAAAAATATAGATGAAAACTCTCTTGGTAAATAGTGTGGTCTACAGCTTATCATAATATACTCTACCTCAGGCGAGCAAAACCTCGAGACTTCCTTAGTATTTGATTTTGTGCACCAGCTGTTGTTTACAAATATACACAGACCGTTCTATCCTGCCGATGTAGCATATAGCCCGCTAGCTGTATGTTATCCATGTCGTCGTTCAGCCACGACTCGGTGAAACATAAGATATTACAGTTTTTAATGTCCCGTTGGTAGGATAACCGTAATCTTAAATCATCCAATTTATTTTCAAATGATTGAACGTTGGCTAATAGGATTGATGGAAGAGGCAGTTTACTCGCTCGCCGTCGGATCCTTACAAGGCACCCCGATCTACGTCCACGATATCTCCGTCTCTTCCTCACGCGAATGACGGGGATTTGGGCCTTGTCGGGTGTCTGTATGATATCCTTCGCGGCCGCCTCGTTGAAGAAAAAATCTTTGTCCAATACGAGGTGAGTAATCGCTGTCCTGATATCCAGAAGCTCTTTTTGGTTATAAGAGACGATGGCAGAAACATTATGTACAAAATAAATTACAAATAACGCGGAAAAACACATAATAGTACAATTGGTTAGAGGGCTGTAAAACGGCAGCCATCTTCTCCGGCGCTGTTCATCCCTCTGTTCCTATGTGTGAGGAATGGATTCTCTGCATGATCTCTGACCTGAGGGCAGTAGGTACAATGACTCACTCACCTCTGAAGATAACTCCATTTTGCACACTCAGCTCATCTCTGTTGTGAAAATACATGGCTACTTCCAAGGGTACATGTCCTTTCACTTCAGGCCACCCCTGCAGGATCACATTTTTCAGTGTCTGGAGCTCCCGGTCCAGCTCAGTGGCTCTCTGGATGTGCTTTAGTCTCTCGCTTGACACAGGGAGGTAGTGTATCATATTGATTGATTCCACTTCGACCTCCACAGGGCCTCTGTTGTCTTGTTCTGTGAGGTACGCCCTGCTCAGGGTGTCGGCCAGAACCATGTTTTCCCGGAACGTATCGGAGACTGACCTCATAGTTTTGGAGTCTCATGAGCATGCGTTGTAGTCTTTTTGGTGCACTGAGTAGAGGCTTTGTCATGATGCTCTCTAGAGGCTTGTGATCTGACTGCACTTCCACAGTTCGTCCATATGTGAATTGGTGGAACCTCTCCATGCCAAACACCACTGCAAGCAGCTCCTTCTCTATCTGTGCATACCCTTTTTCAGTCTCTGTCAGGGCTCTGCTGGCATATGCTATTGGTTGTCCTCCCTGCATCAAGGCTGCTCCTAACCCACTCTCTGAAGCATCACACTGTAGTACAAGCTGCTCTGTTGGGTTGTAGTATTTCAGCACAGGGGTCTGTGCAATGGCATCCCTGATTTTATTGAAAGCCTGCTCATGTCTCTCTGACCACTCCCACAGTGAGTCCTTGTATGTTAGCTGTTGCAGTGGCTCACAGAGCTCCGTGGCGTGGCTGCAGAACTTGGCTAGGTAGTTTACCATGCCCAGGAAGCGCTGCACCCCCTGCACATCTGTAGGCCTAAGCATCTGTTTAATGGCTGTCACTTTTCTTGGGTCCACTTTCAACCCCTCTGATGTTAGCAGGTGGCCAATGTAGGGCACTTCCTTCAGCCTGAGCTGCAGCTTCTCCGGATTCAGCTTGATATTGAGCTTCCTACATCTGTCCAGGAACATTTATGGTTTTTGCCGTGGTCCAGAGTTGCCGCTTCATCGTTGTCTCCTTCTCCCACAATCAGGATGTCATCTGCAATGATTTTGACTCCTGGAAGACATTCCATTGCCTGGCTCAACTTCCTCTGAAAGATCTCTGGGGCTGGACTGATTCCCATTGGCATGCGCAGCCACCTGTAGCGTCCCATGGGAGTAGAGAACGTGGTGAGGTAGCTGGATTCCTCCTCCAGTTCCACATGCCAAAATCCATTTTTTACATCACAAACAGAGAACACGCGTGCTCTGTTCAGATCTGGCAGCACGTCTTCAATAGTGGGAAGTGGGTAATGGCTCCTCTTGAGCGCCTTGTTGAGAGGTTTCGGATCAATGCACACTCTTAGTTTTCCAGACGGTTTCTTCACTACGATCAGGCTGCTAATCCAATCTGTGCTTTTTTCAACTGCTTTTATCATCCTTCTTTTCTCTAGACCACTGAGCTCCTCTTTGAGTGGTTTATATAGTGCTACTGGCCCTCTTCTCTTTGGCAGCTGGACGGGCTCCACTCGCTCATCCACTTCCAGCTTCAATTTGCCAGGTAAGCATCCATCTCCCTGGAATACATCAGAGTACTCTTGTTTAATTTGCTCTTTAGTCCAGGATCCTGTTGTTTTCTCGATGGCCAGGATGTTGTGATGCTGCACAGTAATCAACTCCATTGCCTGGATAGCCTTACTGCCTAGAATGGGCCTGTGCACATTCTTGTTGACTACGATGAACTCAACTCGGTAGGTTTTCTTATTGCGTGGATTGATCACTTTAAGTGTGCACTTCCCCAGTGGCGTCAGAGTACTCTTGTTATACATCACCAATACCTGACTGCAGGGCTCTAGGTGACTGGCTTTTATGAGGTTTGCAGGGATAATATTACAACTAGCACCACAATCTAGCTGAAATCTGACTGACTTTTTGTTGACCAGCACGGTTGCAAAGAGAGCTGCATTGGGGTCTGTGGTTTTCTCCTGCACCACGTTGATGCTCTCTGACTTTGGCCCTAGTGTGATGCAGAGAACATCCTCATCGCTCTCTGAGTCAGCTAACGCATTTTCCATTGCCAGGACTCTGTTTCTCTTGCTGGTCCCTGCACTTTTGCAAACTGTAGAAAAGTGATTGTTTAAACCACAGGATTTACATTTTTGTCCATATGCAGGGCATTTTTCATTTTTTCTCTCATGTCCACAGTATCTGCATTGTACAATGCTCTGTCCCTCTGTAGGGTCTCCTCTCCCTCTCGGTCTATCTTTCTGTGTGACTGCATGCACTGCTACAGGGCCCTGCACATTTATGACTTTAGCTCTCTGTCTGGACAGTTCTGCAGCTCTTCCAATCTGTATGCATTTCTCTAAACTGAAATCAGTCTCTCTGAGTAAGCGCTCTCTAAATGTGGGTCACATGTGCCACACACAATCCTGTCCCCGATAAGACAGTCTGTGATTACTCCAAAGTTGCAGTTGGCCACTAGAGTCCTCAATTCAGTGAGATATTTGTCTAAACTCTCATCTTGGCCCTGACTTCGCATAAAAAAATCATCTCTCAATTGTTTCATTTTTCTTTGGATCACAAAATGCATCCAGTGCTGCAATTACTTCCTCAACAGAGAGATTGTCTTTTGTACTGCCCACACAGTCTCACAAATCTCTCTGCCTTTTCCCCCCAATGAGATAATACAGTAGCTTCACTTTGTAATCCTCAGGTTTTTCTCTCATTGTAAGAGCCATGTACAAATTGAATTCTTCTTTCCATCTTTTCCAGTTCAGTGCTAAATTACAATCAAGTCTATTTTCCCCGGAGGTTTCAGTGCATTTTCCATGGCGATTTATTCGTAGAATGGAACGTTAGCTACTCACGAATCTGCTTGTATCCAATAGCCAGTGTCAAAGTTGCGTCAATTCAAATCTGGCATTAGGAACAAAAGAGGTCAACACGACTTCTAAGATATACTAGTTATTTTAATTAATGCAAAAACCTTCAATGGTAAATATGATGTTTCGTATATACGGGCTCTTTGAAATACCTCGCAGGGCACTTCAGAGAACTAAATCCATTGTTTCAGATTGTTCTTCAAATACTCTTACAGAGAGAGTTTCCCACCTCTGCTGGCCAATCAGAGTAGAGACTTGAGCGTGGTTTAGACTTACTCAGCCTATCCGTTGGCGCACCGGCTGTTCCCCGCCTCTTCTGTTACCAGGCATACGTTTATCATAACAACCTGTCATAGTGAGAAGAGCCAGCTCCCCTAGACACCATTCCTACGTCCAAGGAAGGTTCACAGATCACAAAGAACCAGTATTTTCTAGTATTTGGAGACACAAATCCTTATCTCATTTTACCCCCTAAAACAGCTCTTCACATCAATCACAGCTTGCCAGGTGACACAACCTACATTAGCCCAGTCAAGAATGCATTCTTTCTAAGTTAGTCATCCCATCAATTATAAAAATAATAAATCTCTCACAATCCCCCTTTTCACACCCACTAGGGTGTGATTCAAAAAATAAGAAAACACAGGGTGTCATTCATTATAATACAATACAAACAAAAAGAATCACACTTTTATTAATAGGCCATAATGATACTAAAAAATAAAAACCCTCAGTCCATCTACACCCAACTTGCAAATTGTTACCACTCACCAAGGAACTTCAAACCATGAAACACAGGATTAATAGAACACAAAACATAAGATTGTTAAAACATAAAACACAAAACAGAGAAGTAAATTTTGGCCCCCTTTAGACACCCTCTAGTGTCACTCCACCAAGCCTGGTAGGTCATATCCTCCATTCCTAGGTTGGAGTCCAGGATTGGGCCGTATCTCACCATCTGTTGGGAAACCACCTTCCCCATCTCCTTTCTCACCAAACCTCAGACACAGGAAATAAGACAACATCCACAAAGAACAAGTATACCCATAGAAGCTATAACTTCACCCAGAATAGTTACAACAATAGTTTTCCATTTACCAAATATGTTATCAAACCAACCGTTTATGGAGCTATCAATACCAGAGTTCTCAGCCAGTTCGTTCGTCAGCGTAGTTACTCCCCTGAAGCTCTTTTGTCACGGACCCGTCCGGTGCTATATTGTTTGAGGATGAAAATACAGCACATATATCCAAACAGAACACAAACTCTGCCCCGCTCAGCCAAAAGCATATCTAAAGCTATTCTATTCTGCCATGTCATTAAGCTAGTTGCCGCTGTCTGCTCAGCTAATCCCTTTATTGCATCACGAGTGTGGTTTATAAATCTTTATAATTTATCCAATCTACGTTTTTATTAATTGTTGACCACCAAAAAAGACTTGATTCAAACTCAGCTGCGATCTGATTCCTAGCTTTGAATTGTTCTGGAACCCCTCGAGGTACTCCTATCCCATCAATATATATATCCTTTCATCAAAGGATCCCGGGAGGAGGTCCTACTTTCTACGTGACAACTCACCAGTCTCTGACACGTTTGATTGTTTACATATGTAGGTGAATTCTCAATCAGTTATCACCACACAACCATCAGATGTCAGCATGGGCCTGGTTTTGGTTCCTAAAATCCTCTGGCTGCAACAAAGAGGAGAGATTAGTCATGGTCTCTTTTAGTTGTGATATTCTCTGTGTGGGAGCAGGAGCTAAGATGCCCTACTCTGTATCCTATCTTACTAGTCCTAGAAAAACAATTAGAATCCCCTGAGACTTCAAACGTAGGCAACCTAGGTCGGAATGACTTTGTTATCGGGGGATACAGATAGTTCAAGTTACTACAAGACTCTTTCACCACATTCCCAGGTGGCTTGCATGGAGGATAAACCTGTTTTTGCGTACATCAGACTTTCAGACAGTACCTACCCTTCTATGGGTCGCACTGCCATTTCTGGTAATTCCCTACTTTCACAATACTACACCTGTCCCTAAACTGTGTATGGAGATTTACATATCCCCCCCGCTCGGTATGAGCAACTACATAATCCCAGGATGTACATGGTGACATACATATGGTGATGTCCTTCCCTAAAGTCCCTAGTACTTCCCCTTTCCCTACGTCTAGCTGTCTCCTATGCCTTCGTAGACTGTGCTCAGGTATTATTTTATCAACTTGTGTTAGGTTAACTACTACTTCTGGCTGATCAGGAGGGTTTGAGTGTGCTAGGAATATGGCCCCCACAATCAGACAGCTACCTACCGTCGGGAGACCTGTGAATCCCCACCCTCGCCCTGAGAACATGTCAGACGCCAACCCATTGCTTCACCTTCTACCGAACTCACACAGGGATGATCAGACAGGGTAAGGGAATCTTCGTTAAGGAGCCAACCCCCGAGCCCTAATGGTGATCGGTTCTTTCTCCTAACTCTGTGTTTGTTCATCAGGTGTAACTGGGTTTACCTTTTTGCAGTGTGTGACATGCACTGCAAAAATCTCTGAAGCTGGAGACTCTTATCTCCCTCAATAACTTTAAGCATCAGTTGTCAGAGCACCTTACCGATCACTGCACCTGTACACAGCCCATCTGAAATTAGCCCACCCAACTACCTCATCCCTATATTGTTATTTATTTTGCTCTTTTGCACCCCAGTATCTCTATTTGCACATAATCTTTTGCACATCTAGCATTCCAGTGTTAATACTATTGTAATTATTCTGCACTATAGCCTATTTATTGCCTTACCTCCATAACTTGCTACATTTGCACACACTGTATATATATTTTCTGTTGTATTTCTGACTTTATGTTTTTTACCCCATATGTAACTCTGTGTTGTTTTTTATTGCACTACTTTGCTTTATCTTGGCCAGGTCGCAGTTGTAAATGAGAACCTGTTCTCAACTGGCTTACCTGGTTAAATAAAGGTGAAATAAAAATAAAAATAAACCCAAGTGGATCTAATAGGACTTGATAGGGCCCTTCCCAACAGGCCTGCTTCCAGTTTTTCTTCTTTTAGGGACTGGATCCACACCCAGTCTCCTGGTTAGATAGAGTGGGTCACCTTCTCCTTTAGTTCACCTGTGGGGCACAAAACCTCTGACATACGGGTGTGGTTAATAAACTATCTTTACACATACATGTTCAGCTCTCAATTTCTAATCTTTTTTTTTTTAAAGTATTTTGTGCTCTCCTTCGTATATATTTATTATTTAATCCTATCATTATTATTTAATCCTATCACTCCCCCTTTTTGACACATGATTTGCCCATGTGTCAATATTACCACCTTCCTAAACCATCCCTTAGGTAATTTATCATCCAATTGCCATGCCTTTCATTTTCGAGATTGTCTTTTGCTTCTTTATTGCTCCTCCCACTTCCTTTGTCTTTTATGGCAGCTAAATTCGACTTTCATCCAGTTCAGAATCAATTAGTAATCCAATCATCAATCTCTTATCTTGTAAAAACACTCATGTTTAGTTCAAACTCTGTTCTACCCAGGCTCTCCCGGGCTTGACCTGAAGACTGATTGTTGGACATGACAAGTCTATATTTAGGTCACCTAAGTCTTCTGTCTAGCAACAAAGAATAAAAACCTCTATGTTCGTGATTAACCCAGTTATCTCTAATAGCCCACCAAAAAAACCCCATCATCTTTAAATCACGACCAATGTCATATCCCTCTTTACTCTCTACCATTTGGATAACATCCCTGATGTATGTATGCCTCCTTAGAGTTCCAAATTATTTTACCATGGGCTACCATTGCCTTCCCATAGATAAGATCACTTAATTTACCCGTATGCAGTACATAATGGAGTACCCAAACTTTACAGCAGTTTATCATTACCAAAAAGCTCATCATTTGTATTTTGTTTAACGGTTTTGGCGCTTCAAGTATAGCAGTTTTCCTGGATGAGTTTAACATTCGCCCCTCCTGAGTTATAGTGTGTCCTAGGTAAATGACCTCGCTCTGCCAAAGTTGAAGTTTCTTTTTGCTCACTTTGTGTCCCTGTTCTGCCAGGAAGGTTAACAATTGGATTGTATCCCTCTTACATCCCCCCTGAGTGGGATTAGCCAATATAATATCATCTACATAAACTAACATTTGGCTTCCTTCCCTAGGTTCAAACTTTCCCAAATTCTTAGATAGGGTGGCAGGTAGCTTAGTGGTTAAGAGCGTTGTGCCAGTAACCGAAAGGTCGCTGGTTCTAATCCCCGAGCCGACTAGGTGAAAAATCTGTCGATGTGCCCTTAAGCAAGGCACTTAACCCTAATTGCTCCTGTAAGTCGCTCTGGATAAGAGCGTCTGCTAAATGACGTAGATGTAGATGTAGATGTTATAGCCTGGACAAAGATTGTAAGACTTTCTGAGTAGCCTTGAGGCATCCTAGCGTAAGTCCATTTCCTTCCCTAAAAAGTAAAGCCAAACCACCCCTGACTATCCGGATGAACTGGGATACTAAAGAAAGCATTAGCTAAATCTATCACTGTAAAACAGAAGTTCTCTAGTTTCAATTGGTTCAGCAATGTATGTGGATCTGGTACACATGGAGCTCTGGGAATTATATTTCTATTAACCCCCTGCAAGTCCATGACCATCCTCCAGTCGGCGCTAGGTGCCGCCTTTTTAACAGGAAATACTGGAGAGTTGCATTGTGCCTCATCTCCAGGAATTATCACCCCTCCCTTAAGTAAATGCTGAAATGTAGGTGTTATCCCTTTTATTGCTTCTGGTTTCATAGGGTATTGCTTTTGTTATGGTCTATTATCGGATCGAGGAATCACTTGTACTGGAGCTACCCCCTTAATTAGTCTTACATCGGCTGGTCCTTGTGACCATAATTTGAACGGAATTGCTGCTAACTCAGCCTCCTGTTCCTGAGTTAAGAAAATCTCTTCCTGTCATCCGTTAAAACTTGTCTCCAAGTGGACCCCGGGCAGGGTTTTTGCTCTCCAATTCAACTTTCTTCTATATCTCCCAGTGGAGTGGCCATACTGATCCCCATTTGGTGTATTCTGCCAGTCAGTAATGTTTTTCCCCTGTTTTATCCATCTACCTAGTGATAACCATTCCTCTGAATGTTCTTTCACTAGGGCAACATGGGGGCTCCACCTTTCTCTGTACAGCCTCTGGCTCTGTGAACCCATTTTAACCCAATTTGAAAAACAACAACCACAAATAGCCAGGCCTCACTTAATTTGGTAGCTCACTTTTATGACCTAAATACTGCCTAACTGAGATGAGCTAATCTCTTTCTCCTGGTTATAATCTAAAGATGGTAGTATACACAAAACATGATACAGATATCCCCAGTCTTAACCCATCAATAATTGTTTGTATCAATCTAATTCCTCATAACTAATCCATTAAATCACTCAAAATTCCTCGAGTATACAATGATTATTTAATTGATTACCCTAACTCTGCTACATGTGATCTCATCTCAAATGATCCATTATCAATTATTTGTTCAACCCCCTAGTAAAATCTCTCTCCCCTTCTATTCTGGAGTTCTACCTCTACCAGCTATTTCCCCTAGTGGCCATTAAATACTCTGCTCCCGTCTGTTCTTTTTCTTACTCTGTTAGTCTCTGCTTTTCAAGCTCCAGAAACTGTTGTCTCTGTCTCTCAGCCTGCTTGTTTTTCAAACCTAAACAGTTGCCTTCTCTCTATTTCTTTTATTCTCTCCCTCTCTAACTTCCTCTGTCTCTCTAATTCTGTCTCTGCCTCTCCTTTTCAAACTCTCTCTATTTTTTTCCCTCCTTAAACTGTGTACTTATAACCAATGTTTTTTCAATCCATCATCCTAATAGTAAAAACGATATCCCATTGTTCACATAACAAAACTAAATTATTTTTTTAGAATCCACCATTTATTTTCATCCACCACTGGTGTTACTCAACCTATACAATAAAGTAATAACCATTTGAATTTATCAAAGCACTTCCTCTCAGTAAAGTCTCCCGACCTCCACTTTTTCCCGCCAACCAGAGCCATAAATTATTATCCTTTGTCCTACTCAACTTTCACAGCTCTATCGCTACTTCAGTTCGCCATCCAATTTCTTCAACTGTTCTCTCTGATTCGGCCCTAATCAATAAAACAAATACTTGATATCATTGATAAGCATACACTTAAGGATGATATTCCATAATGTCATTCGTACTTGTAACATGTTTTCATAGACCTATCTAGAATACTACTAAAGCTATCTTATGCAACTTTTAATACACGTAAAAAGCTCTCTCTCTCTCCACCCATTCCCTATTGAATAAGTGAGTTTTTCTATTTAACCCCAAAACACGCTACAAATAGTCCATTCAACATTACCAAACCAAATACTCCATCGTACCCATTCAATCAACACATCAGCAGTGGAATTTACACTCATAAATGCAGATTGTTACTCCATGCCTTGAAATGATAAAAAGATTTCCACCAATAGCATATTACAATGATTTCTCATCTTACCCTCTAACACAAAATGAAGTTCCTTCACTGTACTACTTTAGCTCTATCATGATAATTAGTTGAATTTAACCCTCCATCTGCTTTGTACTATATTATACATTACGTCTAAAACAACATTAGTTATGGTCAGTTTATTCCACCATCACATAATCCAACAACGCCACAATCTTAAACTCATATAGGGCGGCAGGCAGTTTAGTGACCAATAGCGCCGCGCCAACAACCGAGAGGTCGCCGGTTCCAATCCCCGAGCCGACCAGGCGAAAAATCTGCCGATGTGCCCTCGAGCAAGTCACTCAACCCCAATTGCTCCCATAAATCGCTCTGGACAAGAGCGTCCGCCAAATTACCAAAAATGCAAATGTAAATGTTCTCTACTTTCTCACCCATGACGTACGTCTACGCTCGGGTGAGCAAGTTTAGAACATCTCTCGTCAGAAACCCACATGCACCTCTCAATTAATCACCCCGTGTGGCGTTCCCAGCCAACTCCCAGTCTTTCCTGGCTCCAAAAGCCACACTTTCGCTCTCTCCAGCCCCTCCCCTCGCAACTCTACCTTCCGTGTCCTCTGAGGAGCTGTGTTTCTTGTTTTCAATATTCTGCCGTTAATTAAGGTACTTTAGTCTATTTATTTAAATCAAATAATTCCCACCTAATTAGTTAAAGTTGGTGCACGTTTATATTTAAACGATAAACCGAATTATTTCAGTCTAATTGTTTGAAAGCAGTGTTCTTACTGTGCCACACATCAAATGGTAAATCAAAACAAATAAACCAAAGTGTTTCAATTATTTAACCAATGGTTGATACATCAAATTAAACGCCACACATCAAATCGTAAATTGAACGAATAAACCCAAGTGTTTCAATTATTCAACCAATGGTTGTTATGTCAAATCAAGCGCTACACATCAAATGGTAAATCAAAACAAATAAACCAAAGTGTTTCAATTATTTAACCAATGGTTGATACATCAAATTAAACGCCACACATCAAATGGTAAATCGAACGAATAAACCCAAGTGTTTCAATTATTCAACCAATGGTTGTTATGTCAAATCAAGCGCTACACATCAAATGGTAAATCAAACGAATAAACCCAAGTGTTTCAATTATTTAACCAATGGTTGTTATATCAAATCAAGCGCTACACATCAAATGGTAAATCAAACGAATAAACCCAAGTGTTTCAATTATTTAACCAATGGTTGTTCTATCAAATCAAGCGCTACACATCAAATGGTAAATCAAACGAATAAACCCAAGTGTTTCAATTATCTAACCAATGGTTGTTATATCAAATCAAGCGCTTAACCATATTACTTCAATTTACTTATTTAAAACCAGTGTTATGTTATGTCAAACATTAAACATTACAATTCAATTATATCAGTTCAAACGTTTCAGTTTAGTCATACTAGTTATTCATTATTTTACCTTCATATTCCCAATTGTTATTAACGGGTTATACGGTTTAGGCAACCACAAACCCAACAGTTATTCACAAATTATACAGTTTGGACAGCCACAGACGTCTTAATATACAGGTTTATTATTTTTAATAACCCCTATTCACTATTTTATTTCGTCTGTGATCATTCGCGCACTCATGCATACAACAACACCCAGTGTTCCCCTGATCCTAGCCGTATCTAGCCCCCTGATACGTGTCAGTAGCGTAACACTATCTAAAATGTAAGTGCCCGTTATGATCCTAGCCGTATCTCAGTGGATATGTGCCACAACGTTACACTTTGATCAATTAATCCCTGTATCTCACAGTTCCACCATTTGTGGTCCAGAGACTTCAGTATTTTCCTCAGAACCTAGCCATATCTCTCGGGATATGTGTCAAAGGAACAATACTCAACTAAAATGTTGCCGCTCCTCTGATCCTAGCCATATCTCGATGGATATGTGTCAGTAGCCAACGCCCTTAGCCAATAATTCCCTGTGTCTCCAGTTCTCACCCCTGGTGATCCTAGCCTGGGGACTTCAGTATTTTCTCAGAACCTAGCCATATCTCTCTGGATATGTGTCAAAGAAACAATACTCAACTAAAATTTTGGCGCTCCTCTGATCCTAGCCATATCTCGATGGATATGTGTCAGTAGCCAACGCCCTTAGCCAATAATTCCCTATATCTCTGAACCTTAGCCGTATTGTCGCAATTACGGACCTTGCCGGTAGATGTCAGTATTGTCTCCTGAACCTAGCCGTATCCACAGTTACGGACCTTGCCGGTAGAACAAATACTCTCTGGTACCATGGTTTAACATCACATTTACCAAAGGTTTGCATGTCACAATATTGTGCTTATCTACTCATAATAGTTTAATAATTTAGTTCACTTACATCAGACAGTTGTTTCACAAAATTAATTTGAATAAAGCCAATGTGCAGATCTTTAGTTATTTAACAATAGGTATCTGCTTACCTTCTTTATGTAGTCTGGACTTTTTGTCACACAGTCCAATGAAAGAGGTGACCAAATGGGCCGGACAATACCCAGCGAAGTCCCTTCTACCAGATCACGTCGGAAGTCACCAATTGTCAAAGTTGCGTCAATTCAAATCTGGCATTAGGAACAAAAGAGGTCAACACGACTTCTAAGATATACTAGTGTAGTGTCTGAAGGTCTATTGATTTTGCTGATGTTTGCAAATGGTGTAATAGATGAACTTTACTCTGCTTTGCTGAAGCATTTGGAAAAGCATTGCTACATAGGTTTCTTGGAATAGAGGACATTTGGAGATATGTGAAAGCCGGGGATTGGTTGATTAAAATCACGCCATATTATGTTACATAGGATATAAATACCAGGTTCTGAACAAAGGGAGGGTAGAGAGACAACATATGGGATCAACAGATTGGCCGTTTCTCTCCAGATATAACTGCAGATATCTGTAAATTAATACTGTGAACTTTGATACAATAAATCTTTATAATCAAAGAACAGTGTAAGCGGACTTCTTATCATCACAGCATAATTAGCAACGTTGACTTGGACACCACACTAGTTATTTTAATTAATGCAAAAACCTTCAATGGTAAATATGATGTTTCGTATATACGGGCTCTTTGAAATACCTCGCAGGGCACTTCAGAGAACTAAATCCATTGTTTCAGATTGTTCTTCAAATACTCTTACAGAGAGAGTTTCCCACCTCTCTGCTGGCCAATCAGAGTAGAGACTTGAGCGTGGTTTAGACTTACTCAGCCTATCCGTTGGCGCACCGGCTGTTCCCCGCCTCTTCTGTTACCAGGCATACGTTTATCATAACAACCTGTCATAGTGAGAAGAGCCAGCTCCCCTAGACACCATTCCTACGTCCAAGGAAGGTTCACAGATCACAAAGAACCAGTATTTTCTAGTATTTGGAGACACAAATCCTTATCTCATTTTACCCCCTAAAACAGCTCTTCACATCAATCACAGCTTGCCAGGTGACACAACCTACATTAGCCCAGTCAAGAATGCATTCTTTCTAAGTTAGTCATCCCATCAATTATAAAAATAATAAATCTCTCACACAGCTAACGTTAACGTTCGGCGCGATGACTAGCCTGTAAACGCGGCACTTTTTCAAACTGCCGCCTGGGATGTATTCTTCCTTTACATCAATGAGATCCAGGTTCTTTTGAGTACCACTGCCACCATGTTAAGGAGCAATGTAGAATAAATGTATGGTGTCCATATTAGGACAGCCTCACACTGTAGAAGTGAAACCCTTCATTTCATAAGTCATGAATAGCATCACTGTAAAGTGACTGCTTTATACTAACTCCTTTTCCACTTTAAAATTACTGTTTAGTTAGTAATATGAGTTCTTAAATGAGTTGGCAGTACTTTCAAACACATTATGAACCCATTATGAGCTATAACACACTATTGCTGTCCTTATGGCTCCACTGTTCATGATGCATAAACTGACATGATTCCACTGGACCTCATCTGCATACTTGATATTGTGATGAATCTAGAAGAGTCAGTGGAAAAACAATGGTCGCACTCTTGGTTGCACTCAAGCCCTCAACCTGGGGCAAGTCCACCTGTACTGGACAGTTCAGCCCATCACGAAGACAGATTCTTCCACCTGGGTTGCGATATTCACCATGGGGCACAAAATCAAGTGTCAGCATTAAATGATGACAGCATCTGCCAATTACTCACCATTGCATCACAGATAAGGTTCCTAAGGTTGCACTCTCAGAACCGGCACGCCACAAAGGTTCAATTGAGATACACCAGTCTTCCCCACAAACTAAGACAAGAGGCCGTGTTGGAATACCCATACTTGCGTCCTAAATAGTAGGCTGTTTGAGTTTCCGAAAAAATTATATTTTATAGTATGTGACATTTTGTTTTGATAGCTAGATCTGTTCAAGTAAACAACAAAACAACTTGTAAGATAGCGAATAGTGAAGCTTCTGTGATGGTGTTCAAATGTGACTATTTTTTGTTCTCCTTAAAATGATCACAACTATTTCATCATACATATTTGAAAACAGATTTGCAGCCTGCTGCCTGCGATGCCTTTAGCTAGCTACGTGCTTTAGTATGACTAGAAGTTATAGCTAACTGTTCAAACAGTAATGTTAACTAGAGGGTTATGTAGTGTATTAAGATTATGACTTTGTTAATGTTTTCAAGTGGAACCTGAGAGGATGTTTATTTAGTTTCAAAGGGAATTGTTTTAGTGTGACGCCCCATAGAACAGAGGGAGTCGACAGTGTGTTGTAGACAGGGGATTGGACAGTAGAGGGAGCCACCCATATTTTGGGGAATAGTATAATAATAATATAATATGCCATTTAGCAGACGCTTTTATCCAAAGCGACTTACAGTCATGCGTGCATACATTTTTGTGTATGGGTGGTCCCGGGGATCGAACCCACTACCTTGGCATTACAAGCGCCGTGCTCTACCAGCTGAGCTACAGAGGACCACTAGGACCAATAGTATAAGTACTGGGTTTAAACAAAGAAGAGCAGAGCGGCCATTGCAATTTGGGAAACACTGCTCTCCGGATGCTATATACATCTGTACACTTATGCTGAAATCTTGTGATATGAATAAAACTTATGATCAAAGTTCAGTATAAGCAGACTCCTTTGTTTAACAGCAATAATTAGCAACATTGACTCGACACTACAAAATGGCACCCCAGATGGGACCGGTCTGCGTCTCTCCTGGGTTCCATTCATGGGCGCCAAGCTGACTCTCGTTCCGAAGTCATGGCCAGATAAGGGTGAGTTTCCTCACCACTTTGGGCATTTGTTAGTTCGGAGGCTATTTGAGTGTGCGCTGGGGAGATGTACCGTGTAAAGTACTTGTGTGTGCTGGTGTGGCTGTTATTGCTGTTGACTAGGGGTCTGTCATAACTATTCTAAATTTGGTTGCACTGGTGAACGGCGCAAATAGGGGGGAGTGTCTATAGAGATATTTTGCTTGAATAGGAATTCAAGAACAATCGATTGAAGGAATAAGGCCAAGGTATATGTATACAAATTAGGACATTGTGAATCTGGAAAGACCTCTAAACAAGGCGACCTCTATGGTGGGCCGGAAATCCTGTAACATATTAGATGGAATGGGTGAGTCCTGGGGACTGGAGACTGTGGTATATACATTTTATTGCAAGTTACTGCTCATCTTATAGCTGACGAGGTATATGTTTGATGTGACCGCTCATAGAATATCCATAACTCGCGGCAGCATAAAGTTAGGGACAAAGGAACAGGAATTTTGGCGCAATGTAGGTTACATTGCTACATGCTACATGCCACATGTTACATACATGCTACATGCTAACATGTGACCTTAGAGGGCCATCGAGATGGAATAAAGCCTCTTAAATTATGTTTGTGTGTGTAGAATTTAAGTTCTATGCTTTGTGAGCTCTGTTAAATGTTATTGTTTGGCTATGAGGAGAAAACGGAGTTACAGCGGGACTGTTAACTTTCTGTTTGGCTTGGGGAGAGAGCTGCTTGAGGGCTCCGTCCACGCTGAAATCGTATTGGTGAATGAACTGCGCATGCGTGTGATTTTATGACTTTAGAGTTACGTAGGGAGAATGTGCCACTGCCTACACTGGGTGCTGGGAGACGCAGACTCAGAAGCAGACAGAGAGAGATTTGAACACGAATGGAATGTTCTAGTTGTTACATAGGCTGTTGCTTAATGATGAAGCTATTTGTTGAGATCTATTGAATTGATAAATGAGAGAGATATGTTGACGGATTAAAAAATAAAATAAAAATAATTAAATAAATAAAATAAAAAATGTTATTGAGCTATCTATAATTATTCCTGAGTTAATTCTTAGAGCGAATGTGACTGGAGGAATATTGAATGGTTGAAATAACTCAGTGACTGCATAAACTGCTAAATTCTTGTCTGTTTCTTTGTTCTTTTGTCATATGAGAGACGATAAGAGGAACGAGAGGAGAGGAGAGAGAGAAAGAGAGGAAGTGCTGACATGTACATCATGTGACAGGGTGTGACGCGACAGAGGCTGCTGCGACAGGATCAAGTCAAATATCAGGCTAGTGCTGTTCTGTTTACAAAGCCTTCCACTACAGGATGTTTGATGTTATGACAATTTGACAAAGACTTGGCAAAAGACTGATCAATTGAAGTAATTGCTTATTGGAGTTTTTTGTGCATGAGTGGGTTTGATTAGAGTTGTGTTGGGAATCGAGTACTGACATTATTCTGTAAAATTAAGATAATTGGGTGCTTATTAAGCAATGAGGTTTATGAGTATTGTAGTGTTGTAGGATTAGAAGTCTTTATTTTTTGGATTGCTCTGAAGTTGACTACTTGCATTTACTTTCCTGATTGAAGGTGGTAAGATAGCCACTAATTGATAAATTAGTAAAATAGGAAATATAAAAAAAAAAATATTTTTGAATATTCATATTTTTATTGATTAATTTTTATTATTTGGAGGGAAAAAAAAGAAGATTTTTTTTAGTTTATATTAAAAATTAAAGGGAGGACACTATAAGCTATATAGTCTAAAATAAAATAATTCACAATAAAGGAATATAAAATAGTTGTTACAATGGGGAAAAAGGACATCAAGGCTATGAAGGTAATTACACCTGTTGATATAATATAAAATAGTAATCCTTTAGTTAATGGTATTGCTAGGTTATCCGGCAAATGGAAGAAACGTTGGCCTGACATTGAACAACCATGGCCAGTGGAAGGGACTCTTAACCCTGACGTCATCAACATCATGAAAGTGCTTCTGTCAATTTATAAAGCAGATCAAAAGAAAGGGAAAAAAGGGAACAACGTAAAGAAAAGAGACAAAGAGAGCTGGGTGTTCTTAAGCTGTTTGAAGATGAAGGACAAAAACTGATGAAAGATACCAACGATAAGAGAAACAAAGGTATAGAGAAAATGCTAAAGGAAGAGAAGGCGACAGAAAAACTAATGGCAGAAGTCAGTATACCTTTCTCACATACGGATTTAGCAAAAAGACCCCCACCTTATGAGAAAGAAGTAGAGCTTAAGGACGTCTATCCTCAGCTTCCGGTGATCATCCAGGAGGGTGATTATTGCATCAGAGATGAAGATGAATGAATAATAGAGAGAGGACAAGCAGAAACGAACATAAAAATGAATCCAAAACTCCAGAAGTAAGAAAAAACCGAGATGTCTGGAAACTAAGAGAAGAATGAGGTTCGGAAAGATGAAGACAAAGATGAAGACTTGGAGATTAAAGGTGCTTCATATTCAAGAGGATTTTATCCAACAATGACTAGCACAGAAGAAATAGAAAGAGATATAGACCGATGCGTATCATGCCTGGATAAAGCGAATGATTTAGGAGAAGTAAAAGAACTGGAGGAACAACTCAAGAAGCTGAAGATACAGAAGAAGAAACTGCTGAGAAAAGAATCCCAAGAATTTGAGAAAAATATACATTGAGGCCAAGGAAAAAGGCCACTAGTAAGAAGATGATGGAAGATGATATTTCGAGGACAGAACTTAGAATATAACCTTTTGAAGAATACTGATATGTCAACAACAAGAAAGAGCAGGACCAAGAAACTCTCAGAAAACTCAATCAAATACAACTGGTGGAGAATAAGAAGGAGAAGAGAAGCTTTGGTTATGAAGAATCAGGGTGAACCAAATCAACAATCACTGCTACAGCTTCAACTGAACAAGGTCAAATGCAATTGTACCAGCCACAACAAGTGGTACAAGTTGTTTCATATCCATAGATAGTTTCTGGAGAGAAAGAATTTCAGAGGAAGATACAGGAGCAAGTGAAGATCATCTGGAGGACAGGTGAACCCTTAAAGGAGCAAGGATTCTAGAGTGCCTAGAAGATCCGAAGGGGGGTGTCAGCTGGTAGCACCAATTAGGAAGGAAAAATATCTAACAATTGAAGTGAAAACAAAGGACTATGAGAAGTGAATAGTGGAAAAGCTTTTATCTGTGTTGAGCCTAAAGAGGTTAAACATCTCACTATGTAAAATTAACTAATTAGGATAGGGATTTGAGGGAGTAAAACAGCTGTTACTCTTAAGGAACCAATTGAGCTCTGCTATAAAAATCAAAGAGAAATTAAAATACACATACTGGTATCAGAACATATACCTATTGCATTGTTGGGAAGAGATGCATTGTGTAAATTGAACTGTACAATAAGATGTACACTAGACGGCTGTCTGGTAGAAGATTTTAAAAGAGTAGGGTTTTTGGGAATCATATTTGCTTGAAAAGAAAATGTCCTCCTTCCTATGACAATCTATTAGACTGCCTATTAGACAATCTGTCTGAAAAATAAAGTTAAAAGGGGTGACTGTTATTCTTGGTTACATTCCTACACCAGGAGATTTCAAACTAGGCTAAAAGATGTTTAGTCGTTTGCCAAGTCTGTGTGTAAAGAAGTCAGAAGCAGGTGGGGATTACCCAATCACATATTCTAAAAATTGGTGGTAAAGGCTTTTGTGAATAAATCAGTGGAAAGGTTTTTTAAAAGTTAGGAGAAAAGATTAGATTAAAAAAAGTTATGAGAACTAGGGTTGAAGGAACTCTAGGACAGTAAGCTAAGTTTCAATGTTAGTAGGAAGAGAGAGTGAATGTAGTGACACTAGTGGTGATAGATGGAAATACAAGTCAAGAGTTCAAAGCTTTAGGGAGAATGGATGAAGTAACAACAAGGACATCAACACTTCAGCCTATTATATCAACAGTGAGAAGCAATTTAACTCTTTCAACATTGATAGTTATTAAAGCCATAAATATATCGCATTTGATTACAAGGGAGCAGATAGCTCCAGCACCAATTTTAGAGGAATTTCATAGTCTGGGAAGCCTATCATTGGAGGATAAGTCTAAGAGAGAAGTGGGGATTTTTCCATGGTATGTTGTAACATTTTTGGCAGATCATATTGATAATATTACCTATACCTTGCAGGGTTTGGCAAATGAAACGATAAGAGGGTTTAATCTTCTGTCGAAGATGTTTTGCTTTTGTACCTTGTTACTGACCTTTGCGAAAGCTATGATATTGAGATGGGTTGGTGTTGTGATGCCTGGAGACAACACTCAGATGCCGTTGTTGACTGTTCCTGATCTGGATGAAGAGGGACAAGTGGGACTGGATGGAGTATTGATGGATAAATATCCATTTTGATTATCTTATCATTTTTCAAATGTTTTTCAATATTAGTGTGATTTTAGTATTTTGTTATAATCAAAGGGGGGAAATAGGATAATGTGATTCATATATCATTTATATATCATTTTTTATATTCTTAGTTGATATTGATGTTTTAATTTGAAAGTGTTGTTTTGCAAAAGATACTGTTTGGTCTTTTCTTTTCTTCCAGAAGCATTTGGGGGAATATGTAGAGATTGAAATACTCAAACAAGGACAATATGAAGGGACAATATGAAAGGAGAATATGAAGGGACTGGAGGAGATGGAACAAGGAAGGTGTGGAAATGTTCCAATTCCATCATCGAAGATGCATTGGAAGTCGAGACTGCTGAGGAGATGAAGTGTAGTGGACTACATTCCAGTGTCTGCAATGAAATATAGACATATTTGCATGTGTAATACATAATTTGTGTCATATTCTTTCTGTATTAATTTTTGTAGAATGATATTTGATGTTATTGGATACATGTGGGGATCTTAGATGTTTTTGTTTATTTCGTGAATGCTTAGGGACATGGAGTCTAGGCAGGGATAGAGATAATCCACCGTGGGGTCCGATGGGTCGACCAGCCTTAGTGTGGATATTTTTTGGATAGTATTTTGTTTGCTGGGGCTTTCATGTGTATTTAATTGCATCATAGTTTCAAATGCATTGATAAAGATTTATGAATTGATCTGGAGTACTTAGGTGGTTGCCTGGGGCAGAGGAGCCGTGAGAGAATTTTACTGTCTTGATTGATGGATGGATATTTGGAAAGAAGGCTGCCAGACAGGTTTTTCGCTCTCACACTCCATAAAGATTTGTTCATGTTTCATAGTAATGTATTCACACTTCATAAAGATTTGTTCATGTTTCATAGTAATGTATTCACACTTCATAAAGATTTGTTCATATTTCATAGAAAGGTATTTACACTCCAGAGAAAAGTGTTTTGGGTTTATTGTTAAAGATACTCAATAAGATAAATTGTTACTTGTCATAATCCTATTCTTTTTGTTTTTCGAGACTTTTAGTTAGTCTCGAAGGGGGGAAATATGTAGTGTATTAAGATTATGACTTTGTTAATGTTTTCAAGTGGAACCTGAGAGGATGTTTATTTAGTTTCAAAGGGAATTGTTTTAGTGTGACGCCCCATAGAACAGAGGGAGCCACCCATATTTTGGGGAATAGTATAAGTACTGGGTTTAAACAAAAAAGAGCAGAGCGGCCATTGCAATTTGGGAAACACTGCTCTCCAGATGCTATATACATCTGTACACTTATGCTGAAATCTTGTGATATGAATAAAACTTATGATCAAAGTTCAGTATAAGCGGACTCCTTTGTTTAACAGCAATAATTAGCAACATTGACTCGACACTACAGTTACTTGCTGTTGAGTGACAACTTCATATTTAACGTTAGCCTAGTTAGCTAGCTAGTTTCATTGCACATAACCTGTTATGGTGAAAGTAATGGTAATCTGCACTCGTTACTGTTTCACCTTGGCACTCCAATTTGATAAAGTATGTGGTAGTCTAGCTACAGAACATTAACACAACTCCACTTCGCTCATGTTTTGGTTAATGTTGTACTTCATCTTATGTCTTTTCAGGATCTACGTGAAGGAGTGTGAGCTGGAGGGGGCAGCTGTCACCTGCATGGGTGAAAAAGAAGTGGGAGAACCTTAAGCAAAAATACATGGTTCGCTACTTTATGTAATCTTGACATTTATTGGTGTGCTGTACTTGGCTAATAAAGTTCCCCTTTTCTCAGAGAGCAACAACACTTTCCCATCTATACTGAACAAATATATACACAACCATTGCAATGATTTTACTGAGTTACAGTTCATATAAGGAAATCAGTCAATTGAAATAAATTAATTAGGCCCTAATCTATGGATTTCACATGACTGGGCAGGGGCGCAGCCATGGGTGGGCCTGGGAGGGCATAGGCCCACCCACTTAGGAGCTAGGCCCACCAACTGGGGAGCCAGGCCCAGCCAATCAGAATGAGTTTTTCCCCACAAAAGGGCTTTATTACAGACAGAATTACTCCTCAGTTTCATCAGCTGTCCAGGTGTCTTGTCTCAGATGATCCCACAGGTGAATAAGCTGGATGTGGAGGTCCTGGGCGTGGTACGTACTGCCAAATTCTCTAAAACGACGTTGGAGGTGGATTATGGTAGAGAAATTAACATTACATTCTCTGGCAACAGCACTGGTGGGCATTCCTGCAGTCAGCATGCCAATTGCATGCTCCCTCAAAACTTAAGACATCTGTGGCATTGTGTTGTGAAAAAACAGCACATTTTAAAGTGGCCTTTTATTGTCCCAGCACAAGGTGCACCTGTGTAATGATCATGCTGTTTAATCAGCTTCTTGATATGCCACACCTGTTAGGTGGATGGATTATCTTGGCAAAGGAGAAATGTTCTCTAACAGGGATGTAAACAAATGTGTGCACAAAATTTGAGAGAAACAAGCTTTTTGTGCGTATGGAACATTTCTGGGATCTTTTATTTCAGCTCATGAAACATGGGACCAACACTTTACATATTGCGTTTATGTTTTTGTTAAATGTTAGAAAGGTGCAAGTATTCCAGATAAATTTACTTAGGAACTACGCACACTTTGGAGAAGTGTGTGGCCACTTGGAGACACCAGTTTGACCTCTCACTAAAACCCTTTTTTGGTCTTATGTTGCACCTAGCCCAAATTTCCCAAGTATATTTTTATAATGTTTCCTGAATGTATCCAGAGTATTTTCAGATTTCGTTATAAAACAAATGCGGCGAAAAGTACAGTAAATATAAAATGCACATCAAATCAACAGTGTAATATTTGGATTCAGTCAGGTGAACTTAAGTATGCTCCCTCTAATTCTCCCATCTCTCTCTCTCTCCCCCCTCCTGGAGGACCTGAGCCCTAGGACCATGCTTCAGGACTACCTGACCTGATGACTCCTGCCTGCCTGTCCCTGTCCCCAGTCCACCTTGTCATGCTGCTGCTCCAGTTTCAACTGTTCTGCCTGTGGCTATGGAACCATGACCTGTTCACCGGACATTCTACCTTGTCCCGGACCTGCTGTTTTCGTCCCTATCTCTCGCTCTCCCTCCCTCTCTCTCTCACCTGCTGTCTTTTCCTCTGAATGCTCAGCTATGAAAAGCCAACTGACAATTTACTCCTAAGGTGCTGACCTGTTGCAGCCTCTACAACAGTGGTCACCAACATTTTCTGAGTCAAGACCACTTTCGCAGTCAAAAAGCAAGCAGAGATCTACCGCTCAGATATTTCTTTTACATGACTTACATTTTTTTTACAGTAACCTAATAAAACAGTTCTGTACGAATGAGGTTTGGGCAGTAGGCCTAATACATTATCACAGCATATTGACTATATGCCTGGCCTGCCAATATTGTTATTCTCAGACCATTTTATATTTAAAAACTTGAGCTTAAAAAAAATGGTTCAGTTGGTGTAGCACTTGCCAGGCACTGCGGAGCATAAATATAAATAATTTGCTTTTTTATTTTACTGGACTGATGGTGTGGTACCAGTGGAGGCTGCTGAGGGGAGGATGGCTCATTATAATAGCTGGAACAGAGCAAATGGAATGGCATCAAACACCATGTGTTTGATGTACAGTATTTGATACCATTCCGCTACAGCCATTACCACGAGCCCATCCTCCCCAATTAAGGTGCCACCAACCTCCTGTGTATGGTACCTGCATCTGATGGTCATGGTGCTTTCAAGACAACTGGGAACTCGAAGAAAAGAAAAAAACAAGGTCAAATCATGACGTCAGTGATCTTCAGGTCGGAAAGTCGGAGCTCTAGAAAGATGGCCAAGTTTCCTACCTGGAATTCCGAGTTCGATGACCGTTCAAAACAAATTTTCACAGTCTGATTTCGTTTTTTTCAGAGTTCCCAGTTGTTTTGAACACAGCATTAGTCTCAGCGGAGGGAGGGAGAGAGCAGCAGAGGGTCCGCCTCTCACGGTCCCTGCTCTCTCCATAGCCGCAGGAAGTTATTACACTTTGGATGGTGTATCAATACTCCCAGTCACTACAAAGATACAGGCGTCCTTCCTAACTCAGTTGCCGGAGAGGAAGGAAACCACTCAGGGATTTCACCATGAGGCCAATAGTGACTTTAAAACAGAGTTTAATGGCTGTGACAACAACAGTGTAGTTACTCCACAATACTTGACAGATGGAAAAGAAAGAAACCTGTACAGAAAACAAATATTCCAAAACATGCATCCTGCAAAAAATGTGGCAAAGCAATTCACTTTTTGTCCTTTCTACAAAGTGTTATGTTTGGGGCAAATCCAATACAACACATTACGGAGCACGACACTCCATATTTTCAAGCATAGTGGTGGCTGCATCATGTTATGGGTTTGCTTGTAATCGTTGAGGACTGGGGTGTTTTTCAGGATAAAAATGAAATGCAATGGAGCTAAGAACAGGCAAAATCTTAGAGGAAAATCTGGTTCAGTCTGCTTTCCACCAGACGCTAGGAGATGAATTCACCTTTCAGCAGTACAATAACCTAAAACACAAGGCCAAATCTACACTGGAGTTGCTTACCAAGAAGACTGAATTTTCCTGAGTGGCCGAGTTACAAGACCTGAAAGGTCCAAGACCTGAGGTCCAAGACCTGAAAATGGTTGTCTAGTAATGATCAACAACCAATTTGACAGAGCTTGAAGAATTTTGAATAGGAATAATGGACAAATGTTGCACAATCCAGGTGTGGAAAGCTCCTAATTACCCAGAAAGACTCACAGCTGTAATTGCTGGCAAAGGTGCTTCTACAAAGTATTGTGAATACTTAAGTAAATTAGATATTTATGTATTTCATTTTCAATACATTTGTAAAAATGACAGACTAATCTCTTTCATAAGTTCTTTAAACAAAAAAAAGAAGCTAATTTACCAACATTTCAAAAAATTTATATATAGGGTTTTGGAATTCATATGTTGCTCTAAGAGTTGTGCAAAATTGGTAGAATCTTATTCAAAATGTTTCACAGCTGTAATGGCTGCCAAAGGTGCTTCCACCAAATATTAGCTCTGGGGTGTGAAGACATACACAATCAATCATTTTTGTTTTTTACTTTTATTTAATTTGGAAAAGTTTATATACTTTACATTGGTAGGAAAAATATAATTTAATCCATTTTTAGATTTCATTTTGAGGCAGCAAAATGTGAAGACTGTGCAAGGGGTGTGTAGACTTTCACTAAGCACTGGATATATCTCACATGCCACACATAAAACTATAATTTGTATATTAACCAAGAAATCATAAGTCACAATGCATTACTGGCATTAACCAGGCATAAAGATGACTTGCGTTACTGGTATCATTCTAGGCATAACGATCTTAGAGTTACGTTAAGACAAAGCATGAGAAAAACAGGCCTACTCACTGTAGCCTACAAGAGGAGCATTTTCATACAACCGTTTCCGTAGAGTGATAGCAGGGCAAGAGATAGCAAATCACTTTCATTCCATTTATACCAATCCCTCGTTTGTATTCAGAATCAGTTGTTGACCAGCCACAGACCAAAATTAATAAAACTAAGATACCCAATCAGACCAAACCAGCCAACATTTTCTATGAAGGGGTCATACCATAGTCTGATGACCTGAGGGGGTGGACTGAGTACAAATTACCGCAGAGCTATATTAAACATCATACATCCATTTAGATGCCTCAGAGAACAACTTTCAGATAGATACTAGACATGGATGCAATAGTGTTTTTCTAGCACTCATTTCAGTCAGTCCTCTAGATACCGTGAGAGAGATATACATTTTGGCTCCTCCACAGGGGGAAGGGTTGACAGGCCCTTGATCATTGTCCTGTCGTGTTTTAGGGGCAATTCGCCATGCAGCCCCAGGTGACAGAGAGCACATAAGTTGGGGGAAGGGCCTACACGACTAAACCACCCTAAGTTTACACCAATGGGAGAATTCTGACCGAGTTAAACCCGTGTAAATTAAACATAATTCCCTTTTTATGCACTTTCTCTACGCATATTCTGACCTTGAATTTAAGCATGAGAAAGCATGATATTCACCCGCTATTCATTTGGGGTGGAGAGCAAAGAAATTAAGGTGTGGCGGAGGTGTCTACAGATACTGCAGATTCTGACCGACTTAATTCCCTCATAATTCCGCCACCTTTACGCGTGATGAATACATTTGGAGACCCAAGCTAGAGGCGTCTGTAGCCAATGACAGTATAGCGCCAAACCTACCAAGTTGATTTATGTTTTAATTAAACAGTATGCCTGGACTTTTTACTGTATTTAATATAAATTGTATCGTGTTAAATATTAGCCACTATCGGTAGCCACCATCAGTTATACCCACATACATTTATAACTGCCACTTTAGTGTTAGTTTCCTTACATATTGCATCATTCCATTACATCGTTAGTTTATCTTTCTTTCCTCTGTCACGTTCGTGTGGTTGTTCCTGAGGATCACTAGCAATAGTGGATCATATTAGGCTTTCATTCAATACGTTTTTTTGGAGGACAGAGGAGCCTCTTAAAGAAGAAGTTACAGGTCTGTGAGAGCCAGAAATCTTGCTTGTTTGTAGGGGACCAAATACTTATTTTCCACCATTAATTTGCAAATAAATTCATAAAAAATCCTACAATGTGATTTTCTGGATTTTTTTTCTCATTTTGTCTGTCATAGTTGACGTGTACCTATGATGAAAATTACAGGCCTCTCTCATCTTTTTAAGTGGGAGAACTTGCACAATTGGTGGCTGACTAAATACTTTTTTCCCCCACTGTACCTTATGAAGGCACTTCTCAGTAGTTGGTATTCAAAATTACGTGCGTAACGGGTTTTGCAGGCGTGGTTCCCTTGCATGCGCTGAATAAATCTAATTCAACTGCTGAAAAACCTCCCACTTGATTGCTGACAGATTTTCTCGTGGAGTTTTCATTCAATATGGTTTTCAGTACATTTATCTTAAGTCATCCCTTTAAATTCGGTGTATCTTTTAGTTTGAATTTTGTCGTCAGACTCAACAGAATAGAGAGAACGGGTTCAGAATATTAAGGATCAATGAAAGAAATGAAAGAAAGCCATCTAAAAACATGCATACTCTTCTCTGTTTCAGCAACAATTGGTAGATTAAAAAATACTCTGATCTTTAAGATTATTTAGGATAAGGAAAGTGTTTATGAATCATTAAAAATCATTGGAGAGCCTTTACGCATGAAAGAAAGAAAACGGTGGTTTGATTCATTCAGAAAATGTATTCAGTTCTTCAACCCATGGTAATGTTGAAAGATTAGTGTACATATAATTATAATAGGGAGAATAGTGTACAATAGTAGGCTATACCCTCGTTTATTGCCTGTACTAACCATGGAACTATGTGATGACACAGCCAAGTACAGCGCCATGAGTCAGGTTCAAACTGTTAGCGCTTGGTCTGCACTCCACTCCATAATGATTGAATTAGCCTATGTCTTTAAAAATATATATTATCAACTGTTACTACTGATCCTCAGCAACAACCACATGGTCTTGATGGTGTTTAAAGAGGAAGCAAATGAAGATAAACAAAACAATATAATGAAAGGGAATGATAATGTAGGCTATACCAACTGAAGGGAACTAAGAGTAAATTGGCAGGTGAATACGTGTTATTAGGCCTACGGACGGTCGATACTGATAGTGGCTAATATTTAACATATTAGAAATAGGAAACAGAGAAAGCCGAGGTAGCCTATAATTAAGACATGCGAGAGTGCCCATCCCTGCAAGTTAAAAGGCTGTACAATTTAAATTCTGCATAACGGCACAGCATTTCATAAACTTGACTGTGGGAAAGTTGATATGCTTCAGTTTGCTGCTATATGACTCGTTTCACATTTGTCTCCAGCGATAAGGTATAATATATCTAAAAAGTTAAATTTTTTTTACAATTTATCCAAAGAGATTACTCATTTATAGCGCTTATCAAGTTGTAAATTACAGTGCATGGAGAATGGTGTTAGTTCTATCAGAAAAAATTAAGTAGAGGCTTTTTCCACGTTGGTTCGCTAGACCTGGTGGCATTAGGGAATTAAGTCAAGGTCAGAATATGGGGTATCTGTGGACACATCTCTGCACACTTTCATTTATTGGATCTCCACCCGAAACGAATAGCACGCTATTCTCATGCTTAAGTTAAAAGGTCAGAATACGTTCCATTTACACACGCATAACTCTGGTCGAAATCAAGCCCCAAGAGCACAGGGAGCTCTAAATAAACTCAGAACATAAACACAGGTTCTTTGAGATTGGGCTTGAGTGGAAATACATGAAAGGAAGTTCAGAGGTAGGTCACAGTCCACAAATTAAATGTATTTTTCTCCCAACCAAATCCACTGGTCTCATCAAAATACTATAGTTAACATTAGCAGAGCTACGCTATATATACAAAAGTATATGGCCCTTCTAATTAGTGGATTCAGCCATTTCAGCCACATCCGTTGCTGACAGGTGTATAAAATCGAGCACAGCCATGCAATCTCCATAGACAAACATTGGCAGTAGAATGGCCTTACTGAGGATGCCACCGTTCCAACAAGTTATTTCGTCAAATTTCTGCCCTTGTCAACTATAAGTGCTGTTATTGTGAAGTGGAAACGTCTAGGAGCAACAACGGCTCAGCCGCGAAGTGGTAGGCCACAAAAACTCAGAACGGGACCGCCGAGTGCTGAAGCGCGTAAAAATCGTCTGTCCTCAGTTGCAACACTCACTACCGAGTTCCAAACTGCCTCTGAAAGCACTCTGGAAGCACAATAACTGTTTGTCGGGAGCATCATTAAATGGGTTTCCATGGCCAAGCAGCCGCACACAAGCCTAAGATCACCATGCGCAATGCCAAGCGTCGGCTGGAGTGGTGTAAAGCTCGCCGCTATTGGACTCTGGGTTTGGTGGATGCCAGGAGAACGCTACCTGCCCGAATGCATAGTGCCAACTGTAAAGTTTGGTGGAGGAGGAATAATGGTCTGGTGGTGTTTTTCATGGTTCGGGCTAGGCCCCAGTGAAGGGAAATCTTAACGCTACAGTATACAATGACATTCTAGATGATCCTGTGTTTCCAACTTTGTGGCAACAGCTTCGGGAAGGCCCTTTCCTGTTTCAGTATGACAATGCCCCTGTGCACAAAGCGAGGACCATACAGAAATGGTTTGTGGAGATTTGTGTGGAAGAACTTAACTGGCCTGCACAGAGCACTGACCTCAACCCTATCGAACACCTTTGGGATGAATTGGAAAGCCAACTGCGAGCCAGGCCTAATCACCAAACACCAGTACCTGACCTCACTTATACTCTTGTGGTTGAATGGAAGAAAGTCCCTGCAGCAATGTTCCAACATCTGGTGGAAAGCCTTCCCAGAAGAGTGGAGGCAGTTAATGCAGTAAAGGGGGACCAACTCCATATTAATGCCCATGATTTTGGAATGAGATGTAGTGGGAGGAAGTCACAAAACAATTGATAAACAACTAAACAAATCAAAAACAGGTTTCAGTGCAGGAAAGCAGTCCTACTTTAACTTTGGCCATCAAATCATACTTCTCTTAGAAAAAACCAATACTCCCAAAACACGGTCTGCCACCACTTCCCTCTCACTTGCACCTTTCCCTGGGCCACACCTCAAACAACAGAAAGAAGGGTTTCAAAGGACAGGGAAAAACAGGGAGCCAATCACAGGTCTCAATTAATCAATCAATTAACAAACATATTGATATATTGTCATGCTATTTATCCTCAACAAAATGTAGAACAGTTCCACTTCCGACACTAGGCCGCGTTTACACAGGCAGCCCAATTCTGATCTTTTGCCCAATTGTTGTCAAAAGAGCTGATCTGATAAGGCAAAAGACCAATAAGTGTAAAAAGATCAGAATTGGGCTGCCTGTGTAAATGCAGCCAATGAGTACTGATGGAGTGAGAGAGTGATGGAGGCCCATTGATGTTTTGTGGTGAGGAAGTTTCCCTGCCATTCATTCACCTCCTACATATGGACTCTTCAATGATCCATTATCATCACATACCATGACATCCTAGCATAAATACCAGCCAATCATCAGCTCATTTCCTGCGACACGTTCCATTCCAAAGACTACTAACGAAAATGTGCACTTAGTAAATGGTCCCCCGATGCATTCTGGCTAAAGTATTATGAGTAATCTTGTACACCCTGTAGAGCTGCTCTACTAAAAATCATAAAAGCTACTTTGCTCTTCATGGCCACCGTACTAGCCTACCATGTAGGGCTGCATAAAATGACATAGCAGCCTCAAACTGGACAGCTTCAACTCCCCAGTCTGGTCATTAGTTTTGGGAAACTTCAAAAGGGACCAGTTGAAAATAGTCCCCTTCTCCCTTTGGAGAAGGATCTGACTGGCGGAGCCAGCACCATATGTCATCCTCACACAACTAAGACTTCAATCAGTCACATGGATCTAAAGATCATCATATGGCCTATATTTGATCCTCTCTGCAATGTTTTTGTATATTGCATGCCTTCCAGGTTTAGTATTTGACAAGCATATGATTGTTCGAACTTGAAATTGATATCAAGACTGCAAAGGTGAAACAGAGTTCCCAATGACTTCCAGTCAGCTATAGAGACCACACTCTCACTGTCTCCCTGTACTGTGTGAATCCAGTTTATTGAGTTAGCCATGTAATGTGACCCCAGGCATACCTGACCCGTCAACCTTGACTCAGGGGTAGACGTAAAATAGTAAAAGTAAATCTGTTTCCCTCCATTTACATTGAACAAAAATATAAACGCAACATGCAACAATTTCTAAGATTTTACTGAGTTACAGTTCATATAAGGAAATCAGTCAATTTAAATAAATAAATTAGGCCCTAATCTACATATTTCACATGACTGGGAATACAGATATGCTTCTGTTGGTCACATATACCTTAAAAAAAAGCCCCTTCGCATAGAGTTGATCAGGCTGTTGATTGTGGCCTGTGGAATGTTGTCCCACTTCTCTTCAATGGCTGTGCGAAGTTGCTGGATATTGGCGGAAACTGGAACACGCTGTCGCACATATCAATCCAGAGCATCCCAAACTGAATGGGTGACATGTCTGGTGAGTATGCAGGCCATGGAAGAACTGGGAAATGTTCAGCTTCCAGGAATTGTGTACAGATCCTAGCGACATGGGGATGTGCATTATCATGCTGAAACATGAGGATGATGGAGGTGGCTGAATGGCACGACAATGGGCCTTAGGATCTCGTCACGGTATCTCTGTGCATTCAAATTGCCATCGATAAAATGCAATTGTGTTCGTAGTCCGTAGCTTATGCCTGCCCATACCATAACCCCACAGCCACCATGGGGCACTCTGTACACGCTGTCTGCCATCTGCCCGGTACAGTTGAAACCTGGATTCATCCGTGAAGAGCACACTTCTCCAGCGTGCCAGTGGCCATAGACAGTGTACAGTCAGTAAGCACTTACACCGGCGGGCCCCGGTGGCAATAAATTAGTAAAACCAAAGGCTTACCTACCTTGACTTGGAAGAGTTCCAGTGTTGTGTTGGATAGTGATAGCCAGCTAGCTAACATAGCATCCCTCTATTTGAGCAGGGTGTTTCACTAGGCTAAACTAGCTATCTGCATTTGCTAGCTAAGTAAGTGAAACTGAAAGTGAAAAAAATGACTAAATCTCTCTCTCTCTCTCTATTTCTCTCTTGCTTCTTTATTTTGTAATACATTAATTTGTTCAAAACTGTTCAACTATTGTCTTTCTCTCTCTTTGAGTCAACTACTCACCACATTTTATGCACTGCAGTGCTAGCTAGCTGTAGCTTATGCTTTCAGTACTAGATCAATTCTCTGATCCTTTGATTGGGTGGACAACATGACTATTCTTTCTCATCTGACTCCCCTGCCAGCCTGGACCTGATCCCTTCCCCCAAATCCCTTCCTCTCATTTCTCACTGGGTGAGTGGGAGTCATCGTTGTGAACTCATAGCCTCCATATCTGCAGGGAAACTTGAAGCCTGCGAAGAACTAAAAGGTCCCAAAAGCTGTAATGCACAGCCTCAGCCAGCCGTGTCAGAGGACATATACTGTTGGTGTACATTTTATTCAATCTCTGTCCGCACTAAAAGCCCTACAGTATGTAAACAAAGATGTAACAACAAAGTTGTCTCCTCTGTCCTATATTTCTGTAAGTAATATACACAGAAATGTACCTAAAATATTATCTCTCTGGTGTTGTTTTTGTTTAATATATCAAGGATGAATTTCATGTTTTACCATCCATTAAGGCAAAAACCCACAATTCCCCTAAAAATTAGTATCCACGATTCCCCTAAAAATTCCTGAGTGTGTACCTAGCTCAGTTGGAAGGTAGGCCTTAGGGAAAGTGACCCACTTCAGCTGCTGTAGTGAGTAGTGTAGAATCACGTTGACTATCTGGGCTCATCACTAAATACATTAGAGCACAGCAGTCAGAGCAGTAGCATCCAATCTTAGGCAGGATGTAAAAAGTGCTATTTTTAGGCAGGCAATAACCACAATCGGGCCGAGTATATGTACTGTAAGTTGATTCCCTTAAATTTTTTTCCCCGTTTGAGGGATATAACATCTTCATGGCCCTTATTTAGTTTTCTGTATATATTTGCATCAGATTGTTGACAATATACTTTCATTTAGTCAATCACGCCTTCAGGCAGGGTTTTTATATACTGAGTGTACAAAACATTAGGAACACCTGCTCTTTCCCTGCTCTTTCCCTGACATAGACTGACCAGGTGAAAGCTATGATCCCTTATTGATGTCACCTGTTAAATCCACTTCAATCAGTGTAGACAAAGGGGAGGAGTCAGTTTAAAGAAGGATTTTTAAGCCTCGAGACATAGATTGTTTATGTGTGCCATTCAGAGGGTGAATGGGAAAGAGAAAAAATGTAAGTGCCTTTGAACAGAGTATTGTAATAGGTGGCAGGCACGCTGGTTTGAGTGTGTCAAGAACCGCAATGCTTCTGGGTTTTTCCATGCTCAACAGTTTCCCTTGTGTATCAAGAATGGTCCACCACCCAAAGGACATCCAGCCAACTTGACCCAACTGTGGGAAGCTTTGGAGTCAACATGGGCCAGCATCTCTGTGGAATGCTTTTGACACCTTTTAGAGTCCAACCACCGACGAGTTGAGGCTCTTCTGAGGGCAAAAGGGGATGTAATTCAATATTAGGAAGGTGTTCCTAATGTTTTGTACACTGTATTTAGGATGACATGTTTTGTTACTGGCTCATGCACTTATTGGTTCACGGTTGTAGTGGAACTAATCTAGGTTGAAGTTAAGACGAGGATTCTAATATCCCATAACTCTTTACATAAAGGAGAAAAACTCTAAACAATGTGACCAGCAATGCTAGATAGCAACGGTGCTGGTCCCATGAATCTGTTTATTTTTAAAAGCTTCCTCATCAGCCTGGCCTCAACCTTAACCCCTAACCCTAACCTTAATGTAGGCTACACTGTCTGTAATTTTTGCCTCAATATATTTCATGAGGTGTAACAATGTGCGCAATGATGTGCCAAATGAAATTGTGATTGAGTGCATTACTATAGGGTAAGCATTAGAATAAGCTGCCTCTATATTTGCTGCCATTAGGTGATAATATCGCTTTAGGAGCTGATCCATCGTCAGTATTGTGGAATAATTATAATGTTATAAAGTTAAGATTTGAATGGAGAAAGCTGATCAGAGAGCAGTGCAGCCTTTCTTTTGATCCTATCAGTATCAACACATGCTCCAATGATGCACTTAGCGGTGTTTTGGTAAATGTCCGTTGTAGGAGTCCGTTGTACATCTTCGTCCGTTGTAGGAAAGCTGCACCTTTTAAAACACTTGTAAGCCTAAGTTCCATCACCATCGGGAAAGCAGGCCCAGGACATACATTTTTACCAACACATGGCTCACCTTTGTTTAACCAGAAAATGCAAAATTTCCGTTAGGGCAGGTCACATATTGCCTTGGAAATTAGCCTGGGTAATGATCAATGATTACATTTTAAAAGCCAGTCTTCCCCTCATCATTATGGGTTGTAAAGCCAATTGCAGTGGGGAGAAGAATTACACTGTATTCTTGCTTCAGATGCAAAATGTCACTTCACATGATTGCAAGGAAAAACATTTTTATTTGATGTTTTCAAGGAAACCAAATCACCTCTATTGATGCCATTTACAAATAGAATTTGTCGTTGAAATTTACTGTGCAAAGACCTACATTGGAACAACATGCTAGTTTCTCAGAAGTCCAACTGACATCTATTGCATTCTCCCCTTTTAGAAAAACAATTTTCTCTCCTAAAAACAATTCCTTTCTTAGCAGTCTCTTTTGATTGAGACACAAATGTCACGGATGAGTGGTAGAAATCTAATCTTTCAGACGACAGCACTAAAGGAACAAAGGGAGAATATTGATCGTATCAACCCTTTGTCACAGAGTAGGAAGAGATACCTGAGGAACAGTTGTGACAGTGCCCCATAGACTACCCAGAGGGCATAGCCATGACAGACTCATCTCACTTCGTCCATGGGGATGTGATAAAGTCCCTCTCTCAACGTCAAATTGACATTTGTCTGTAGGAGCTCTCTGTCATGTCCAAGGTACTGACACTGACTGGACCATAGAGATCCTATTAAATTGCTAGAGAGGCTATGTCATGAACCCTCCATAATGGGGCGAAAATGGCAGCCATCTTGGTCAGGGAGAAATCAAAAACCAGTCTAATTGGAATGAATGGCAGTAGAGGTATAAGTGATGCATTTCCTGCTTTTAATTATGCAGGAAAATAAAAGTAAGGCATGTGATGTATCAGAAATGGAATTATAATTAATGTAAAATATTGTCATATAATTATAAATACAGTTTCTACAGGTTTTATAAAAAATTCTGTATAAATAGCCTCTAAAATGTACAGTGCCTTCAGAAGGTATTCACACCCCTTGACTTTTTCCATGTTGTGTTAAAAAGTGGGATTAAAATTGATTTAATTGTCATTTTTGACAACAATCAACACAAAATACTCTGAGTCAGCAATAATTAAAATACCCCTGTTGATGTTACATTGTGTAGCCAGTAGTGAGACGGAACTCTCGACTAGCGAGCTTGTGGTTCTGCCACGGACGACAAGGAAGGGTGCACACTCCTTGTCCATACCCGTGGGCTGTGGTAGTTCGTCAAACGTTTGCAATGTCTTCGACGCTGTTTTTGGGAGATGTGGCTTGGAAGCCAGTTGTGATTGGATGAGACGGGTATAGCTCACTCATTTTAAAGAGCGCTTTGGAGAAGCCTTATTGCTGCTCTTACTGTAGTATTAGTTTGTGTCCCTTACGCTAGGCAGGTAGGGTTCAGTATTCTGTCTAGTCCGCCGTAGCAAATTAGCTGGTATTTCAGGCAAAAGATTTGGGGTTGCCTTGGCAGGTGGACTAGTATTTTTTAAATTAATGTTAAATGTTTGTCTACCTGTTTATTTTGTCACCACTTCCCCAGAGACCTTCACGACGGGCTGTTCTTAGGAGGGAACTATTTTGTTAAAGAGCAGGCAAGTCTTATTAATCCACGTGTGCTTCCGCATGGTAATTATTAATTACAAGGACCTCCCCTCGTGTAACAAAAAGGTGGCATAATACAGTTTATATTTAGCGTAGCTGGCAGCGATTCTTTTTATGTGTCAAGGTGAATTAAGTAAGAGCAATAATACTGTGGGAAGTGGTCAACTCTTTTTGTTTAAAATAATTTAGTAATTGTGTAAGGGACAGTAAGAGCAGCGGTGGGCCACCACGACTGCAGCTGAGTAGATCCAGTGCCATGTCTATTCTCTTCTGCCCAAGTCTAATCTTCAGGGAAGTACCATGAAGCCTATAAGAGAGAAATACAGCACTTTGTTTGCTAAGACTGAAACTGATGTTGTGTGCACTAATCTGATCGCCCATGAGATTCCCCTGCTGGATGACACTCCAGTACGGCAGCCCTACTGCCGTATCCACCCCAGTATGAGTTGGTTAGGGCCCACATCAAACAGTTATTGGAGAGTCAGATCATCAGGGAGAGTAACAACTTGTCTCCCATCATACTGGTGCTGAAGAAAGATGGAAGTATAAGGATGTATGTTGACTATAGACAACTAAATGGAAAGACAAGGAAAGATACCTTTCCCCTGCCAAGAATTGAAGAGTTGTTGGATGCCCTCACTGGGGCTGAGTGGTTCTCAACTCTTAATTTGGCAATTGGATATAGCCAGGTAGAGATGGCTGAAAAGGACAAGGCCAAGACTAACTTTGCACACAATTTGGCCTATTGGAATTGAATCGGATGCCGTTTGGATTATGCAAATACATTCCAGCGCTTCATGCAGCACAGAGACTGTCACTTCCAACCTGTTCTTTTGTATCTTGATGATGTGATTGTGTTTTTGTCCTCAGTCCAGCAACACCTTGAGAGGTTGGAGGAGGTGTTCTCCCGGTTGCACCAGCAAGGAATGAAGATTAAACTGTCAAAGTGTCATTTCTTTCAGAAGCGGGTGAAGTACCTCGGTCATGACGTCTCAACAGAAGGTGTTGGCACTGACCTGGACAAAGTTGCAGCCATGAGAGAATAGAGGGTTCCTACCAACCTGGCCGGTCGCCACTCTTTTCTGGGGTTTGCCAGTTACTACCGGAGGTTCATAGCAGGTTTCGCCAAGATGGCAGCACCCCTCTACCGAGTGGTGGCCCAGCTGAACCCCCAGGTAAAAAGGGAAAGACCCATTGGAAACCACTGGCAGAAGCTTGGACAACAGAATGCGAGACATGTTTCCATCAGCTCAGACGAGCTTTGATCTCAGCACCTATTCTAGAGTATGCTGACTTCCAGAAGCCTTTTGTATTAGAGATTGATGCTAGCCAAGGGGGGTTAGGGACATGCTCTCTCAAGAGCAGGGGGAGGCTCAGGCCTATTGCCTTTGCTAGTAGAGGGCTCAAACCACTGAGAGGAACATGGAGAACAATAGCTCCATGAAGCTTGAGTTCCTTGCTAGGGGCCCCTTGTATAGTATTTACTAATAACAACCCGTTGTGTCATCTGAACAAGGCAAAACTAGGTGCAAATGATCCTCCCAGCTGGCCTCTTATCGCCCTGGATCTAGGAATGGGAATGCTGATGCGCTGTCCCGCCAGTATGTGAAGCTAGGCGAACCAGAGGAAGAGGTGTTGAGTGTAAAGGATGAGCTGGTGAGAAATGTGTTCAATGTGAAATTGCTGTTCTCCCTGGTTGTTTGCAGGCAGACTTCACTATTTTGCAGAGGCGGGATCCAGTCAATGGACAATTCCTGACATACTGGAAGGATGCCAGAACTCCAGGCCCAACAGAGAGAGAGAAATTGAGTGGAGGTACAAATGAGCTTGTTCATCAGTGTGAGCGACTGAAAGAGGGAGTCTATGTTGTACCGATGAATCTATGCCTCTGATGGAGGTAAGGAGTCTTATCAGCTCGTACTGCCACAGTGTCTCCAGAGGAATATCCTTGCCAGTCTTCACGACAATCATGGGCACCAAGTGATGGAGAGCACTTTGCAATTGGTACGGTCACACTGTTACTGGCCAAGCGTATCTAAGGACCGGGAGAAATGGTGCGGAGAGTGTAGAGTTGTCTTCTAGCTAAAGCGTTTCAGCCAAAGGTCAAACCCTTTATGGGCAACCTCCAGGCCTCCCGCCCCCATGGTCCTGACTATAGATTTCACTGTGCTAGAGCCAGCTAGTGATGGAAGAGAGAATGTTCTTGTGTTAAGGGATGTGTTTCCACGTACACACAGGCAACCCCTACCAAGGATCAGCGGGCTAGCACGGTTGCTGAGGTTTTGGTGAAGCACTGGTTCCATCAGTTCAGCTCGCACAGTTAGATCCATTCGGACCAAGGGCAAAATGTTTAGAGCAACTTGATCCAGCAACTGCGCAAGCTCTACACGATGCAGAAAAGTCACAACCCCATACCACCCCCAGGGCAACGGTTAGTGTGAGCGCTTCAACCGAACCCTTTATGACCTGCTGCGCACATTGCCCCCCAATCAGAAGAGGCGCTGGCCTCGCCACCTCCATCAGGTAACCTATGCGTACAACACCACTGTTCATCAGTCTACTGGTATTACTCCCTACTATCTGATGTTTGGGCGGGAGCCCCGTCTGCCTGTTGACTTTTTTGCTAGGTGTGGACACAGAGGATTCTGGAGAGGGCAATGTGGAGGAGTCCTTAGGCAAAGCATATGACCATGTGCAGCAGGTAAGCAACTTACCATTGCGGGAAGGAGAACTGGTCTACACCAGAAAGCATTCGGTCAGAGGTCGCAATAAGATCTAGGATGCCTGGAACCCCACACTCTAACTGGTTGTGCTGGAGTGGTTTATTCCATTGCTCCAGTTGAGCGGTAAGGGCCGGTATGGCAAGTGCACTGCACAGAGTTGAAGTGCCCGGCTGGTGCTCTGCCAGAAAAACTAAGCCTTGAGGACTGTGAATCAGCTGATGAGGTGAGCAAAGACGCTATTGATGACGGTGATGATCTTGAACCCACAGGAATGTTATGAGCGCCTTGACGAGGAAGATGTGATCCGGGTGGAACTGTAGCAGGGAACCCCTGGACTGGGAATGGATGGGGTCGTAGAGGACGGTGTATCTGAAGCGGAGTCTGAAGAGGCTCCTGATGTTGAAGGCCCTCGAAGATCAGCCACTGATCAGCCAACATTCTAATCCCCACTGAAAAGAGGAGCGACCCAGGGATGTGTGTGCTTTGGGGACCTTTAACAGAATGCGACTGACAGAAGGGGTGCTGTATGTGGATGATGAGGGGTGCAGTAGGTATCTCAGATAGGGGGGAGTGAGGCCTAAGAGTGTTTTATAAATGAGCATCAACCAGTGGGTTTTACGCTGGGTATACAGAGATGGGCAGTTTACAGAGGAGTATAGAGTGCAGTGATGTGTCCTACAAGGAGCATTGGTGGCAAATCTGATGGCCGAATGGTAAAGAACATCTAGCTGCTCGAGAGCACCCTTACCTGCTGCTCTATAAATTATGTCTACGAAATATAGCATGGGTAGGATGGTCATCTGAATCTGGGTTAGTTTGGCAGCTGGGGTTAAAGAGGAGCGATTACGATAGAGGAAACCAAGTCTAGATTTAACCTTAGCCTGGAGCTTGGATATGTGCTGAGAGAAGGACAGTGACCTGTCTAGCCATACTCCCACGTACTTGTATGAGGTGACTTCCTCAAGCTCTAAACCAGCGGTCACCAACCGGTCGATCGCGATTGACTGGTCAATCTTCAAGGCATTCCTAGTTGATCACCAAACATTTCTGTAAAAAAGCCAATGATAAAGGCTTGGTAGAGATGTTGCGCTGTTGGCGTAGGTGCACTTGATTCAGAGGCCCTGCTCACCGGGTAGGCAAGGTGTTCCCATTTTGAACCATTTCATTTGTCTGAAAAGACAAACTCCGCCTACCTGGTGAACCTTTAGATCTGTTGCTAAATCGAGTGTGCCTACTGCGCTGGCCAATCTGATAGCTCAAATCACAGTGCCTACAAGTTTGATACTAGCCTACGTGAGATTTCATAACTTTTAAAACCATGACCAGAGAGAGACTGTCAAAGAATACAGCAAAGAGTTGCTGTTTTTATCAGTGAGTTCATGTTGAATTTTTTCTTCAGCACTGTCAACACTGTTTTTATTAAACATTATTACAAAACATAAAATGCCTTCTCCCTACTCCCACTCGCAGCTGCAATGAATGAGTAGCCAAGTGTATCGATAGCCCTGCATTTGTATTATTATTAGCAGCTCGTCGTGTCTATTTTAATATCAATGAATATTTCACTTTCTCTGGTCATAGGAACAACATGAATTTGTGCTTGAAGCAGATGCGGTGTGACTCGAGTTTCACCCTTAGGTTGAAGGCTGTATTAAGGTATCTATACTTTCACTCTCTGGTGATTTTCACTGGAGGAAAGGAAGGAGAGAGCAGGTACTGCGAGAGGCTGACCCTCTGCTGCTCTCTCCATACGCTGAGACTAATGCCGTGTTCAAAACAACTCTGAACTTGGACAGCTCCGACTTCAGTGCGTTCAAGACAACTAGGAACTCTGAAAAAACTGGATCCGACTGGGGAAAAATAGTTTTGAACGGTCATCCAACTCGGAATTCCAAGTTGGAAAATCTGGCATCTTTCTAGAGCCCCGACTTTCCGACCTGAATATCACTATAGTGATTTTACCTAGTTTTTTTTCCCCAGAGTTCCCAGTTGTCTTGAAAGCACCATGACCATCAGATGCAGGTAGCCTACCATCAGTCCAGTAAAATAAAAAATACAAGTATTTGCAAATTATTTCAATTTATACTGAGCTGTGCCTCGCAAGTGCTACACCAACTGATCCAGGGCCTAAAACGGAAGATTTTGGAATTGTTGGGTAAAATGTATATTTCACCAGCCACGTTGGCAGGTGGTCAGGGTTCCACAGTGCAAGTATTTCACTCGTATTTGCGAATAAAAATAGTTCGAAGTCATGTATGAGCAGTGGTGGAAAAAGTACCCAATTGTGATACTTAAGTAAAAATATAGATACCTTAATAGAAAGTTACTCAAGTAAAAGTTAGTCACCCAGTAAAATACTACTTCAGTAAAAGTCTAAAAGTATTTGGTTCTAAATATACTTAAGTATCAAAAGTAAATGTAATTGCTAAAATATACTTATGTATCAAAAGTAAAAGTATAAATAAATCACTTAAAATTCCTTATATTAAGCAAAGCAGACGGCCCCATTTTATTGTTTTTAAAATATACGTATAGCCAGGGGCACACTCCAACACTCAGACATAATTTACAAATTATGCATTTGTGTTTAGTGAGTCCGCCAGATCAGAGGCAGTAGGGATGACCTTGATAAGTGCATGAATTGGACCATTTTCCTGTTGTGCTAAGCATTCAAAATGTAACGAGTACTTTTGGGTGTCAGGGAAAATGTATGGAGTAAAAAGTACATTATTTCTTTAGGAATGTAGTGAAGTAAAAGTAGTCAAAAAATAATAGTAAAGTACAGATACCCAAAAAAACGACTTAAGTAGTACTTTAAAGTATTTTTACTTAACTACTTTACACCACATTTATAGCAAAATAAATTATGCAGTAGCTTTTTTCTAAGTGTTTCTGTATTTTTGTTTCATAGCTGGTAGCTAATCACACAAAGACCTACGAATCCTATATATCCCACCTGACACGACGTGCATCAACACTGCCTGGCTGGGGAGCTGTGCTCACTGTGGTTGAAGTGAAGATACATTTTTAGAAGCACTGCGCACAGGCATAACATTTGGTCTAAGTTACTTGAAAGTCTACTAAAGTGAACCTTTGTCTTTGTCATGGCTATTTACATTGGTTTGTTCACAAGCTAGGTTGTTTTTCAATGTTTGAATGTATGCTTCAGCGAAGACACATCGGCTACTAGTCAAATTCTCATATCGCACAGGCAGGCACACTGTAACTGATGACTCCAGTGGCTCAAGTGCCCTCGTTGCCACGGTAAAGGGGCAGCTGAACGTTTGTGGCCTTTTATTGTCCCCAGCACAAGGTGCACCTGTGTAATGATCATGCTGTTTAATCAGCTTCTTGATATGCCACACCTGTTAAGTGGATAGATTATCTTGGCAAATGAGAAATGCTCACTAACAGGGATGTAAACAAATTTTTGCACAAAATTGGAAAGAAATAAGCTTTTTGTGTGTATGTAAAATTTCTGGGACCAATTTACAGAGGCCAGGTCATGAAGGAACGCTTGCTCAATAAAGTTTTTCAGCAAGCGTCTGTTACAAATCAGGACAGGTCGCTTAACTGAGCAGCCATTGTGAACACAGGCTGTAAAATAGTGATCACTAAGGTCATTACAGAAAACACCAGACTGATACCTGTCAGGATTATTTGTGAGGATAACATTAAGGAGAGTAGCCTTTTCTGGGTGTTTGGGGTCATACCTTGTAGGATTGGTAATGATCTGAAAGAGATTTAGGGAGTCCCATTGTTTTAAGACTTGGTCAGGTGGTTTAAGCATGTTCCAGACAAATTCAGACAGTGTAAGAGTCCAGGAGAGAGCTTAGTGCAGGTAGGGTACAGGCCGGTGCTGATGGTGGACGATAACACCCAGCAACAGTCAACAAAGAGCTATTTGAAAACGTAATGCTTAAAACCAGCAAATCAAATTGTTTGGGGACAGACTTGGTGAAGACAACCGAGCACTGAAGGTGTTCCTTGGTAAAGATTACCACTCCACCACTTTTGGAAGATCTGTCTTGTCGAAAACGTTTATAACCAGAGAGGTTAACATCAGTGTTCAGAACACTCTTTCTTAACCATGTCTCAGTAATGACCAACAAACACATCTGGATTGGAGCTGTGAACCCACACTTTCAATGTATCCATTTTAGGTAATAAGCTTCTAGTGTTAAAGTGCAGAAAACCCAGACTTTTTAGAGAGAGCAGAAATCAGTGAAGCAGAAATCATCAGATCACAAGTCAGAATTGGGGCTAGCAACAGTAGACGGGCCAGGATGTACAAGCACATTTCCAGATTTTTATGACATTTGAATGTGCATCAGATGGCATCAAGATCATATTGTACAGCAATTTCATCATATAAGATGAATACAAAGCTGGCGAGAGAGGGTTATAATAGGATGGGAAGCCAAGAGTCTGTGTAACCAATAGAGAGTCAGAGTCGGGAGTGTGGGAACAAACATCGTCTGTCACACGGTTGGGTAAACGAGTAAGTTCATAGTCAACAAAGCACGCAGGAGTCTAGGAGCAAATAGCCCAAAGCACAAGAAAAAAGTAAAACGGCTCGGGGCTAGCCATTGTAAGTTCAAAGAGTCACAAAATAACCTGAGAGAGTAGCTCTCTATAAGTCCAGTAGGCTATAGAAGTCTGAGACAAAATAAATAGGAGGCCTATGCTAGTTTAATTAAAAGTGTTTCTGATTAAAGCTCACATAATACGATTTACAAGTTAATTAGCCTACATAAAAATTCAAATCAGTCCAAAGTCTGCGGTGTGTGTGTGTGTGTGTGCATGTGTGCTGGAGGCGAGCGAACGCTCAGGAGAGAGGGGGGGAGTGTGGCGGAAATACTTGTACCAGACAGGGGGAGACAGGGAGCAGATAGCCGGGTGGGATCCAAGCAGCAGTGCAACGGGAGTAGGCATCACAGCAGTTTGGGAAAATATTTTTCTGGGAGGCTAAGTAGGAGAGAATAAAGACTGTCAATAGAAGAAGAGAAATTATTGCAACATTTCTGTCAGGGTAGGTAACATATTGCTTTGGAAATTAGCTTGGGTAACTAACTATCAATTAATTTAGAATAGCTAGCTTGTGTAACTATCTTGGCTGGCAAGCCTGCTAGCAAGGCTGGTAGACTTTAGAAAAGCTAACATTTACTAAATGTACTGAATACAACTCACATTCCTTTCAATCTTTTATCCAGATTGTAGCAGAGATGCAGAAAAGCAAATGTAGTTTCTTTAAAACGCCCTAGAGTCGATGTCCGCGCCCCCACGGAAATCTAATGAGGTTTTTTTGCATTGGATGTGTCTCAATCCACCACATCCGCCGGTGTCGCACTTCCGCATCTGCGGTGAAAGGTGCCGGTGTTTGTCAGACCATAAGACATCCCGAAAATCGGTCTTCTCACAAAATCGTCTGTAGCGTCTGAACGGTTTGGCCTACAAACTATTATGACCCCTCTATGGAAAGATGAGACTTGCGTCTTGGGACTCGTCTGAAGATCGTACAGCCGATCTGCCAACTTCTGTCTGTAGCGTCCAAACAGTTTGGGCTACACACTAATATGAAAGGTGAGACTCTCACGAACATGTTGGTTGTTTTGCTCTAGGACGCCCACAGGCCTCACAAGACCCGTCTGAAGGGCCCCCGATACCAGTTAAAAAAACTATGGAAGTACAATGCATTCGGAATGTATTCAGACCCCTTGGCTTTTTCCACATTTTGTTAAGTTACAGCCATATTTTAAAATTGATTAAATTGTTTTTTTTCCCTCATCAATCTACACACAATACCCCATAAAGACAAAGCAAAAACTGGTTTTTAGGTCCCATGGTTGACAGTGCATGTCAGAGCAAAAACTAAGCCATGAGGTCGAAGGAATTGTCCATAGAGCTCTGAGACAGGATTGTGTCGAGGCACAGATCTGGGGAAAGGTTCCAAAATAATTCTGCAGCATTGAAGGTCCCCAATAGCACAGTGGCCGCCATCATTCTTAAATGGAAGAAGTTTGGAACCATCAAGGGAGAAGGGCCTTGGTCAGGGAGGTGACTAAGAACCTGATGGTCACTCTGACAGAGCTCCAGAGTTCCTCTGTGGAGATGGGAGAACCTTCCAGAAGGACAACCATCTCTGCAGCACTCCACCAATCAGGCCTTTATGGTAGAGTGGCCAGACGGAAGCCACTCCTCAGTTAAAGGCACATGACAGCCTGCTTGGAGTTTGCCAAAAGGCACCTAAAGGACTCTCAGACCATGAGAAACAAGATTCTCTGGTCTGATAAAACCAAGACTGAACTCTTTGGCCTGAATGCCAAGCGTCACGTCTGAAGGAAACCTGGCACCATCCCTACGGTGAAGCATGGTGGTGGCAGCATCATACTGTGGGGATGTATTTCAGTGGCAGGGACTGGGAGAATAGTCAGGATCGAGGGAAAGATGAACGGAGCAAAGTACAGAGAGATCCTTGATGAAAACCTGCTCCAGAGTGCTCAGGACCTCAGACTGGGGTGAAGGTTCACCTTCCAACAGGACAACGACCCTAAGCACACAGCCAAGACAATGCAGGAGTGGCTTTGGGACAAGTCTCTGAATGTCCTTGAGTGGCCCAGCCAGAGCCTGGACCGGAAAATAGCTGTGCAGCTATGCTCCCTATCCAACCCGACAGAGCTTTAGAGGATCTGAAGAGAAGAATGGGAGAAACTCCCCAAATACAGGTGTGCCAAGCTTGTAGTGTCTTACCCAAGAAGACTCAAGGCTAAAAGGAGCTTCCACAAAGTACTGAGTAAAGGGTCTCAATACTTATGTAAATGTGATATTTCAGTGTTTATTTAATGTTTTCTTTGCAAACATTTCGAAAAATCTGTTTTTGCTTTGTCATTATGGGGTATTATGTGTGGATTGGTGAGTAAAACAATTTAATTAATCTTAGAATAAGGCTGTAACGTAACAAAATGTGGGAAAAGTCAAGGGGTCTGAATACTTTCCAAATGCACTGTAGCTTAGTAGAACCCCCCATGATCATTATTATGTGTTGTAAAGCCAATTAGAGCGTATTCCTAATTCAGATGCAAAATGTCACATGATTGCAAGGAAAACCATTTTTCTTTGATGTTTTCTTGGAAACCAAATCACATCCATTGATGCCATTGACAAGTGAATTTGTCAGAAATGTGCTGAGCAATTACCTATATTGAAACCAGTGGCTATTTTAGCATGTACATCTTGGTGGGGCACACTCCCATTTTTTTTAGATGCATGCCAGCAAAGCAACTACACAACACAACACAAGACTAAACAATACATTAATTGCACTATAACAGTGGCAAACGGTGCCCACAAACTGTTAGGGCCTACATAAAGCTGTCCCAACAGCAGAGCTTTCCTTTCAGCACCATGGAGTGAATCCTTACCACTGCTACACCTGGCTATCAGCAGAGCCTTGTCTGGCAGCCTCATTTACTGACTTAAAAAAACAAAAACATAGCTGATATGTCTGACTTGTTTAAATACATGTGGTTACTACTGACTCCTTGTGGATTTGTGTAAGTTGATACTCCTTCAACAATATCGAACGCCAAAATGAGTTTTGACTTTTGAACCATACACAAACATTATTACATTTATGTTCAGTAAATTCATAATGCTTATTCTTATATCATTAACACTTAGATGTAAGCATAAGCAAATGCAAGCAAACGAGCCACTTTCAAAATAGACACCGACAGAAATTCAGATAATGTTGAGGCCTTAACTTTACTCTTCTTTAAATCACCACACAGAGAGGGAGAGGGGGACTTGGTTATCCTACCATTTTAAGTATGTTATTAGGCCTGTGGTCTAAAAGGGAAGTAAAATACAATCATGAGGATCCACTTTTATGTACAATATACCGACGCACAGACAGCGCATTGTGAAAACAAAACAACCCTCGCAATATCAATTGGAATTACATGGGTCTATTACTGAACTTTTTGTTGAAAACACATATTGGGAAGAGACTGTCACTGGCAAACATGGTTACAGACCTAACAACATTATTTAGTATATATTCCTCGTCAAGAAAAGCACATGTGCTAATTATAATACACAAAGTAAGCAAAACAATGAAATCATTCCAACATTGCCTAAAATGATGAATACGATAATGAGATAGACCTATATAAGCAATAGGCCTATAACAATTGAGATGTACAAACTATGGCATAAAGGAACGATGAGCGGATAAGAGGCAATCCGTAATTTGGATTTAAGACATTAATGAGTGAGTTAAGATGGACGTAGTCAATATAACTATTTGTTCAGCACTTTGAAATGTACAGCGACAGAATTCAGAACATGGGCCGTTTTTACAGTATTCTCCCTGTACACCAAGTCAGAACCGTAGGATAAATAAAGGGGGCATATTAGCAGACAAAGAAAGCTCCTACAATATTCGATGATGACATTTATCTGAAATAGGTTATAGGCTACATGTGCACCACCAAGTCCGAACAGTAGGCTAAGTTTTGAGGGGGAAAGGGACCAATTATTAGGGTGAGGCACATGGGCTACTAACAGCTTACTACACAACATACACTTAGTATTACTTTCTTAGCTATAGTATATATATATCTCCCTGGCATATTACATAATTTATGCAGCAGCATACAATACATTTTTTTTACTCATCGTTGTTGTGCTCACTTGAACATGAAGGTGGCGCGGCGGTCCTTCTGTAGGCAAATTTTGTCATCAAACATTGTCATCAAAGTCTGGCGTCCTCTGGATTTATGGTGCTTTCAAGACAACTGGGAACTCGGAAAAAAAAACAAGGTTGAATCATGATGTCAGTGATCTTCAGGTCAGAGCTCTAGAAAGAGGCTTGAGATCCCGACTTGGAATTCCGAGTTGGATGACTGTTCAAAACGTATTTCCCCAGTCAGAGCTAGTTTTTCAGAGTTCCCATTTGTCTTGAACTCACTAAAGTCTGAGATTTCCCAGTTCCGAGTTTCCAGTTGTTGTGAACACGCAGAAGTCATGCTGGATTGACAGCATGGGCAATGTATTCAACCTTTTCTGGCTGATGGTGTTGCGTGTGAATGTTTATTATTTTAAGCTTGGAAAAGAGACCCTTTCAGACAGATGTTTTAAATCCTTGGCCACACACCCTCTCCACCAAATAACAGGCAGGGGAAGCAAAATAGTGATTGCTTTGCAATGCTTGCAGTTAGCCACTTATTTCTTCCAAACCACTCATTGTTGAATTTACATTTCCAACTCGTTGTGTAATATTTATGTCCAATGGCCGATGAGTACCGATAAGTTTTATCTATAATTTCTCTTAAAATGAAAAGGATTGAAAAGGATTTGCCAGTAGATTGTCCACGTGATCAATGATGATGACTGCTTGTCTAGCTTGTTAGCAAAGATTTTGAAAGTATGACGTTGACATGATCAGTCCAATCAAAGACACTGTAGGTATAACGTGTTTGTCATTTTATCTGTGGCCAATGACCTTGAGCCTTCTTAGATGGGCACTTCTAATCGTGGTCAAAAGTTTTGAGAATGACACAAATACTAATTTTCACAAAGTCTGCTGCCTCAGTTTTGATGATGGCAATTTGCATATACTCCAGAATGTCATGAAGAGTGATCAGATTAATTGCAATTAATTGCAAAGTCCCTCTTTGCCATGAAAATGAACTTAATCTCAAAAAAACATTTCCACTGCATATCAGCCCTGCCACAAAAGGACCAGCTGACATCATGTCAGTGATTCTCTCATTAACCCGGGTGAGAGTGTTGACGAGGACAAGGCTGGAGATCACTCTGTCATGCTGATTGAGTTAGAATAACAGACTGGAAGCTTTAAAAGGAGGGTGGTGCTTGAAATCATTGTTCTTCCTCTGTTAACCATAGTTACCTGCAAGGAAACATGTGCCGTCATCATTGCTTTGCACAAAAGGGCTTCACAGGCAAGGATATTGCTGCTAGTAAGATTGCACCTAAATCAACCATTTATTGGATCATCAAGAACTTCAAAGAGAGAGGTTCAATTGTTGTGAAGAAGGCTTCAGGGCGCCCAAGAAAGTCCAGCAAGCGCCAGGACCGTCTCCTAAAGTTGATTCAGCTGCGGGATTGGGGCACCACCAGTGCAGAGCTTGCTCAGGAATGGCAGCAGGCAGGTGTGAGTGCATCTGCACGCACAGTGAGGCAAAGACTTTTGGAGGATATCCTGGTGTCAAGAAGGGCAGCAAAGAAGCCACTTCTCTCCAGGAAAAACATCAGGGACAGACTGATATTCTGCAAAAGGGACAGGGATTGGACTGCTGAGGACTGTGGTAAAGTCATTTTCTCTGATGAATCCCCTTTCCGATTGTTTGGGGCATCTGGAAAACACCTTGTCCGGAGAAGACAAGGTGAGCGCTACTGTCAGTCCTGTGTCATGCCATCCTGAGACCATTCATGTGGGGGGTTGCTTCTCAGCCAAAGGAGTGGGCTCACTCACAATGTTGCCTAAGAACACAGCCATGAATAAAGAATGGTACCAACACATCCTCCGAGAGCAACTTCTCCCAACCATCCAAGAACAGTTTGGTGACGACCAATGCTTTTTCCAGCATGATGGAGCACCTTGCCATAAGGCAAAAGTGATAACCAAGTGGCTCGGGGAACAAAACATCGACATTTTGGGTCAATGGCCAGGAAACTCCCCAGACCTTAATCCCATTGAGAACTTGTGGTCGATCCTCAAGAGGCGGGTGGACAAACAAAAACCCACAAACTCTGACATACTTCAAGCATTGATTATGCAAGAATGGGCTGCCATCAGTCAGGATGTGGCCCAGAAGTTAATTGACAGCATGCCAGGGCGGATTGCAGAGGTCTTGAAAAAGAAGGGGCAACACTGCAAATATTGACTCTTTGCATAAACTTAATGTAATTGTCAATAAAAGCCTTTGACACTTATGGAATACTTGTAATTATACTTCAGTATACCATAGTAACATCTGACAAAAATATCTCATAACACTGAAGCAGCGAACTTTGTGAAGACCAATACTTGTGTCATTCTCAAAACTTTTGATCACGACTGTACAGTGCATTCGGAAAGTATTCAGACCGCTTGACTTTTTCCACATTTTGTTATGTTACAGCCTTATACTAAAATGGATTAAATATTTTTTTCCCCTCATCAATCTACACACAATACCCCATAATGACGAAGCAAAAACGGTTTTTTAGCATTTTTATCAAATGTATAAAAAATTAAAAACGGAAATATCAGATTTACATAAGAATTCAGACCCTTTACTCAGTACTTTGTTGAAGCACCTTTGGCAGCGATTACAGCCACGAGTCTTCTTGGGTATGATGCTACAAGCTTGGCACACCTGTATTTGGGGAGTTTCTCCCATTCTTCTCTGCCGATCCTCTCAAGCTCTATCAGGTTGGATGGGGAGTGTCGCTGTACAGCTATTTTCAGGTCTCTCCAGAGATGTTAGATCGGGTACAAGTCTGGGCTCTGGCTGGGCCACTCAAGGACATTCAGAGAAGACTTGTCCCGAAGCCACTCTTGCATTGTCTTGGCCCCGTGTAGCTCAGTTGGTAGAGCATGGTGTTTGCAATGCCAGGGTTGTGGGTTCGATTCCCATGGGGGGCCAGTATGAAAATGTATGCACTCACTAACTGTAAGTTGCTCTGGATAAGAGTGTCTGCTAAAATGACTAAAATGTAAATGTAAAATGTGCTTAGGGTCGTTGTCCTGTTGGAAGGTGAACCTTCGCCTCAGTCTGAGGTCCTGAGCGCTCTGGAGCAGGTTTTCATCAAGGATCTCTCTATACTTTGCTCCGTTCATCTTTGGCTCGATCCTGACAAGTCTCCCAGTCCCTGCCGCTGAAAAACATCCCCACAGCATGATGCTGCCACCACCACGCTTCACCGTAGGGATGGTGCCAGGTTTCCTCTAGACGTGGCGCTTGGCATTCAGGCCAAAGAGTTCAATCTCATGGTCTGAGTTTTTTTAGGTGCCTTTTGGCAAATTTAAAGCGGGCTGTCATGTGCCTTTTACTGAGGAGTGGCTTCCGTCTGGCTACTCCATAAAGGCCTGATTGGTGGAGTGCTGCAGAGATGGTTGTCCTTCTGGAAGGTTCTCCCATCTCCACAGAGGCACTCTAGAGCTCTGTCAGAGTGACCATTGGGTTCTTGGTCACCTCCCCGATTGCTCAGTTTGGCAAGGCGGCCAGCTCTAGGAAGAGTCTTGGTGGTTCCAAACTTCTTCCATTTAAGAATGATGGAGGCCACTGTGTTCTTGCCGACCTTCAATGCTGCAAACATGTTTTGGTACCCTTCCCAGATCTGTGCCTCGACACAATCCTGTCTCGGAGCTCTAAGGACAATTCCTTCGACCTCATGGCTTGGATTTTGCTCTGACATGCACTGTCAACTGTGGGACCTTATATAGACAGGTGTGTGCCTTTCGAAATCATGTCCAATCAATTTAATTTACCACAGGTGGACTCCAATCAAGTTGTAGAAACATCTCAAGGATGATCAATGGAAACAGGATTCACCTGAGCTCAATTTCGAGTCTCATAGCAAAGGCTCTGAATACTTATGTAAATAAAATATTGATGTTTTTATTTTTAATACATTTGCAAACATTTCTACAAACCTGTTTTTGCTTTGTCATTATGGGGTATTGTGTGTAGGATGCTGAATATTTGTATTTATTTAATCCATTTGAGAATAAGGCTGTAACGTAACAAAATGTGGAAAAACTCAAGGGGTCTGAATATTTTCAGAAGGCACTGTAAATCTATGGCAGCACCCAAGGGGGCTTGAACTGCCTTGCTCTCCCTGTAGATTATGCGATAACGTAGTGTCCCCATGAGTGACAGAACACTGAGCCAATCATGGCGCAACTAGAGAAGATTTCCAACGCCTACGCTCTGTATTTTCCGCTGGCTGCCCTTCCACCACAGAAAGCACTGAGCTAGGCTGAAACGCCTACATTTTGGAGCTGCCTTACTCAAGAATGCGGCTTCATTCACTCAATACATTTGTGTTGACATTGTTTGCAAACTGATATGTGACACGAATGAATCCCAAAATAACATGCAAAACACGTGACAAACCCCCCCCCCCAATTTTTTTATTGTTTTAATATATACTTTTTTAGCTAAAGAGGCTCTGCTCCACTTGCCCTGAAGGACGGGTCGCCACTGATTGAAACAACATGCTAGTTTCTCAGAACTCTCACTGACATCTATTGCATTCTCCCCTTTTAGAAGAACAACAACACTTTTCTCTCCTAAAGGCAATTCCTTTCACAGCAGTCTCTTTAGATGGAGACACATCTGTCACGAACGAGTGGCGAAAATCTAATCTTTCAGACGCTTATTAAAAACGACAGCACTAGAGGAACAAAGGGAGAATATTGATTGTATCAACGCTTTCTGTCACAAAGTAGGAAGAGATACCTGAGTTGTCACAGTGCCCCATAGACTACCCAGCAGAGAGCAGAGTAATGACAAACCCATCTCGCTTCGTCCATGGGGATGAGTCAAGGTCCCTCTCTCAACGTCAAATTGACATTTGTCTGCAGGAGCTCTCAGACACGTCCAAGGTACAGACACTGGCTGGACTCCCTACATTTGACGTGATCGAGGATTGAAAGCATGATAACAATGGTAGGCTTCATGGGTGGTAACATTGCAAGCATATGTTATGATCTACAGTATGTAACCATTGTATGGATGGATTTCATGAATTACAATCTGGCCACAACCTTGTCAGATTAACATATTTGATGTGGTATAACATTTTCAATTTGATCCTGGCTGCAACCAGCTGTTAAAACTACAGTGTAAAATACTACAGTAACAGCATAGAGAGACAATAAAACAACACTCAGAACCTCACACACAAGGGGCCATAAATTCCTTGAAGCCACAACTTCTTTAAAAAATGCTACTGACATAAGCCCCATCAGTGAAACTCTTACAACCATAATCAATCAAGAGCTTTTAGATATGTTTTCCGGAATAGCCATGTCTCTTAGAGGACAACCATACTGGTGAGTCTTTGGTTTTCAACTCAAGGAGACACCTCTCTTGGTAATACCTTTGATGACTTTGAAAGGCTATTCAATGCTTCTTCTACAGTGTGATACCCCATAAATCGTAGGGTGCTTAATTAATCTGCATCTAGCTCCCATTTACAGTCAGTCCACCTTGACATTGCCTGGAAGCAGCATTTGATTACGGCACAACCAAATTATGTTGTTAGATTAAAAGTGCTGAGGTCAGACGTCCTTTGGTCACCCCTACCAGTAGGTGGGGGCAATACACCTTTTTGGATGTAGTCCGCCAATAAAGCCTTAAAGAAGAAGAAAAAGAAGAAGGAAGGGCTCACACTCTTTGTCCATACCCGTGTGCTGTGGTTGTGACAGTTTGTCAAACGTTTGCAACGTCTTCCATGCTGTTTTGGGGAGAAGAGGCTTATCGCTGCTCTTACTGTAGTATTCATTTGTGTCCCTTGCGGTATGCGGGTAGGGTTTGGTATTCTGTCTAGTCCGTCCTAGCAAATTAGCTGTATTTCAGGCAAAAGATTTGGGGTTGCCTTGATGGGCGGACTAGTTGTATATTTTTAAAAAAAAATTTTAGGGGGTAGATCAGCTTTAATATTGGAGATAGATTGTGACTTCCATCAATGTAATTGTCTGCATAATTTCCAATCCCCCATATATTTTTTTGTAAATATATATAGTCCCAGTCAAAAGTTTGGGCACACCTACTCATTCCAGGGTTTTTCTTTATTTTATTTTTTTACTATTTTCTACATTGTAGAATAATAGTGAAGACATCAAAACTATGAAATAACACATATGGAATCACGTAGTAACCAAGAAAGTGTTAAACAAATCAAAATATATTTTATATTTGAGATTCTTCAAAGTAGCCACCCTTTGCCTTGATGACAGCTTTGCACACTCTTGGCATTCTCTCAACCAGCTTCATGAGGTAGTCACATGGAATGCATTTCAATTAACAGATGTGCCTTGCTAAAAGTTAATTTATGGAATTTCTTTCCTTCTTAATGCGTTTGAGCCAATCAGTTTTGTTGTGACAAGGTAGGGGTGGTATACAGAAGATAGCCCTATTTGGTAAAAGACCTAGTCCATATTATGGCAAGAACAGCTCAAATAAGCAAAGAGAAACGACAGTCCATCATTACCTTAAGACATGAAGGTCAGTCAATAGGGAACATTTCATAAACTTTTAAAGTTTCTTCAAGTGCAGTCGCAAAAATCATCAAGCGCTATGATGAAACTGGCTCTCATGAGCACCGCCACAGGAAAGGAAGACCCAGAGTTACCTCTGCTGCAGAGGATAAGTTCATTATTGTTAACTGCACCTCAGATTGCAGCCCAAAGAAATGCTTCACAGAGTTCAAGACACATCTCAACATCAACTGTTCAGAGGAGACTGCGTGAATCAGGCCTTCATGGTTGAATTGCTGCAAAGAAACCACTACTAAAAGATACCAATAAGAAGAAGAGATTTGCTTGGGCCAAGAAACATGAGCAATGGACATTAGACCGGTGGAAATGTGTCATTTGGTCTGATCAGTCCAAAATTGAGATTTTTGGTTCCAACCGCCGTGTCTTTGTGAGACGCAGAGTAGGTGAACGGATGGTTCCCACCGTGAAGCATGGAGGAGGAGGTGTGATGGTGTGGGGGTGCTTTGCTAGTGACACTGTCTGTGATTTATTTAGAATTCAAGGTACACTTAACCAGCATGGCTACCACTGCATTCTGCAGCGATATGCCATCCCATCTTGTTTGCGCTTAGTGGGACTATCATTTGTTTTTCTACAGGACAATGATCCAACACACCTCCAGGCTGTGTAAGGGCTATTTGACCAAGAAGGAGAGTGATGGAGTGCTGCATCAGATGACCTGGCCTCCACAATCCCCCGACCTCAACCAAATTGAGATGGTTTGGGATGAGTTGGACCGCAGAGTGAAGAAAAAGCAGCCAACAAGTGCTCAGCATATGTGGGAACTCCTTCAAGACTGTTGGAAAACATTCCAGGTGAAGCTGGCTGAGAGAATGCCAAGAGTGTGCAAAGCTGTCATCAAGGCAAAGGGTGGCTACTTTGAAGAATCTCAAATATAAAATATATTTTGATTTGTTTAACACTTTTTTGGTTACTCCATGATTCCATATGTGTTATTTCATAGTTTTGATGTCTTCACTATTATTCTACAATGTAGAAAATAGTAAAAATAAAGAAAAACCCTTGAATGAGTAGGTGGGTCCAAACTTTTGACTGGTACTGTATATATAAAATATATATGTATCTTTTTCTTTGGTATATTTTCCTTCATTAATTTTTTTCTTTATGTTAAATGTTTGTCTGTCTACCTGTTCACTTTGTCACCATTTTGTCACCACTGGCTGTTCTTAGGAGGGAACTATTTAGTTAAAGATCAGGCAAGTCTTATTAATTCACGTGTGCTTCCTCATGCTAATTTGGTAAGATGATAACACACTCGTGATAGAGTGTGAATTTACTTTATCTAAAGTGCATGCTATTCTCCTGGAAGTGTTTTACATGCAAGGATTGAGTCTTGAATACTTGCTATTATTTCTTGCCCTGCTGCTAATTCATTGTGTGTGCCCTCTAAGCCATAGTTACAGCCAGTGAGTCTGTTCAAGTTGTGGTGACCTGCTTTATGAATATTTATTGCCTGTTATCTATAAGAAACCTTGGCACCTTGGTTAACTCTTTGTCATTTATTTGACAGAACTGTGTTTAACGTGTCCTGAGGGCCTCCCCTGGTGTAACAAAAAGGTGGCATAGACGTAGTATAGTTTACAATTGTATTGACAGTTATGGCGCACCGCAGTGTGAAGAATCTGATGTTACGTTCTCCGCACTAAGCCAGCATCAAGACGCTTATGAATCAATAGCCCCTTAAGGTTCCTCATTGAAATGTGCTAACTATCCGCTGGGCACACACTGGTTGAATCAACGCTGTTTCCACATAATTTCAATGAAATTACATTGAACTAACGTGGAATAGACGTTGAATTGATGTCTGTGCCCATTGGGTAAGGACAAACTATTATATATTTGACACCATTGGATTACTTGCCACCATAATATCTTATGCTTTTGTTAGAGGTCAAACCAGAGTTTGAACAGATGACTAAAGGAAATCGAAAGAGCTCTGAACCTTTGAACAAAATGTGAAGAAACATAACAGTAATTTCCCCCTTCACATATATATTAGTTCAGAACAGAGAAATTGGCCTTGTTAAATAAGCACTGCTTGAAAGAGCAGATCAATCCATTATTTTGTCATTTGAATACCCAGTACCCTTCAAACTTGGTCTACAATCAACATATGTCAATCAGCAAAGTTTGACTGAGCGTTTGATTGAGCCTGCCTGGAGTGCCAGATGGTTGGTGTAACAGGTTTGTAATTCTGGGACTATTCAATTGCTTTCATTGCATCAGTCAGGCTCAATAAAGCGCAGCTAAAGTATTTAAAGAAAATACAAACTATTTGAACACTTGTCTGCTACACAATATGGCTGACATGCTGCCTTTTGTGCCTTTATCTAAGGTGATGAAAGGCAGTCCCTCCATCTCTCCAGTGGCATGACTGGTTCATATACTTAATATTCATGAGTCATAAATGTGCTGGATGGAATTGATCTTCAGATCCTCGTCTACTGCACTTGCAGTGGGTTGTGAGAAATATCAATAATGTCTCTTAATAACCCACTGGGCAAAAACTGGTTGAATCAACGTTGTTTCCATGTCATTTCAATCCCAAAAATCTATGTGATGACGTTGCATGAACATGGAAAACTGATTGGATTTGCAAAAAGTCCTCAACGTAAGGGCATTTTGTATTTTTTTCACCCAACTTTTAACCTAAATCCAATGACATGGTGACATTTGTTGTTGATTTCACGTTGAATTCACGTTAGCTGACAACTTAACCAAATGTAAATCAAAACTAGACGTTGAACTGACGTCCGTGCCCAGTTGGAAAACACCATATGTCAATAATATCCATCATAAACCATAATTTAAAAGCTGATTGCTGTCATATATGGAGATATTTACTTAGCAAAAAAGTCAATAAGTTATGCCTCTGATGTGCCCCCTATCAAAAAGATATTACATGCATTATAAATATTTGCTGCAGGCCCAATGGTCCATATTGAAATTGGAAGAAATGTAATATAAAAATGTCAAAAGAAGGTTACTGCTGGATAGTTTGCTTCAAACCCTTTTTTTGTATAACATGATGTTTTAAGTCTCTGCAAATTATGAAACATAAATAACTAAACTGTAATACAAATCCATTGTATTTGTTCCAAAAGGGCACAGCGATCCTTGGGCATGTTTATTATTACTAGCATGAATGCTGTTATTACACCTAACATTATGAATTATGGAGAAACTGACCAAGACACTATTAGCCACCTAGCAATTTTATGAAGTTGGCTTTAGCAAGCCAAGATAGGTTTCCAATCTCCCAACCTCATAACTAACTATCAATCAAGTCAGAGTAGCTAGCTTGTCTAACTATCTTGACTGTCATGCCTGCTGGCAAGGTTGGTAGACTTTAGAAAAGCAAGCATTTACTA